AAAGCACAGAACCTATACAGATTCCTAACCCTCTCCCTATATCACCTCAATATCCATTAAAACCTGAGGCCACACAAGGCCTCACACCCACAACAGAAGACCTAGCTGCCGGGGGCTCCGCGTTCCCTGTACCTAGGGCGGGATGGTGTTTTGTCCAGGATTTGGGAGCTCTCAAAGACATCGTGATTCACGGGCTCCCAGTTGTTCTAAACGGGACACAGATGCCTCCCTATTCATGGCGGTTCACTGCTGCAGACCTTTGTTCAGCCTTCAGCATCCCTGTGGGCCCCAGCAGCCAGCGTCTACTTGCCCTTACGTGAAACCAGTGACAATGCACCCAGGCCGTCCTGCCTCACGGGGTCAGAGCCCCCTTCTTATTTCTCCCAAGTATTTCAAGATTTAAACATCCTCCAGTTCCCTGGGGAAATCGGCCCTTTTACAAGGTGTAGATAACCTTTTGCTGCATTCAGTTACTGAAGAGGTGTCTGTGAAAGATGCCATTTATTTGCTGCAATAGTTCGCTGAAAAAGGACACAAAGTCTCTAAGGAAAAATTACAGTTATCTTTAGACAGTGGTCATTACTGAGGTCCTGATCTCGGTGCTGAAGGAATTCAGTTGTCTCCAAAAAGGATGAAGCTAAGCCAGGAACTTCCTAGACCCACAGCTAAGCAACAGCTTCATGGGTTTCTAGGCTTGACCTGTTACCACAGACTATGGGTTCCTCATTTTTCTCTATTACTTCTCCATTTTATGAAGTTACTAAGATGTCAGTCCCTGACCCCTTCCTTGGGAGGATAAACATGAGCAGGCTTATATAAACTAAAAGAACAACCTGCCTTAGGGCTCTGACTGGTCCAAACCTTTTACTGTATTTGTGCATGAAGGGAATAATCAAGCTCTGGGAATGCTCATGCAAGAACGTGGTAAGACACAAAGGCCTTTTGTCTCTTAAACACAGACAATTTGACTCAGGTGTTCCTGTCTAGCCCAGCTGTCTTAAGGCTAGAGCTGCAGCTGCAAAGTTAGCAAAGCCTCAGCAGATTTAACCCTGGGAAATGATGTTTATTTGCAAACTACATGCTGTCCAAAGTCATCGTCATTCTGAACTGACTCAACATTTCTCTGCAAGTAGACCAACTTCCTATGAGATCCTTTTAAGACCTAATCTATGTCTTAAACACTGGACCATCCTCAACCCTACTATGTTACTACCTTTAAGTGTCGAAGGTAAGACCCACGATGAAGTGATAATGTCCCATTGTGTGACAATGAGTCCTGATTTATGAGACATTCTTTTAACTATTCTGATGTAATCTTGTTTGTTGACGATTATACTACAGAAATGGAAAAGGGAATTTTCAAGCTGGCTATGCTATCACTACCCGATAGGACTTACTCAGAAGGGAAACATCCCACAAGATAAATCAGCCCAACAACCAGAGCTCTATGTCCCTCCCCAAGCAGGACAAACTAATTATTTATGCTGATAGTCATTATCCCTTTGGAGTCCATGATTTAGGGATGTTATGAAAACAAATGGGTTTTCCTACATCCTCTGGGATCCCAATAAAAAATGGGCAACAAATAAATGATCCTACTGTTGATCTCTTACCTTCTCAAATTGCTGCCATCAGAACGAATGTTCACACGAAAGGACAGGACCCGAGTGTCGGGGGAACCCTAACTGACTGTCACACACAGACAGTAGCAACAGAATCTACACAGACTGTGGCCTGTGCGGCTCAAGTCCACTCTATTTCTGTAAAAAGTGACCTTTTATTGCCCAACTTTTGCCATCTTGATGTTTTGAACATGGCAGCAGTTTGCTCCTGAGTGAGAGAAATTAAGATGCGTCAACAATGGCTGTAGATTAAACAAATGGTCAGGGCTACGGGAAACCCAAGACGGCTGCTCGGTCTTTGAGGCCCCCTGGCAAGCCCCACTTTTCAGCTTCTGCGTTCCCTCGCCCACCACAGTGCATTTAAGATGACGCAAACTACGAATAAACACTGATGAGGAGACTTCCATGATTTTGCGAAAGCGATCTATCAGCAATGTCTGGTCCACCATCCTGGAAAAACCATTTATTTTCCTAGAGGCCTCAGACCTCCTCCCTCTGGACCCTTTGAACACTTGCAGCTGGACTTCGTGCAACCGCCACTGAGCATGGATTATCACAGACTCTTGTTTTCGTACCTGTGGTTTCCAGATGGGCTGCAGCCCTCCCCTGCTGCCAGGCTGATGGCAAAGAAACTGTTAAAAAACGTGTTTCCCATTTAGGGTGTACCTTCCACAGTTCCCAGCAGTCTAAGAACCCACTTGACTGGGCAAATCATAGGAGCCTTGATGGAAAGACTTGCAACATTCTCAGAATTACCGCTGTCCTTGTCACCCTTGTCATCAGGTGAGGTTGAAAAAATTAATGGGATCTTTACATTTAAAACCACTAAACTTGCTGAAACTACTGGACTTCCCTGGCCTAAGGCATTGCCTTTGGTCATGCCAACTGTTCCCAGTACCTCCTTCTGGAAACACAACTCACTCGACACAAGACTGTCACCGGCAGACCGATGTCTACTGGTGCACATCTTCAGTTGATCCCTTGCTGTCTCACGCTAGTATGACCAGCTACTGTTAAGTTTCTGACGTCTTGTGCTCCAGCTCATTGTCAATAGGTTAAAGAAGCTTTCCCAGATCCCATTTTAAAGGATCCTGTAGGTCACAGCCTAGAGCCTGGTGACTAAACAGGTATTCTAGATACATCAGAAGAAGACAGCCCTCAAGCCCCACTGAAAGGACCTTAGCAGGTACTCCTGACCACTGACCCTGCTGAGCAATCAGACGGCACTGAGCTATGGGTAACAGCTGAAGAAGGCTCCACCGGCCACCGGTCCTGTTCAGACACTGGAGATCTCTCACTCACACTGAAATAGCTGACATCAGTGCAGACTGCTTCCGCCCAAGACGTGGGATCAAGGCTTCATACTTTAAACGTGACACCCTTTCTCTTCCCCTTTGCATTGGTCTTGGCCTGGGCAGATAATGCCATCATCCATATCTTCCAGGCCCTTGCAAGGTGGGGGTTTACCTTTCAGACTTAGGATTTGTCACCTAAAACTCCAGTCTGACCATGAACAGTGCCTCTTTAGTGGAGGTGGCTAATGCCTGGCAGGACTCTGTCTGCAGTAGCTGTCGTTCTCCTAGGTGGCTGGCGCGGAACAAGGCCATGCCCTCAGGTTATCTAACTGTTCACAAACACACAGCCCCCTTCATGGGTCAAATCCCCTGAGTTTACATGGTCGAGTTAGAAAGAACCTACCAGAGAGTTTCCCATGACTCAGAGTTCCCTCCCTTGGGCAGGTCCCTACTTCCCTCGTTCGGAATAAATAAAAATAAGGCTTTAATCAGGAACCTGTCCTTCAGGCTAAAAACATTGTAGAATCTACTGTTAAAGCAATAGCTGCCTAACAAAAGCCCTGCCAGTCTGTGTCCACAGTTGCTCCTGACAACAGAAGAACCCTAGACTGTCTTTCAGCTGAGCAGGGAGCTGTCTGTGCTGTGGCCACGACCACCTGCCGCACCTGGACTCGCCCTTCTAGGGAGACGAAACTCAGCTACGTGAGATCACGGACAAGGCACCTGCCTCACACGGCGGCTCCCTCAACAGGGTATTTCTTTCATTTACTTGATTTTGAATGGTTTGGGTCTTGGGGACTATGGCTCCAAAGTACATTACAAACATTATAATTATCCTTTTTTTGGTATCATCGTAATTTCTCTGGCACATCGTATTCTCTCAAAAGCTTTAAATGCACATTCGTAGCCACTAACCACCCAAGCAAATGACATTCTTAAGACTGGATGGTCAGAAAAGGGACAAGGAGAATGACGGCCTTAAAGACAGTGAACCTGGAGACACGCCCTGTGAGCAGCACAGAGATTACGCAGAAACGTGACCTGTGACTGTCGCGAGAATCGGTAGAAGCTGCGAGAACTGCAGAGCGGAGCCGAGGGTGGCGTTCGTGCCTTCGGTTTTAACTATATCTCTCAGTCAGGCTGAGACTGATCAAAAGGGAGGGATTGTTAAAGAGAAAACCCAAAACAGACCCCAATGGAGACCCCAATGCCCATGACAACAAACCAAGACTTAACATCTGATCGAATGGCAGTTTCAACCTTCTCTAGGAACTAATCTTAATCAGTCTGGAATTTTCTGGTGAATGCCAGCGAGGTGCTGTCCCGTGGGACTCCTTTCCCGAAGCGGACGCTGGCACTCTGCCTGTAAGGCCCTGGCGTCCCCCAGGCCTCCCCCGGCGAAGCGTGGCTCCTGGAGTAGACAGGCACAAGTGCACGCCAAGGTACTTCCTGGTTCCCCACGCTTTGCCTCTCAGGTCTGGGGGGAGCCAAGCCACCTAGGAAGCCTGAGGCCCCCACGTGGGCAGCCCACCAGCCACAGCCACCACAGCCTTGCCAGTGTCCTGTTTCAGCCTTCCTAACCCAGACCCACGCAGGCGCCCCAGGCTGGCAGGTCATCAGAGGTAGGGACGTGCCATTCGCTCAAGGACGGGGGGAAGTCATGAGAGGCTAGTAGGTCACCTGAAGCCCTGGTGACATTTTTCCTAACTTGTCATGGAGGCTTGTGTGGCTCTTTCAGGAGTCTTCTTTGTCCTCATGGATAGACTGGAGTCCTCCTAACAGGACCTCCTGACCCTTGTTCGGTGGTGGCTCTGCCTGTCCCTCACCCTGCCCACGCTTTTCCTTGCTAGCTTTGCCTCAATGGTGCACCCGGAGAGCCAGGCTCTTCTGGATTCTAACTGCAGCTTCCCCAGACCACACTTGTGTCCCGTGTGCTGGGGCAGTGTGAGGCAGGAGACGTTCCTGTCCATCAGTCCCAGCTTCGCACATGGAGCCTGCACAGTGCTCGTGGAGGGGCTTCGCCGAGGAGAGGGGGTCCGCTCCGAGCGAGCTCTTCCCCAGCGCGTCCCACGCCCCTACTCACCACCAACACGTGCTCCAGAAGGTCCAGGTAGCTGAGGGTGCACTCCGTCCCGTACCGCAGGGCTCTGGCGCGCACGTCCTCGCTGACCTCGGGGTGGAACGATGCTTGCTGGAGAGAGAAAGGGACGTCGGCATCTTAAAACAGGACGAGCCAGCGGGGAGTGAACAGGGGGCCAGTTGTATAGCCCTGGACCCTCTCCAGGAACTCCTGCTGCCTGACCTCAGCGACCTCTGAGAAACCTTCCCTGGCCCCCTGGACGGGGGGAGTCCTCCTCCACCTTCCTCGCTGCCCCATCTCCACGGCAGGCTGTCTCCAAGTCTGTGTCTTGACACTTTTAGTTCCCAAGTGAATCTAGTCCCTCTTATCTTCCTTTTTCCTTTCTTTCACCCTCCCCGATCCCACCTTTCACTGAAATGTGAGAAATTCCACCGACGCTGGAAAGTTCAGGAGAGAGTCATGATTAGAGCTTCCCCAGGAGATGCGCGGTCCCAGGGTCAGCCTGCTTCCCTCCAGAAAGGTGAGACGTCCCAGAGACCCCTCTGTCACAGCAAGTATGTCCAGGTCCTCACGCCGTGACCTGACCACGCTGGGGTCACAGCGAGTTTCCCAACCAGGGCCCTCTGGCTCCTGGGAACCTTCAAACAGTGAGGCTCCCTGGTACCCGCAGAGGGGCCTCATGTTATACACACCCAGATAAGCAAACCAGGATGTATGGTTAATGCAGCATCTTGCATTTTTGTTCTTTGGGGTTTTTTTTTGTTTTTTGTTTTTGCCCTTGTGACCTGCTGAGGTGAGTCATTCACAATATATCATTTCAGATAGCACACCCACTCATGGGGTTGCTCGATCAATTACAGAAAGCCCAGTTGAATTTGGATGTCGGATAAACAGTGACAAACATTTAATGTAAGCATGGACCACCTTAGTTTTAATTTGCTAAATCCCACAACCCTGCCCATTTAGCATCCTTTCTTCCTTGCACAGCCTCACTCTGGAAAGAACCTGAGGGGGCTTACAAGAATACACAGAAAGCTGCAGATAAATCACAAATCAGGACACACAGGAATCACACATTAGGGTAGAAGGTCAAGAAGGATGGGGAATAGTAACCAGACTCCACATTCCTCCCAGTCCAGCCCCTCTCCCTAAGACTGGTGGTGCTGGTGGGAACAGCTGTGGGCTCTCCCCATACCCGGAGGAAGTGGGGATAAGCCAGTGGCCAGCTCCTGTCAATCATGAGTCTGGTTTACTCATCTGAGGACGAACAGGCCTCGGAGGCAGGCGCCATGCCATGAGCGTAACCACTGCCCAGCCATGCTCTTCACCGTCACTATGCTGTGTCTCCAAGTGTGAGGACAAAGCCCCATGTCACTCTGGTGAGACAGTGATGCTATCAGTGTCCCCTCCAGCAGCTGACGTGCAAGGCCTCATTCAGAGCTATGTGGGGCTGAGGATGAGATGCTTTTTCCCAGCTGCTGGCTCTGTAACTTAGTAAGACAACTTGGGAGAGCAATCTGGCCATAATGAAAATGTCATACCATTTGACCCACTGAACTCTAACTTCTGGGAGCCTTGCCTAAGGAAATAATCCAACACACAGAACAAACAGATATGCCCAAAGATCATTCCTTGCAGTAAAGTTAATGATAAAAAAAAATGCAGACAACCTAAATATCTGATAATAGGGGACAGATTGTATTTATTAATAGAGTATTTCTTGGTCATTAAAGAGTCAGTTATAATGACTCACGGCAACATAGAAACAGCCATTTAATGTTAACTGTAACAGTGGATATTAAATGGTATACAATGTAAACATATGCACATGGAAGGAAGACCAGAAAGCAATAGACACTAGAATTAAATTAGGATGGAGGGGAACCCTTGTCTCCACCTAAGGAATTCACATATCCTTCCTTTCTGATAAAATGAGTCAGTATCTAACCTACTGCACTTCCATTTCTGCCCTGGCTGCGCTGCCCAGCCTCATATGGCAACTTGAGCCTCTGCTTGGCATAAGGGTTCCTCCTCGATCCACCATGCAACATTCCTGGTATTTATTCTATATATTCCCTATTGCACGCACCTCATTTCCTTTCTGCAAAGGGTGGAAATACAGGAGACCAAAGAAAACGTAAATATCAGTCTGCTAAATAAATCCTATCCTAACAGGAGTCTCAGGGCTCAGCAGTTACACTTGTCATCAAGTCTGGCTCAGGCTTGTGAAGCTCTGGCTATTATTTTGTCCTGAAAAATCAGGATGGCCTGATCCAGGGAGGAGCTGAGGCTGGGCCAATGGCTCCCATCCTTTAATCCTTAACCTCCTCCCCTGCAAACAGAGGAATGTGTGTTAAGAAAGAGACTTGAAAATCTGAGCTGCCTGGCATCTATACCTTAATCACCCCCTCGCCCCCATTTCTCCTTTTCATTTCATGCCTGTAACATGGAGACACAGTACCTGTCACTCCTCAACCACAGTGACCTTGATTGAACACTATGGCTGGGAGGCCATGGCAGCAGAAACAGACCAGCTATGAACTCAGAAGACCTGGTTACAGTTCTGGTTCTGAGAGTAAATAGCTATGACCTCGGTCATGCCACTTAATCCCTCCAAGTCTGTTTCGTCATCCATCAGATGAGGATAAATTCCCTTTGCCTTTCTCCTCTGGGGTCAAACGAGAGTATATGACAACCCTCCCAGAACTATGAGGTGCCTACATGGACAATGGATGGCACTGGGGCCACCCTTGCTAGGCAAGTGCTATTCTCCGATTGAGACGAGAACCCCTTGGGGAGTCATCGCTTCTGTGAGGCCGATTCCATTAAGCACATCAAAATGGCAAATGCTCATGGCCTCAGAAGACAGTCTAAATTCTCTGGTCCAGAGCACAAGGCCCCTCAGGGAAGGGGGCCTATCGACTCTGTCAGCCACTCTGTGCACCCACCCAGGAGAACGGTCATTGTGCAGCTCCCACGCCGGCCCTCGCACACCCACCTCCGGCTCACCCTGCCTCTTCTGAGGGAAGCCCGAGGGCCGCCGGCTGGACCCTGCGCCAGCTGCCCTCATAACTCACGTCGCCGCAGACGGCAGCCCATTCCGGCTGCCCAGTGGCAGTAGCTGCAACAGCAAGTTTTCAGTGTCTGTGGCTCGTCCCCCTGCTCACCAAAGCAGGGTCACCAATCAATCACTGAGCAGATGTCAGAGTCCCTGGGGCAAGGCTGTCCCTACAAGGGTCAAGGTCTGGGGTGCTCAACAGATGCAGGGGAAAGACGGCCCTTGTGGCTCACTTTCTTAATAGAAAAAAAATAAAGTGAAGGTCAGAAAGCTCAGGTCTCCCCAGCCCCTCACCCAGCACGGGCTTAGGGCAGCTGCCCCGGTTATCTAAGAATCGGAAGAGTTGCTCCAAAATGTCTGGCACAGAGCAGCAAGGCAGTTCCCCAAGGCTGTTTTGTTCCTCTCACTCACTTCCTCACCCCGTTATGGCAACACTCCTCCGAGCACAGAATGGATGACCTGCGGAGGCAGGAAAGGGTGCAGGCAGATGAGGGATGCAGCTGTCATTTGGAGAGCCTGGAACAAAAGGCCACTGTCCCCATTTACTGCTGTCAGAGTGGCCTGCACTCCACTCTCCGGAAGAAGGCGTCCTGCCTGCGCATGCAGGACTGGGAGGAAAAGGAGAGGGCTGAGTCAGCAGGGTGGCCCCATCCCCTCTCAAACCAGAACTGAGAGTCGTTCCCTCGGGCTGCTGATGTGCACACGCCTTCAGCATGCATTTCACTATACAGTTCAAGGTACTGAGCTGCTCCGCCCCTCCCCTTCTCCAGACCAAACCAAACAACTCAGCCACAACAGAGAACTATCCATCCATCCACAACAACGCCAAGGCTTTTACCTTGCAAGCCATCAACATATCTGACACGGCTTTCCTGCTCAGATTAGCGGTGGCGATCACGTCCTCCTGTCTACACGAGTTCCCAGCTGCCACGGCTTTGGCTGTTGCCATGGTGATGCCTTTCGTCATCCTTATAGATTCTTCAGGTGATGATGTCTTTTCAGGTACCTCTCTTGACTGAAACACCTGATGTTAGAAATAGAAGAGGTGAAAGAAATAAAACAGGGAAGGACAAAAATAATTTATTCTTCTCCGACCGGGCTGCAGCTCAGTGTCTGAAAACTGAGCCAGCAACAGGAAGAAAGCGTCAAAAGGCAGGAAATGAGAAATTTAATTTGAGTACAGTAATATCATTCTTGCTTTCAAGATTGTAGCATGGATAAGCCTTGCACACCTATACCCAGCACTCGGGAGCATGATGAGGTGAGAGAGACATATCTATAGCATCAACCCGTCTGTCTGCAAAAATGGATACTCGGTATCTGCAAGCCATCCACCCCAGGGAGGGTGGTTCTGTGGCGTCCTGCTGCCTTGCCCCTCCTGCTGGAGCTCTGGCAGCTCCCAGAAACTATGCAGTCCGATGCTGGTTCCAGGGCCGGCTGACCTGGAGGCATCAATCCGGACTCCTCTCTCTTTAAAGGGGTGTGGGGCTGGGGGAAATGAAACATTCAGTTTCTTCTATTCTTAGCCTGTCTTACAAATATAACTGCATGATTCTGTGGAGGCATTCATGTGGAGTGTGCCACAGTGACACTGTGAATTATTTAAACACACACACACAACCCCCTTCACAGGAGTTGAAAAAAATTAACCATGGTAAGTGAATATCCCACTTCCAAGTTCCACCTGTCAATCAAGATGTCCATTCCTGCTCCAATCCTATCTGTCTTGTCTCCAACGCGAGCGCTCGGTGCCCTGGCTGTGTGCCGAACACGCGCCTGTCCCTGCACGTGAGGGCTCCCAATCCAGTCGGGGCGGCTCGGTGTTTAGTCCCAAGCAGCCACGTCTCAGTAGGGAAGTCTTCCTTGAGGCAGAAAGGAGGACCCAGCCAGCACCCTTGTCATGTGCCAAAGAGTGTCAAACATTGCTATCCCCCTAAAAATGGGCAGCTGCAATTAAGGCAGGACCCCAAGCCCCAGGCCCGCCCCTGAACGCAGCAGTGGAATGAGTGACCTTCCAGAGCTCTCCACACTCAGTGGCCCTTGTGGCTCACGCTCCTGTGTCCACAGAAGCACACAATCTGGGTCCACTGTAAATCACATTGCTATGCTTAGCTTGACCGTGTGGCTGCAATTTCCCAGGAAAGCTCCACATTTCAAATCTTCTCTTCCATTGCCACCATTAGGCCCACCCACATCTGTCAGAACATGTGTCCAGATGTTGGTAGGAAACCCCCAGCTCGTGTGGGCAGGTACGTTCCAGGTTCCAGGTAGCAGTGCTTAAGGACACCACCTGTATTCCTTAGTTTCTCTTTTGTGGGAAAACGAAGCACAACATTAACCAAGATTAGATTCATTCAAGACAGGAAAAGAGAACGCAAGCCTCCATTGCCTAAGTCAGACCCGACCACGTCCACCGCTGACCTTCAAGGGCTGGCGACCTTCACAGGTGGTCCCCTAACGATGCAGAACAACCAGCAGCTACGGCCAGTCCCTCTCCCCACCTCCATAAAGAAGTCGAATCTGTAATCAGACCTCCTACAGAAGTCTCAGTTTGAAAACAAACATTTCCAGCACACTTCTATTTCCAGAGATTAGGACGAGTCAGTCCGATCACCACAGAATCAGAACACCCATGGTTAATATCCATATCACAGCAGCACTGGAGCACCCTCGCTCAACAACGTCGGAACCAGGCAAGAAAGAACACGGGGTGATTCTCTGAGAGCAGACACTTCACAGGGAAGGGGCTGGATTGTAAAGGGCAGTGGCTCAGGGAAAGGCATCCAGGCTCTTCTGATGGCCACTCTCAGACCCCGAAGTCCACACATGTGCAGCAGAGTGCAGCGCTGCTGATAGCAACGGGAATCAAGAGGGGCTGTGTGTGTGGCTACACTACTGTGGACACGACCGAAACTCAAATAGCTAGACGGACTTCTCCCTTTGCCAGGAATCTTCTGGAATGCTTTGGTATCCTGAAGCAACTTTAGTGTAATTAAACCTGAATAGCCCCAAGTGATATATTTTAACTGATTTCCTTAATTACAATTACAGTTTGATCCTAACCAAACTCTGGGGTGCACAGTTACAGGTGGGAGCCTCCCTAGTTTGGGTGCTCCAGGTAGAACTTCTTTATATTAACCACCTCGGAGAAGCCTATGCGGGGGTCAGCTGCTGGACATGGGTGCCCGAGGGAGGTGACTGTCGGTCCTCACCGTGAGCTCCTGCTTCATGTACTCGATCGTGGCCTCGAGCGCCCGTGTGCCCCGGGTGGCCTCGTCCTCCACCGCCTTCACAGTCTTGAGAAGGGAGGTGACATTGGTCACCATCACCTGCATGGGAAGGAAGGCCAAGAGGAGACAGTGCGCTGAGGTTTAATTCCTACTCCTTTAGTTCCAGACCCAATGCCGTGAGCAAAACACCTCCCCTTCAGTGAGAAAGGAGCCAGAGGTGTCTTCTCCCAATGTTCTGTGTGCCTCTCCTTCTCCAGCTCCCCTCCTGCATGCTCACCCCTACTTGGGGCTCCACTCTACCTTGGCAGCCCCCTTGAGCTGGTACATGGAGGGGTCATCGGCAGGCTTGCTGGCAGCTCCCTTGGTAGCACCAATGAGGTCTGAAAGGGCCTTGGCCACATCTTTGATGGCATTGATCAACACCACCTGAAAGAGAGCACGAAGTCCAGGTGAACACCCCTAGTGGTCGCTTACTGGCTTCACTAAGAGCAAATGCCAAGAGCAGGCTGGGGCATTTGGGTCTCTAAGTTAGCAGCTCTCCACCTGCATTCACGGGACCCTGGGAGCAACCCCTGGGGGTTCTCATGCACGCGTCTCAATGGAGATCCAAGCTCCGGAGGCTGTTATTTGGCATGTTTAAAGACCTCCTGGAGGGCAGCTCTGTTGATATGCTGCCTATGAAAGAATGAAGGCAGCTAAGCAGACACCTGAGAGGCAGCACCATTCACCTGTGTTCTGAACTGGTGACAAAATGCTGAGAGCACAGTGTGAGCCCCACAGCCTGGCTTGCAAGGCCTCCATGGCCGCCCACCTGCATCTTTGGCTCCAGCTCCTAGGATTCTCTGAGTCACTCAACATGCTACAGTCACTTGGTCTTCCTTCCCCAGTGGCTGTCCCAACTCTCCTGCTGCAGGGCCTCTGCTCCTGCTGGTCTGTCTGGACCCTGGCTCTTTTCATAATTCAGGTCTCAGCTCAAATGTCATGTCCTCAGAGACCTGTCTGGACCACCCAGACTGTAGCCCGCCGCCATACGCCCCACCCCCCAATGCAACTCCATCGGCTTGCCCTGATTTATTTATAGCATTTATCGGCATGTGGAATCATTTTATTATTTAGTCTCTTAAACAGTATGCCTTCTCCCCGACTTGAATGTAAACTTGACTATGAAATTCAGGAGGCCAGCCTGGACTCGTGTGTTCCACACTCAGATCTGGGCCTGGCATGCTGGTGTGCACTCAGTAAATGCTCATAGAATGAATAATACGCAGGTGGGTACCCACATAACCCTGGGTGTGACTGTGTCTTCACGCTTCTAACGGAACACAGACTACCTTTCAGTGTGCTAGACGTGGAGTCTGAAGCACTGGCCATACTCAGGAAGCTCATGATATTGGGCGTTACAATGAACTCTTCTAGGTCCAGTTGCTACAGTAACAACTTCTACTTCAATAACAACAACTACTTCACTTTATGGAGAGCAGTGTTTCAGGGGCTGAGCCAGGCAGAGTACACGTTATCTCATTTAACCCTCACCACAGCCATTTCAAGTGGGCACTAAAAGGCTTGTGCCCACACCCCCATGGCTCGAGAGTGGAAGGGTCGATCCCAAGGTCACGGTCTTAACCTCCAGACTGTATTACACTCTCCAGCTCTGGCCCCTACAGACGAGACCGGCAGCGCCAGCCCTGCCCCTCTCACACTGCTGTGAGGATCAACTGGATCGCACACGTAGAGACATATTAGACATTTCTCTAGTCAAAGATTTGAATCTTTCCTGGCCAATCACTTCTCCTACAATTGAGCCATGCTCGAAGAGCATTCAGTTCCCACCCCAACGATGTATTTTCAGGCTTTTTCTTCCTCCGTGGGGGTAGGCACGATACTGCGGGCAGGGATTTCCACGAAGACTTTGAATGGCAGAGCAGCCGATCAGAGTGCTGATGTTATCACAGAGAAATGCAGCAGGAGGGTAAAATGGCAACATTAGGAAGGTTCCCTCACGGAGCTCTGCTCCCCGGGAGGGCGTCAGCAGGGGAAGTCGTGGCCACGTGGGAGCAAAGCTGGTGGCCTAGTGTTACTAGAACAGTGGCTGTTGTCAACCCGGGCACAAATGGTAGGGGGCTTTCTACCCAGCACTGCCCCAGCGGGCCAAACAGACTAGTTTACTGAGTATGGTTTCATCAGTGAAAACGAAAGTGTCTGCCATTTGACGGGATAGAGAGAATAGAGGGGATTTAAGTTTTGCACTTGGGAATGGGTAGACTCCATTACTGATGGCTGTAGACGGTTGTTAGTTTAAAAAGAGCTGAACATATATTTGATGGGTATCCACACTGTCCTGGGAGCTGAGTGGAAGGCTTAGGTTTCCCAGATTAATAAGCAATGATTATTGTTCTTGATAGCTGGCAGTCTAGGCTGGGGGACCAAGAAACAGGCAGATCACGTCAGTGACATCAGAGCGGAGCAGAGCACAGAGCTCTTTCCTACCCGAGCAGTTCTCTCTCCCACTTCAGAGTCGGATTCTCCAGCAGGGCGTCTACAGGTGCTGCCTTCGTGTTTCACCCTCACCTGGCTTCCCTGCCACTCCTACAGCAGCCCTGGCGGGGTCGCCACGGCCCTCCATGTCACCTGGGCCAGCGGCCAGCTCAGACCTTCATCTTTCCTGACTCCTCAGCCATGTCTGGTGGGTTGAAACAGGCCCTCCTCTTAACAGCAGGCTCCCTGGCTTTCCTGACAGCTGCGCCTGCTTCTCGATCTCCTTTCTCATCTCTCTCCCCTTAAACGGCCTTAAGCAGTGTGTCCCTCGGAGCTCTGCCTCGAAGCCCCTTCCCTTCGTCCCACTGTTCCTCTCTGTGCTCACAGTCATGGTCTGAGTGGCAACAACGCCTGAATCCGCATCCCTAAACCTGAGCGGGCTTACGCCCACACACTAGCTGTACCTGCATGTCCCTCTGCTACTCCTAACTCAACATGCCCCAAACCGAACTCACCTTCATCCCCCCGCCCATCCAGCTCCCTCCAGGAGCTCCAGTGCTGTGTGGAGAACCCTCCACTCACTGATCTGGCCTGAACCGCAGGGTCAGACCGCCTCCTCCCTTCGCTCCACATCCTCACTGCATTCGATTTTCTACCAAGCCCGGCTGACCTCTACAGAGTCCTCTCAGATCTGCCGGCTTGCCTCCCACCCCCGTGGTCCAGGGCACGGTCTGGCCTGGGGAGCGGCATCCTGCCATCCTCCAGCCACAGACACACTCACGCACATGCTGTTTCCTTCAAGGCTCCCCGTTTGCCGTTGGCTTCTCTGAGGTCTGCTCTACAGTGCTTGTGGGACTACAAGGATCCCCATCTCCCAGGCCCACCCGTACCTGGGTCTCGGGGTCATCAGAACCCAGGCTGGCGGCCCCGAGCTTGACCACCTCGGCGAGCTGGGTGATGGTGGCTGCTGAGGACTGGGCTGCCTGGGCCAGCTTGTCTGGAGTGGACGCGGCGCCCGACACCAGCAGTTTTGTGTCTTCCACCAAGGCCTTGGCTGTCTTCAGGATGTTCTCCCTGGAAGGGTCGGAGCAGATGGGAGGGGAGAGACGAAGGGCCAAGCTTGGTTACTAGTCGCTGAGAAGGAAAGGAACCCTTCATGGGGGGCCTTTTTTTTAAAAGACATTAATTCACTGTCTTTTTTTTCCTGTTTAGCCTTTCATTTCATTCCTGTGCGCATGTTTTTGAGATTGCGTATTTGATGATTGACCTTGAACGATATCACATCACTTTTATTTTGTATTTATTTTCTGATACTCGATTGTCAACTTTAACTTTTTAAGACTCGACCTTCTTTTTTCCCCCAGTGTAGCTTGTTGCAGCCTAAGGGACGAGGAGGTGGCAGCAGGCTATGGCACGGAGGTCCACAGGGGTCCCTACCTCTAAAGTAAACTGTTCCAGAAGGAATGTCAGAGGAATTGAGACTGACGCTCAGAACCATTGAGGTGACTCTCACTAACAGATGCAAATGATGGACCAATGGCTAAAGAGTCTATTATTCACTCGGAGGCCAATTTAATAACAGGAGATAGAATGCCAGAAATGAGCTGAAGTTTCAAGGACATCAGTGGAAGTCAGAGGCAGCTTCCAGGAAGGTGGGCTAGGAGGATGGATGGTGGTTGTAGCCCAGAGAGAAAAAATATACAGAGCAAAAGACCAAGGAACAGGTGGCAACAGGAATTCAACCTCGGGAAATAATAAGGTGTAGTCTCTGTGCTGAGACCAAGAATGAAGTCCACTGGTAAAAAGAAAATTAGCATATGTTTCCTTTATTAATATATATATTTAAAAATGCAAGTAGGCTAAGACTCTTAACAGCATCAGGGATGATGTCTGGCCCCTCAAAACCCAAGTATTTCCGTTGTGTTACTATTACAACTTTACATGAACACATACCCACTGGATCAACTACTATATACCTTCTTCTGGATTTGCATCCAGTAACATTCAGAGTTAACACTAATGAGTGATAGTAAATAATCCTATTATTATTATGTTTATGGTCTTTCCTTTGTGGAAATTTTATTTTATTTTATCCGCCGACCCCCCAGCATTGCTGTCTACGTCCATCGGTTATGCATACATGCATATAAATTCTTTGGCTTATCTCATCCCTCTCCCTCACTCTGAACCATACTCCTTTCTATGTCTCTGGGTCTATTTTGTTCATCAGCTTATTTTGTTCATTATATTCCACAAATAAGTGAGATCATGTGGTACTTGTCTTTCTCTGATTGCTCATTTTGCTTAGGATAATGCTCTCCAGGTCATAGGGGGCTTTTTGGTGAAGGGCTTTGAGGAAGAGAGGTGCTAGACAGAGAGCCTGGCACCAGACTTTCGGAGGGCCCTGAGGAGCCAGCCCAGCTAAGACAGAAGGCTGGGAGCCCCACACCCCAAATATGGAAGGGCTCACTGTCCCGCCCCCGCTGCTCCCAAACCTGCTGAGCTAATCACAGGCACCGCTCACCAGCTTGAAAGGGAAAGGTCAGAAAGCCGAACATGACTCCGCATTGACAGTTGGCAAAGGGGCTTATTCTGTATGTGGTTCACTTTCACTTTGAACGTCTTGTTGAAATCAAAACGGATGACCATATTCCTGGTTTCTGGACAGTGTCTCTGAAGTCCAGCAGGCCCTCCTGACCCCCTCCCCACCCAGGAGCCTCGTACCTGTGGTCTGCGAAGGTCTCGTTGTTCTCTGCGTTCAGGGTCCCTGCGGTCGCAAACATGATGGTGGTGTCCAGGTCGGCGATGATCCCGGACACGGCAGTGGCGGCTGTGATACATGCCTGGGTCCCCTTGTTCCCAGCCTGGAGAGCTGACAGCACCAAGGACACCTGCAGGCAGAGAGGGACTGTCAGAGGGAGCGGAGGGAATGTAACCCAAATGTGCGCACACTCTGAAAACACTGAATTTTTCTCCGGGAGTCGATGCAGCTTCTGCGTTAACAGCACAGTTTGGGGTCAACAGCCTCGGTCTGATCACCGGTTTTGCTGTTTGCGAGCTACCTAACCTCGGGTAGGCGGGTTTACCTCTCTCGGTCTCAGTCTGCTCATCTGGAACATGGAGCTGTTACTTCTCGTCTATCAGGGCTGTTGGCAGGGTTAAGTGCAGGGAAACGCTGTACAATGCCGACCGTGGAACTCGGCACATGGCATTGGGCAGAGGGCAGGTGCTACTATTTAATTATGATTAGTTTCTGAAACCACAAGGAGAAAAGCTCAGGCTCCTGGGAAAGGTGTGGCCATGTCCATCCCCTCTGATTAGGTTTCCTGTGGAACAGCCCCTCTGCTAGGCCTCATCGCTCCCTCCCTTGGCCACTTCTCTTTATTTTTGATACACCTTCACATAGTCTTCATTTTTTAGTAAGAAGGGTACCTCTTGATTGGAAATTCTCCATACAGAGGGGACCACTGTAAGTCACCTCTACCCTATACTCTCGCGCGTCATCACCTGCCACCGAATAATTCCAATGACCCGAGGTTCCAGCAAATTGGCTAAGGTGTGCATTCCAGCATCTTCCAGTGTCAGAAACCTGCACTGCCCCCTGCCACGCCCCTTTGGTACACCCTGTTGTTCCTAGAGACACCCCTATAACACAAGCCCAGCCCCACCACCGCAGCATGCAATTCTCCCCAGCCGTGGACAGGACTTGAACAGGCTCAACTTCTCTGCCTACCCCAGCCAGCTCCGTATTTCAGCATTACAGCTCACCACTACATCAGCCAGCTCCTTACTTCCACAATCACCTGCTTCTCCCGCTCCCCGGAGGTCCGCCCTCTGTCCGCAACGCCCCCTCCCTCCTCTTCTCTGGCCACTGGTCTGCTCGTCCTGCAAGGGCCAGCTCCAAGTCCCCAAGGGGCTGTCTTCCCTACTGTCCTCTCCCGGAGAGACGGCTGCACCGCCTGAGGATTGTACACACTGTCCCTGCCCTCAGAATGGCCCACTGACCCCGATTATAACCAGTACGAACCTGGCTAGTGGCTAGAGGCCCTGAGGCCGGGCGCCGCCGTATAATCCCCGTGTACACATACTCAGCATCCTGACTGTGGCTGACTCAGAAAGGAGTCTGAAATATTTTGTGAATGAATTTTTAAGAACACGCCGACCAGGCAGTTATAGCATCAGTACAGGGCCCAGAGTTTGATGCTCTGTCCCTCCTCTGTGGCTGTAATCTCAGCAGAGGCTGTGGACAGTCTGGCAAGAGGGGCAGAGAGCCCATTCCTGAGAACCCAAGACCAACCTACAAGCAACTATTTCCCAAGTTAAATTCTACTGTGTTCCACCAGGAAAAGGTGAGTCAGACGGGCACAGAGCTGGCCTGGGAATGAGGGATCCTGCTTCTGGAAGGGAGTCCTGGAGGACAAAGGCAGGTGACCGGGAGTCTGGGAGGAGCCTCCTCAGCCAGTGTGAAGAGAAGAGCCCCCAAACAGTGTCCCGCCCAGTGTGAGAGCTGTGTAAGTTAGCTGGTGTTTATTGAGCATCTACTAGTCACTAGGAGATGAGGACAAAAATGTGAACAAGTCAAGGGGCCCAGGCTGGGGAGAATTACAAAAACCCAACCAAAAGCCTGGCTGGTGTGGCTCAGTGGTTGAGCACCAACCCATGCACTGAGAGGTTGCTAGTTCAATTCCCAGTCAGGGCAAATGCCCAGGTTGTGGGCCAAATGCCCGGTGGGGCGCACGGAGGAGGTAGCTGATAGATGTTCTCTCTCATTGATGTTTCTCTCTCTCTCTCCCTCTTCCTTCCTCTCTCTCTAGAATCAATAAAGAAAAACAAAACAAAACACCCAACCAAGACATGTGAGAGAGACGGGGGCTGGGGCAGGAATGGGAGGGCAGGAGATTAGAAGGGCAGAGGCCCATAGTAAGAAACTAAGAAAATGCCAAACAGACTGGCTACTCTGAACAAGCCTCCCTTCTGCCTCGGATCCTTCTCCAGGTGCCTAAACCGCGGCTCCTCTGCTGGGAGAAGCAGTAAGACCAGGGCCAGCTCAGGGAGAGCACACTGCTTGGCCAGGCTCACCAACATGATGCAGCTTGAACCCTTCCCTCCCCCTCCCCCTCCCCCTCCCCGTTTCAAGGTCTTCTGCTGGGAAACTTGGCCAGAGTAACTTCAATAACAAGGAAGGGCTTTCAAAGGAGGGACAGTGCCTTCCTCGAGCTGAGAGACTTCCTCCTGCCGCAGGTCCAGGGAGGCCTGGAGCGTCCTGTGGGCTATGGGAGACATCCGGGTTGCGGCTTGGCCTCAGTGAGGGGCCAGGTACACAGCAGCCTCTGTAGGGCTGCTTCCAGGTGAGGGGTGTCCCACCACCCCTCAGGCCCTGTTGCCAAGCTACTGCACAGTGCAGAGCTCTGTGTCCTAAGAAGCCAAGTGAAGGAGCGGGAAGCCGGCCAAGCAGATGCTTCAGCCTGCGCCCGGCAGCCTGTGGAGGAGCTGCCCTGAGAAATGACTCGGAGAAACAAGCCAAGCACAAGATGAACTTACTGCAGGAGAACACAGGAGACACTGGGAACGAGGGGCCACTTAGAGCGGAGCGCTGTTCACCAGGGGAGGCTTCCCGGGACAGCAGTGTCAGAGGCCAGGCGGCTGCTGGCATCGCTAAGGGAACTGTGCCTGGCAGGGCACTGACACACACACCACGGCTACTGGTCTGCCCAGCCCCTGGGCCGGGACGGACACTATTTCTTTACCCTCATTTCACAGAGGAGGGGTTCGTGGTCTGGGAGGTGAAGTGACTTAGCTGAGATCCTAGAACCCCATCCACTACCCTATGTTCTCTCTCAAACAGCTGCCCCCAGAGTCCAAAATGTCCCACAGGCGCCAGCTCTTCCAGCCAGTGCCATGCAACCCCAGGCAGGCGCTGGAGCCGCCCCCACGTCACGGGCTGGCCTGGAAGTACAGAGGTTACGCGAAAGGAGCTCTAGGTCCCTCTTTCTCAGCCACCCAGCACCTGGGAGCCTCCCTGAGAAGGAAGAGCAAGGGGCAGAAGTGTCAAAGGGGTGGCAGGGAGGGGCCCTTGGCTCTGATACGGTCTGTCCAGTCTGTGCAGGTGAGCCCTGTGAGGTGCCCCCCTGGGGCCCTGACCTTCGTGGGACAGACCCTCTCAAACGCTGAATTTCTCAGGGCCTACGGATCACCCCAGCTTCCTGATGTGCCCCATCCCTGGGGAGACCCCGGGCTAGAGGGAAGACAACTGGACCCGACTCAGTGGGGTTGTTTTTGGCTTGGCTTCTTGCACATGACCTTGGTCACAGCAGGTCACTGCAGCCTTCTGACCCAGGGCTGCTCCTTACCTTCTCAGTGACTGCGCGGGCACACTCGATGAGCTCCCTCTTGGTGTAGCTGTCGGTGGGGCACACCTGGAGGGCCCCTGCCTTCTGTACCAGGAAGATGCAGCCGTGGCCCAGGTCCTGCACTCGAGTGCGAATCTGGAAGCCGATCTGCGGGGGAAGCCAGGGTGGGGAAGGAGAAGCATGATGGACCCGGCCATTGAGGTCCTCCCTGCGTGGAAAATTTCTCCTGCGTCCTATGGGAGCCTGGCTAGGAAAATTCCACTGCTGTGTGGAGTCTGTGCTGGGTAAACTATGGAATTTGGTCGATTTTGCTTCCCATTTTTAGAGACTGTAAAATGCCCAGTCCTCAGTGAGCAGGTCCGCACCTCATCTTCCTAACGTAATGCCTTCCTGATAGCTGCTGTCTTTTCTGGTGTGTGGCTTATCCCTACCCCGTGCCAACTGATCCGAATGCCAGTTCCATGAACTCTGCTGGATACGGGATTCTGTTATTCCTTCAACAAACATTTATGGAGCCCCTACTGTGTGCCAGGGGCAGTGCACTTACTTTCCTTTAGTCCTCACAATGGCTCTAGCAGGTAATTAGAAGTTCAAAATATATAGCTTTAGTATTAAGAATATTTTCAAGTGTTCAGATTCTTGCAAAATTGGTATGTTTACCCATCCGAATGGCACCCTCCTCAGCTGCACCTCTGGTGAGCACGACCATGTGGTGCCCAGGCTTGAGGTTTTCTTAAAAAGGTACATTTAAGAGCTAACGGCTCAGCAGGCACGCATTCTTTTAATGACCTCTGGCTCGTGTGATTATAAAAGGTACTTTGCCTAAAAGAAGCCAAATGAGCTGCACCATGGGTTAGCTGCCAGCTGTCTCTTTAAGGTGTAATAAATTCCGGGCCACCTCCCCAGGTCCACATTCCTCTGGCTGTCTCACATCAGTTTTCATTTGGGTTTGATCAGTACAGCTGCCATAATAATCTGACCTCCAGCCCAGGTAAGCAACTAAAAACAAAACAGATAATGACCTTTAGGCTTTCATCCATAAGTGTTCTTTTCAAGAAATCACAATAGCAAGCAGCTGTGGCTTATCCTTCCAGTATCATAAAGAATTGCTAAGTAACCTCAGGTATTGGGAATAACATCTGGGCAATTGGGCCACCTGGATGCTGTCTTTTAATAACATCCCAATCGACAGCTTAAGGAAGGGTGACTTTGAGGAGAGGAGGAGGCTGCCATGGTCAACCCTCCTATTATCAAAACACTTCCTGCTTTTAGGGAGAAAACGAATTCCCTTAACCCCTAAGGCTCAAAGGATGTTTAAATCCACTAAAATAGAACATTTTCCTCATCCAGAAAGTTTTGGTGTCTTCTATTGTATCCAGAAAGCCACAAAAGCTTCGCAGTCAGGCAGGGCTTCTTGTTGGCCAGCTCCGCGTAGCACACGCAGGAGTGGCACCCGGTCCCCAGCCTAGCAGCACAGCAAGCACCTCGGGACTGGAGCAGCAACAAGGCCGCCATGAGGTGGGGCGAGGCTATTTAAATAGAGCTGTTTGCTGGGCATTGCTCCTTGCTTTAAGCACCAGGTCAAACTGAAGCAGAGAAATGTCCCAGTCAAGGTGAAAACACAACCTGGCTCTCTGCTTTTCTGATCCATTGAGTTTATCCCCAAATACTCAAGAGTCAGAGCTAATCCAAAGGCAAGTGCTCTGCGGTGGATGAGGACCACAGATCTCTAAATGATAGGTGCGGCTGGGAGAGTCAGGTAAGGGGCAAGTGGAGGAAAAAACATGGATGGAATCTCAAAATAGAAAACGGCCTTACCAGTCCAACCTCCCTTCATTACAGATGGAGACTGAGGCCAGAGAAGTGTGTGACTGGCCCAAGGTCACACAGCCGGCCCTGGGAAAGCCAGCCGGCCGAACCCAGGCCTCTACCCCAGCACAGCGCTCTAGCCGAAGAGCAGAGCTTTTCTAACTTTGACTTTTCCCGCTTAGCAGCAGAGCCCCAGACGCACCCCCAGAAACGCTCTCATGAAACCCTAACATGTAAAATTAACAGAATTTATTTTTCGTATACTCTTCTTTATGAGTTAAAATTTATATCCTTGACTCAATAAAAAGCCAACAATGAAACTGAGTGAACCCAACCCTAAAAGTCGGAGTTCTGAGAGTCAGCTGCAGCCTCAGCCACCAACCCACTTCTGGGTTGGCTTCGGTTGCGAGGCGCTGAGCAAACCCTGTTGTGCGCGATAAAGCGACAGGAGCAGCTCCCGTGCAGTCTCCTGCCCCGAGCGGGCCGGACAGAGCTGCCAGCCTGTGGTGCACACCAACCACTGGCCCGGGGGAGGCATGGGGCCCCCATGGGTTGCCATCTGGCCTAGAATCCATTCAAGAGTACATGCAGCTTTTCCTAACAGTTTTAAAAATAGTTCAATTATGTTTGAAAAGTGAGACTTGAGTCAAATGTGCAGAACTTCCCAAGCCCCTCCCTGCGTCAGAGTCCTGAAGAGGCAGGTGTGGAACCTGGAATCCCGCTCCCCACACAGAGCTCTCTGGTTACAGAATGATGGGGTACTGGGATAAGCGCAGACCTCTTAAATCGCTCCCAAATCACACTGGGGGTGGGAGGAAGAGGGGACCTGCTCCTGAGCTGTCCCAAACCTGAAACCTATGGGCAGACATGGTAAGTGATGGGAATATGTCCTCAACAACACTCTCAGGCTCCCTCAGCCCCCTCTCAAAAGGCCATGCTATAAAAACACACCCCAAGGTCCTGACACTCAGCCCCTTACTTGGAGGTGATATCATGTAACCAAAATCTTGACATGTGACAGGGGAGCTGTCACAATGGTCACCAGGGCTGAAACCCCAGTGAGGAGGGGCAGTGCCGGAAAGCAAAGGGATGAGATTAAACATGGGAACAGCTGCAAAAGCCCTTGGGATTGCTTGGCCTGGGCAGTGGGCAGTGGGGTCTGCATCAGGTCACACAGTTACCTCCTAGGTGCCTGGGGGTCCCCTTGAGGTATGGCCTTGCAAACCTCCTGTACATTGGGCTGCAGGGTCCTACTTGGCCAGCATGCAGGAGGGATGCAGTCTTACACAGGACAAGTTGAAATCAGCTTAATGTAATGAAGGGGTCTCAGGATCCCCACCCCAGCCCCACTCCTGTTCTCAACCCTTCACCATGGGCCCCATGGGTGGCAGAAAGGACCAGGGATCTTGCTTCCAGCCCTGCCCTTCCCTGGGCACCAGATCCTGGGTGAGCCTGCTAACCTCCTGGGAACTAACTCTGTTCCCTCGCCTGCGACACAGGCAGAATCTGCCCTGCCCACTTCCCAGGGCTGATGGACGACCCAATGAAAGACACGTGTGAAAATATCGTGTAAAGCAGAGACTGCCACGTGGAAGATAGCAAGGGTGGCCCAACAAAACTGGACCCGAACCTGACTTGTCCATGTAGTTACTTCTTCACTTACTTGAAACTTCACTTATCCCCAAAAGTTGTTTCAAGTTGCTGCAACACTATGGGAGCTGTGTGGTCTTGGACAATGTACCTAAGCTCCAAGCCTCGGTTTGCTCATCTGTGGACGGGGAGGACAGGTGGTTGCGGGCACCACACAGCACAGCGCCTGGCTGTGAGAAGCAGCTCCCACTCCTACCCTTCCACGGGGCACTTAATGCAAGGGGGCAACAGAATCGACATATCAACAAAACAGTCATCTATCGACTGCACTGTCATGGAGCACTTTGTACTGCCAGAGGAACATCTAGCGAGGAATACATTCTAAAGATTGTATCCAACAGAGAAGGGCTTTTGAACACTGAGTTTCTCACAGCAACACTCAACTTCTCAGCATATGTGCCCAGCCCCCAGGGTGAGCCAACTTACCACCAATGTTTGTTACAAAGAGATGCTGCTCAAAGACATTAAATGTGGGGTTTTAAATTGGCGACTTTGGGAAAACATGCCTTGAACCCTCAAGGAAAACCCTCAATTCCCTCCTTGCCCTAATGAAAGTAAAATGGAGAAGATGGTCTCCTGGTTTTGAATCTTGAGGGAAATTGGAAGCCTGGCCTTCATGGGGTTTGGGATCAAATTTCAATCCGAAGGAGTCTAAGAAATACCAATCATCTCCTTTATGGCTGGAAACTCAACTAAACCTACAGGTTTTCTCGGGCTTTAAAAACAGTCGCATCTGAAACTGGGTCACTGTGCTGCCCCTTGGAGAGCCTGTGGAAGCTGAAATGACAGTGCATGCATCTGACAAGCCTGCCCACTTCTCCGTAGGACAAGGACAGCGTGTGCAGGAAGAAGCAGGGCAGCACTTCTGCAGCCACGGAAAGCGGTCTTGGAGTGGAGAGTTTCGACTTGAGAGCCAGCACCCACCTCATCGGGCTGGGGAGGGGGCTCTGGTTCTCACCACAGGAGCCACAGAGCTTCCTGCCAGCTCCCTGTTCCCTTGGAGACACAGCTGTGTCACCGAGTCTCTTCCCCAGCATTACACGTAGGAGCTGAGGCTCACGGGACCTGCATTTCTCCCTTTCTTCCCTTTTTTTTAAAAAGAGGAAACTAATGTTAAATTGCAAAGTCGCCCGAGGGTTTTAACTTTTCTGAATAAAGAAGTTTTCACAGTGATGTTAACAAAAGTTTCAATTTTCCATGGAAAAATAAGCAAGATAAAGCTCCCACTTGATGTTCCCAGGGCAGAGCTCCGACTTTTCCTGTAATTGTCACATTCTGGAAAAGACCAAAGCGCTGACTCGGCACAGCGGAGGGCGGGGCTGCAGCGAGGGCGGCACGGATTTATCTGCCTTGGATATAAATATTTTCACATGCTGTGATGTGGGGGCCCTCTTGGGTACAAAGATAATTCCACGGTCTTGGAATAAAAAACTACATCGCTTCAGGGATCTCCCAGCCTTCTCAGTTTCCCCCCAAATATCTGTCTGGCAAACGCACACAGAGAATTTTCCTTTGCAAGGCATTGGTAATTTTATATTCTCTCTGCCCCTTCTCCCTCCGGTCACACGCTCACGTCTGGAATGTAAAATACATCTCAAGATGTAGCGGAGAAAAAGGAGACTCTTAATGAAAACATCAGCTGCTACAAATGCTGGGCCCATAGCTAAAGTAACTAGTTGTGCTTTTAACAGCACATTCTCCTTCCTGGCTGCTGTGGTGTGAGTCTGTATTTTGCTTCAATGGTTTGGGTTGCAATAGGACAGTCTGCTTGCTTCACATACGGGTGGAACTCAGGTGCGGAAAAGGCTCCGGCAGATTACTGGGTCTTCACTCAGTAACTCAGACAGGCCAGCGTGTAAACTAACCAAGGCAGATGGTTGTGGATCCCATTTTTAGAAGATTTCTGGAGTCCAAGCCAACCCTCCCTCGCAACACAGTCTCTTTTAGTTCTAATCTCCCTGTAAAGCCAAACCCTTCTTCCCTTTGTCCAACCAAACTCTTCCTTCCTGTGTAACACAAGTTCCCTTACACTTATTTATGAAATTCAAAACTACATGTATGTCAAATAAATAATGAGTCCAGATGATTGGTCAATTCCTTAAAAAAAAAAAAATGATGGGCCTTTGTAAAGAACCAACAGAATCTTGATGTGGGTCTCTGAACATTTTTCTTTCTTGGTAGTGACTTAACAGACTCATTACAAATAGAATTATTCATGCTGCAGCTTAAAGACTCAATCATTCTAAAAATCTCAAAGTGCAGGCATTGTTAGAAACTGGTCATCCCATGCCAGATATATATGTATGCGCGTACATATATATGACACTCCTATCTCCATGCACTGTTACAATGTCCGTTAGAAAGTGATTTTTGTTTTGGGTCTTCATTTCTGCAGTGTCTCTGGGAGCCTCTGTTCAGACATGCTTAGACCTGACTCCCAGGAGAAACCTGTGGACACTGACCGCACGGGGAAGAGAAGACAGTCACCACCTCTGCTGTGACAGCCGGTTCATCCTGGAAGGTGGTGGACAGGCTGTGCCCAATAAAGAGCTTGCTGAATGTCACGGAGAGTGGCTGCCTCCGTCGTCCCAGTGTCCCTGCAGTCCATCCATTAGTTTTATCTCAGACTGAGCTCCCTTCCTCTCAGGAGCCCTGTAGTGGCTGGGGACAGTCCCTTCTGCGTGGTAACACTGAGACGGCATGCAGTCAGGCACCCAGACCTCCACCCATCCTGTGTGCTTCCCAAGGGTCCACTCAATTGCTCAGAGGTATCAGAGATGGGCACTCCCAGAAAGTGGCCTTTGGGACCAAACTTTGGCCATTTTAAGATTCCTAGGGGTGCAGGCATTCTGAGGCAAAGTCTGTGTTGGCCACTAGGAACATGAGTTTGGGGAAGGTGGGTTGGTCATGAACAGGTCTGCAGGAGCTATGGGAATAGGGATCTGGGCCAGGTCTCAGAAAGTCACCAAAAGCATTTGGGCATGATGTCGTTTCATGAGAGTAGGCTATACAGCCCTTTCTCAAGACAGGGGCAGCGGAACTCCAACACTTCAACGAGCCCTTGGAAAGTAAAAATAACCAAGGGAAAGGTGCTGGGCAGGAGAAGGAAACAGAAGGAAGACGGCAGTGGGTGTTCTGCCCTTGGCATCAGGTGATGGGCCAGGGGCCGGGGACCTGACAGAACTTCATAAAGAGAGTCCTTCTGTCTGAAAGCCCACCTCCCCAGATGGCCCCAGACCTCAGCCAGAAAGCACAGTGAGCCTCGAGCACAGCCTGGTCTGCTGGGCCTGAACCTGGGGGTTGGCAGCACACAGTGGGAAGAGGCCTGACTCTGGCTCACAGGCCGGGGTCTTCTGGAATGGAGCTAAGCTATGGAGGACCCTCCCCCCGCCCCCGGAGTGGGCACCAGGGTGGGTTGGCTTCTTAAAACAGGGGCTTAAGGTGGCAGACCTCCTCTGGTTCCGCCGTGGCTGCTGCCATCTGGCCCTGGAGAGCCAGGTGCCCATAGTCACTGGTCATTTGTGAAGCCAGTCCTCCCAACTCCTCCGGGTTAGTAACCGACTTAGTCATCTGGAAAAAGAAAACAAGCAAGACACAAAACACACACAGAGAAAAGCATGAGAACCACGTGTTAATACCTGGAAGCCAAAGGGTGTCATTCACTTTTCAGCTCTTGGCTTGCACTTGGGGCTGGACACTGGAGAGGGCAGTTCAAGCGAAGCCCATGCTGCGTCGCACACAACAGGCCAGGGCCCCTCTTAGGCCAGCAGGTCCTGGCCAACGGGCCGCATGCTAGGCTCAGGCCGTGCAACGTGGGGGCCGGGCCCTCAGGGTCCACTCTGGGAGGTGGCCCAGCCAGCCCTGCCGTGAGGTCAGTCACCAGAGGAGTTCCCAGGAAAACCACAGGGGCACACTCTTGTGCAGCGCACACCCGGTCACACGTCTGCAGAGTTCGTCTGGGCTCCAGGAACCCAGAAGTGGGTCCCACTCGGACGAGAGGGCGTGTGGACGGGGCTGCTATGACTTCCCGTGACTGAGAAGCGAAGGGTAAGACAAATGCTTTGGAGGAATACATTCCTAGAGAATTTGTGCCAAAGAAAGACAAGGTTTTGGCCCCCAAATGAGTTAAGGGTATACTGCAGCCTAATGGTAAAGATCTGCCTTTTTATTATCAAGATGTTCTCTATGTTCCTCCTGTTTCACAGAAAAACTCACCTCAGCCTACCCTACCTGGCTAGCGTGCTGGCTTCACGTTGCCCTCTTCCTCTGACAAAAGTGCACTTGTGTCCACAACAGCACCCAGAAAGCTCTCCTCACCCCTCGGGTAAGAGGCTGCCCACCTGCCCCTGCTCTTCTCTCACTCTGGATGACAAGATGTTCTCTCTCTGCAGCGTCCGGAGACACTGATTTTAAAGGACTTTAAAAACTCTTGTAAGTGTCTCCACGTCCACGGAGGTGGGGCGGAAAGTGCAGCCACGTTCACCAGGAGACACCACAGGGTTTCAGGCCAAGGTGGGGGCTCCCAAGGGACGCATGCTGAACCCCAAGAAAGCGAGGCTAAACCAAGAGCTACTATGAGGACCACCAGGATTCTGGGGTGCCCAGGGCAGTGAAGTGGGACTCTGGCCACCTCAGGGCCCAGACTGGTTGTCCCACGTGTGAAAATGCAGCCAAGGCCGGGCTCCTTAAGAACATGGACACCACGGTCAAGACAGGCTGGCCGAGAACCTAGCCCAGGAGATATTCCAGAAACACCATGAGGCCACTCAAAGTGCCGACACCCTCTGCCACGCTGTGTTCCCTGCTCAGAGGAATTGGCACCGTAGGGCTGCCTGATGTGACCTGTGACCGACCCCGGAGCGACCCTACGCGGGGCCAGCTGGGCCCTGCTCCAGCCTTTCCCAGTCACTGAGATGGGCACGGTCCCTGCCTCCCGCCCCAGCCTGGCACAATCATAGCTTCTAAGAATGAGCAGCAGCAGCCAGGGAAGCCTTTGTGGTCCAAGCTCAACCTCTAGTGGACACACGACTACATGACAAAACTATCCTGACAGGCAGTGGGCCAATGCGGCAGGGGCCACGTGATGGCCTCTGGCCCGCCAGCTGGAGGGCTGCCTGACCTCTCAGCTGGGCTTCTGTGGCAGCGTTAACGAGGCAGCTTTCGGAACGACCCGCACCACCCGAACCTTCGCACGTGGAGCGGACTTTCCTACTAGTCCTCCTATTAATTCCTCGATAGCACCCACTGTCTCTCAGTGCTATTTATACCTAAAGATCCATATACACGATTATGATTGCATTACACTTTAGGGAAAAAAATCAAGTTACCTCTAAAAATTATATGCCTTCTATTGTCAGGAAAAGTTTTTTTTATACATAACCACTGTGTTTCATTTTGCCTGAAAGACTGGCAATCTTATTGTTCAAATATTATAATTTGATTCATCAATCTATGCTTGATGCCCACATGTCTTCTCTTGTACTAGAATTTCAATCTATGAAAACACCTCAGGTCTTTCGTGAGGTGAATAGGAATTTCTTTCTTTCTCCGTAACTCCCAACTCCCTTCTCATTTCCTCCTCGATTCTCATGCGATCTCCTTCCTTTGCTCCCCTGTCCCCATGCTCAAGTCCCCAGTCACCGCTAATTCCCTTCGGCCGCGGACTGGGGTTTCCGGGCCACAGGCAGCCACAGAGACCATGGAGAAAGGACAGAAGCTGGGCCAGGAGGAACAGAAACACAAACTAATCTCTCCAACACAGACCCTGGAATTACAGGCTTGGTGGTGGCGTGGCTAACGGGGCACCAGCAGCGGGCGGGGCAGCTCCTTTCTCCTTACCATTTCCTGAGCTGTTACCGCAATGGCTTTAGAGTATTTGACCACAGTCGTCTGATAGTCGACAAATGTTCCCTTTGGTTCTGGAGGAGTGCCATCGTCCAGCTAGAGAGAGGAAAGGAACCCAAAGGTCACGAGAGTCCAGTTGAAATGTGGACTATACTTATTAGAATTAGGAACTTTAAAAATGGAGGGGCCCTCCGAGTTTCTTTGGCCCAGAGTCAACAGAACCCCCAACTTCTGCAATGAGGACTTCATCAGAGGCGCATGTAAGGCATTCAAAATACACAGCCAGGGAGAGGCCCCCAGCCTTGCCTGGCAGGAGTGGGGGACTTTCCAGAAGCAGGAGGTTTCAGCCAAGTCTTATGTGGGGCGGAGTCCACTCCATATATAAGGTGGGGAGTCCGTCCCCAGGAGATGGAGTAGCATCTAAGCATGTAAAGGTGGGAGTGAGCTGGACAACTGTAGGGAAGCACAAAATGACAGAAATGGCCTGAGAGAGGAGGCAGAGTCTACACCACCAAAGGCCTCCGCGGGAATAGTGTAGCCCACAGATGTCTCTACCCTGGAACATTCACTTCTGGCCTAAGGTGGCAAAGAAGAAACTGGAAGCACCAGATACTATTTGTTCCTTGTCTGGCTCTAAGTGCAACAGAAATTGAGAGATGGGAGGAAGAGGGAGAGAAGTGGGACAATGGCTCTGCTCCTTGAAGGTCAGGGACATATTGGTTCCGAAGACTTGTATCCAAGACCTGGTTCCAGGGCTTGTGAATGGGCCTCAAGCTTCAACTCTCTGAGTCTCTGGTCCTTCACTGGAAAGTCCTAAGCATCGGAAGGTTGTAGTCAAGATCAGCTGAGATTGTGCCCAGAGTCAAGAGCTACATGAAGGAAGAGGAGGTGATGACTGTGATACTGAAGAAGATAATAATGATGAAGAAACGGGCAACCCGTCTTCACCAATATCATCATCGTGATGGTCACCATTGGTTGCTGAATGACACTCAACAGGTGAGGAGACAAAGTGAATATAAATAAAGGAAGAGTAAGTACAGTGAACAGAAGGGGCTGTTGAAAGTTGTGAGAATGAGGCTGATCTGCTTAATGAAGAACTGTGACACCACGAGAAAAACGGTGGCACTGGGGGGCAGGCAGTGGCATAATGAGAAGATCTCTCTGGAAGTTCTGCCAGGTAGCTTGTAGTCAGGGAAGAGACAAGGGGCCAAGAGGGCAATTAGAAAAATATCAGATGGAGTCTTCAATAAGAGCTCAACATCATGAGCAGGTGTAGGCGACTATGCGAATTGAAGGAATGTATGGCTGTAGCCTGTGAGTGATGGGTCTGCGCAGCCCAGGATGTAAGTCCCTCCAAACCATCGACACAAACTCCAGGCTAGATCTTTTTTTTTAAGGTTTCTTTACCAGGGAGACAGATGCTGCCCTGTATCTCGTCACACCAAGGGGGCCTTGCAGGTCGGGTGAGGATGGAGTTGTGACTCGTACACTCAGCACTGACTGGCCCCTTCGTGATGTCAGGGGTGCTGAGCGCCCTCATGGGTGACGAGGCGCCGCCGCAAACCCTGCAGAGGGTCGGAGCTAGAGGGCGGCTTAGGGCACAGGCCCCTGCCCCAGGGCCAACCTTCTGCTAGTTTGAAGACAGAGAGAAAAGTAAGAACAAAAGGGTGAATTAAAAATTTTTTCTAATTTAAAGAACTTTCCTTTATTCTAAGATTATAGTCTTCCTACTGTTTTTTGGATGTTAACATGATCTTTCTTTTATGAGATAATAGTGATGTAGATAGCAGTGTTTTTGTTTTGTTTCTTTAGTTTCTTTTCTTGGCCACCCTCCGCCCCTCAAAAAAAAAGAAACAAGCCCACCAAACAAACAAAGAAAAGATACTGGGTCACAAAATCCCTAAGGTGGAGGACTGACATCATAGAACGGGGAAACCACGGTTCAGAGAACTTGAGTGATTTGTCCAACGTCACCCAGAAAGCTGAATGTTTCCTATTATCCTATTAGTTCCCACACCTCTGGGGCTGAGATACAGAGAGAATCTCTAGCAGAACCTCCACAGCAGAAGCCTCAGCAGTGTCAAGAATTGCATCCAAATTAGAATCAAGTTTGGGAACATTCACATTTTTCTGCCAGTGACCGTCTTTGAGAATTTTAGACAAGGATTCTAAACGTGTATCTATATTTTAATCAAATAACCGAAACTCAGAAAATGCCAGGATTTCTAATGCCTTGTTGCTGAGGGAGGGCTCAAAGGACCCGAAGCACCACTTAACACAAAGCCCCCCGCGGGCAGGCTGGGCGGCTGCGTACAGGGAGAACGGGAGCGAGGCGCTGTACGGTACACCTTGGGAGTCAGGTGTGGGTAGATGAGAGTTTTGGGGTATCAAGGAAACCCCAATTGTATACTTTATAAGACTGAGGGGGTGGGGCTTTTTTGCTGGCTTCTGTGACTCACACTGTTATAGCTCCTAGTTACTGCGACCAAGTAAGCCAGACTCCTCCCCAGCCCTTCAAAGGAATCTACAGCACTGACATCAGCTTGTACACGCGCTGCCTTCCCTACTGGGAATCCATCACAGCCCTCGAGGCTGAAAGGCTATTGGGAAAGGACCTCAGGGACCTCACTTCTAACCTCCAGAGATTTATGAGACTCTTCCCTATCATTACAGTGATTGTGAAAGACACCTTCTCCCAAGAAGAAACAGCTTATCACTTGGATTTCTAATTTGTACTGAGAAACCTTGAGCACCATTATTTAATACCCTTGGTAGACACCTGGCTTATTTTCAAAGCTCTGGTATTCTGATACCCTGAAAACAAACCCACTGAGACTCACCCAAGGGCCTTGAAAAGGAGGGGAATTTCACTCATTTTCTGCCAAACTGTCCATATTGGAAGCATGAGAAGCCCACAGCAGAAATTACTGCAGTGCTTTAGCAAGGCAAAGCCTGGAGTCTCAGGTCTTGAAAGGGAGCCCCAGCATCCCTGCCCGGCTTGTGACTTCATCCGTCTGATAATGACTGCACAATGTTTAAGGGGAATTATCCTAATTATAGTTTCAGGCCATCATCTCTTTATAAAGATATGAACCAACCAATCTTCTCTAAATTAGCAATTAAAGATTGCTTATTTTCCTGAAAAACCATAAGAATGTGGTCACAATCTGACAATGGACATTTCAAAACACAGACAATGTCTAAAAGTCTTGGCTATGCTCTCATAGGATAGCAATTAGATGTTTATGAATAACTGTTAATTCTGATGAATAGCAAACTGACATGACTAATCAGGGTTCCTTGAGAGAAAGAGCAGGAGATACAGAGTTAAAACTGTCTCCAGTCATATTTCCCTGCTGACCTAACTCAACCGATGGGCCCCTAGAGGAGAAATGATCCTCATGGTATCGTCTATATCCGTTGCCTGTAAGATTGCACTAGGGCTTTTATACGGTGGCAATGGTTTCTGCATCTGGCTAGATTTAAAAAAAATCTGGAGAGATTTAAAAAATACATACACAGAGAGATTCCCCAGCCTCCACCCCATAGAGATTCCAGTTGGGCCGGGCTGGGCAAGGGCCCAGGAATGTGCCTTCTACAATGATCCCATTGACTCCAAAGTGGCCATTCCAAAGACCAGCACTTGGGAATCACTTCATTGTTTCATTTTGAAGTTTGTTCCCTACAACAACTCTTCGAGGTAGACAGGGGAGGTGGATAATCATTTCCATTTCATAAGCAAAGTAACCAGTGGTACCTTCTGCATCTCCATTTCCCCCCGTGTAGAACTGGAAGGAAGGATACTCCTGGTCAGCAAAGTAATCCATGAACAATGAAGAATGAATATGATGAACATTCAATAGGGGGCATCTGGACATTAATCAGAGGCCTCAGTAAGAGAAAGGGGCTCCTCAGGGGAAAGCACCCAGGGACCACGTCTGCGGGACGCCATGGAGGAAGGGGGTCGGGGAGGGAGGGGGTGTTTGGGAGCCCAGACCCACCTTGCTCATGGCTTCTGCGATGGCGTCGACCATGCCTCCCACCAGCCCCACCTCACTGGCAGCTTCGTTCAGCGTCACCATGATGTCGTCCACGGCCTCCTTCATGAGCTGGGCGGCCTCTGTGATGGCGTCGTGGGTGTGCTGTGCCTGAGGAGGGAGGGCAAGAAACTGAACGTCTCCTCGGCGGAAGGCGGCGCCCAGTCCCTTCAGCGCCACTTCGCTTCTTTTAAGAATAACCATAAAAAGCAGAATACAAAACGTATCCCCATTATGGTGCACAGCAATGTATTTTTTCCTCTCCTTTATTACATTTGTACATTGGTTTTCAAAACAAATAAAAATCAGGGAACCAAACAGAAAAAAATCTCTCCACAATCCAAAGGAAAAATAAAACTGTATTATCAAGCAGCGTCTTATGACGTGATTGATTTTATGTTACTATGTTCAGGGTGGTAGAGAATGCCACAGATTCCCTAATACACAAGTTGACATATTTAATTAAAAAAGCTAATATAAAGAAAAAATATGTGCACATCAAATGCACTTCTCTTTGAAGCTTCCCAGCACACTATAATTCCCTTTCCACAAAAAAGACTGCTTTATGGAAACGTAGGTACGTACAGGAGTCATAAATCTGTAAAAGACCTGACAGGCTTTGGAACTATGTCACAATGACAGCACCACGAGGCCAGAGGAATCACTGAGGGACGTTCTGCAGGGACAGACGCTGTGCGGCAGCACCCAGAGTGCTCACGAGTTCCCCTGGATGGTGCCTTGGAGATGCTGTAACTGCAGGCATGTAATCTGTGTGCCAAGCACACAGTAGAAGCTACATAAACGCATGAAAGGATGAAAAGTGAAGGGTGCTGGGCCCTCTGAAAGATACCTCAAATGGCAGCCCGATGCAGGGCCATGAGCCAAGGTCCTGGGTCAGGAAAACCTGAGTTCTAGTTCTAACTCCGCTGTTAACTAGCTAAGTGGCGCTGAGGTTGGCTTCCTAAGCAAAATGGGAATGATGACAACGCTAGGCAGTGGGATTCCGATGACATCACATGGTGCAGGTACCTTTTCATCTCTGATGAGTGGTCTAGCTGGGGTCTGAGCCCATAACCCAGAAATCGGACCCAAAGCCGGGCAGTTGGGGTCAGCGCTGCCCTGCACCAGGCCTGCCTGTAGTGACCCCGCTGCCCTGCCCACTCTAGGGGCAGGTGACCCTTCCACAAGGTCCAAGAAATTTCATCTTTGCTTTGGTAGATGAGATGGTAAGGAAACCAGAGAGAGATGATAAACGACAACTCATTTGAGTGATTTAAACAAAAGAATTTCCAGAGGGCGTGTGGGCCACAGGAACGCGCTGTCTGCAGTATTGAAAAGCTATGGGAACCAAGAAGGGTTCTTCCAAAATGACATCTGCCAAGATGGGAAACATGCTGATCACATTCAGTATCCTTGGGCCAACTGTGTCAGGATGCAAATGTTAATTACTGACCATCACTACTCAAATTGCTCTAGAAGATAACAATGAAAAGTAACCTGGGGGAACAAAGGCTCCTTCACTCTTTTACCAGACTGGTGTCCAGCTTTGCTAGTTTTCAGGCCCTCCATGGGGGCCGGGAGGCAGCCCCTCTCTAGACTTACTTCCCCTTCTCCCTGGCATGGCGCCCTGGCTGCCGCCTGGCTGGCCTGCTCACAGACAGGCTCACCCTCTGTCTGCAGTGACTGGTTCTCTTCACCTCCTCCCTTTTCCCTTCTCCCCTCCATCCAAATCCAGGCATCAGGCTTGGGAGTGACCGAGCCTCAGGTCATTCAAGCCCCAGCCGCCGTCTGGCTGAACGAGAACCATCTTGAGCTCCGTGAATCTGCAGGCCCACCAGAGGTAGTACTAAAACGGTGTTTTAAGCCACTACATTATAGGATGGCTTGGGGGTAGCAGTAGCTAATTGGAACAGTACCCAGGAAGGGTTCATAGGCCAGCCTTGGGATCAGAGAAGACTTTTCTAAGGCGGTGTCTGGGGTGAGGGTGAACCCTGGAGGAAGAGTTCAGTCACTAGCTGAGCTGATGGGGTGAGAGAGAACGGGGAGCCTTCTGGGAAGAGGACACAGCCTGTGCAAAGGCCCAGCGGCGAGAGGGAATGTGGACTGTGAAGCTGAGGTGAGGCGCCGCATGCGAAGCGCATGGCATGCAGCTCTGCCTGCGGTCTGTTCTCTCTCACCCACGCCAGGTGGTCTCCCCAGCCAGACCCCGTGCTTCGTGCAGAATATGTGCTCTGCTTCTCTTTGCAAGCACCGTGGTCACAGGAAATGAAGGGCCTGATGGAGTCACCAGGTGGGGAAGTACCAGAGAGACAATTTTATTCTCAGAAAAATGTTCACAAGAATAACGGTCACAGGCTGCTGGTGCAGAGTTCTCTGGAGAGGCCCATTCAGAAATAACTGAAACCATCTGTTTGTATACTGTGAAACAGGCATGGCGGAGAGCTGACAGCACAGACGTGGCTGGCCTCGCGCCCGACCCTGATGACACGCTCTAGCTCTTCTGATTGGACCAAGAACACCTGCCAACATTCACGTAGATGCTGGCAAGATGCCAAGGGCTCACGTGTACCTGATACACCGCAAGAGCCAACCTGTAGGCCCACTGTGACTTTCATACCAGTTTAAAAATCTATGTTCCTGTATCTTGGGTCAGGCATTTTAGCATTTTACAGAGGTTCCCCAGGAACAACAATACATGTCAAGAGCAGCAATGGAAGGACAGTCGCCAGCCCGCAGGAGGGACTCCTCGGTGCCAGGCACTGTGTGATGGCGGCCGTGCTCATCACCTCACGCTCGCAGCCCGCCGGAAGGTGGGAACTGGTCGACACCCCTGCCAGGGAACGCTCTGACAGTCGCCATCTGGAAATGTGAGCTTATGCACTAGAGCTCAGAGGTCTGGTGGATGACAACTGTCACTGACCAGCCGGCCATCTGCTGAAATTGTATGTCACTGGTCAAAGGGAAGATGAGCATATGGCTAGATCAGATCAAATTTCTCAGTGCTACTAAAAAATAAACCTTAATGTAGGGAATATGCCACCTCCAAGAGGGAGGTTTCAGCCTGCTCCCCAAACAGGTGGCTTTTTTAAACAAGGCAAAGGCACCCAGGTGCCACGTGACAAAGGCAAGGGGCCTCCGGACCTGCTACCACTCCGGGGAGCTGGCTGGGCCAGCCTCACTCAGTGTCCTCCTCTGCATTTCGGCACCAACCTGGCCCGGGCTCTCAGGTCAATCTGCCATGGTGGGCGCCACACTTGCCCATGAACTTGTTGCCTGGTCACTTTCCAAATTTTCTCCTTCGAGCTCCCCAGGGCCCAGCCTGAATATGTCTTCCAACTCCTGGGAGTCTGCCATCAGATCAGTCCTGACTCTGTTGAACAGTCTTGATTCTAGGTTTCACAGAGGCTCCTCTGAGCTCTTAGCATTTCCTGGGTGACAGGAGGGTCTCTGTCATTCACGGTGGCCCCCTCAGGCCACACACCAGTTTATGCTAACAAGGTGAGTTGTGGTCCCTAAGTAGTTTTAAGATGGCAGCTGGCCATGCTGGAAAGACCAACCATGTGATTAGAGGGCTGGGCGTTGAGTGACATAATATTAGCCCGACCTCTGTCCGATCGCTAGGGAGATGCGAGGGCTAGAGACCAAGTCATTGGTCATACGACTGAACTCGATCCACTGAGCCCATGGAGTGAGATCTCAGTAAAAGCTCTGGACAGTGAAGGTACAGTGAGGTCCCGCTGGTGACACACACCAATACACTGGCAAGGTGACCCCTGGGGACATGGAAGCTTCACGTGTGGGGCCCTCCCAGCCCTCATCCTCTTTGTCTGCTTTTGTCTGGTTTTTATCCTTTATAATACAAATATATTTTTATGTAGAGTGAATTCCTGAGTTCTATGAATCACTCTAGGAAATGACAGAACCTAAGGGGTAGTGGGAACTCCTGAATTTGTAGCCAGGTGGTCAGTGTGAGGGTGGCTGGGAACCCTGGAGCTGCGGCTGCGTCTGAGCTGAGGGCAGTGTAGCAGGGACCTGTGCCCTTAACCTGTGCCCGGACCTAATGCCAAGTAGTTAGCGTCGGAATCACACTGCACCCGAGCACCGGGTCATTTTTTTCAAAGAATACAATAAATGTAGTTTCTCTTCCTTACGATTTTCTTAGCATTTTCTTTTCTCTAGCTTACTTTATTGTTAGAATACAGTACATAATGCATGTAACATACAAAGTATGTGCCAATTGACTGGTTATGTAATCAATAAGGCTTCCAGTCAACAAAAGGCTATTCGAAGTTTTTGGGGAGTCAAAAGCTTTCCATGAATTTTTGACTGAGCAAGGGGTCACCACCGTTAGCCCCTGTGTAGTTCAAAGGTCGACTGTACACATTTTGGGGGAATGGGAGGAGCTGCTTGCCAGGCACCTGCTCTCCCACATGGTCTCAGGAAGGCAGCAGAAGCTCATTTCCGGGCAGCAGCAGGAATCACCAAACTGCTCTCCGAATTCTCTGGGAAGGGTCAAGGGACTTTCTCCACACCGAGGCACCCTGACCTGCAAACACACACCCTTGCGCTCGGCTGTCCAGAAATGAATCCCTGCCCCGGGTGCTGGTGCTGAGGACTTCTCTAGAAGACCTGCTTCCTCTGGTCTGCAGGGTTCGGTTTCACAGATCCCTAAGGGGTGGCTCGGAGCCCACTTCTGTGTCGCCTCCTTCATTACTGCAGGCCTCGCCCAGGGCCAGGTCCTCTAGCTCCCAGGGCAAACCCCATCCTGCTCACACGCCAATCCCAATCCCACACGTGACGGGCTGAGCACAGGCGGTCAGAGCCCAGGGGCGCGGGGGCTCTGGAAGGTGGAGCCCAGCAGTGAGCTTGTTCTTTAGTCCCAGAGGGCTCCTTGTCATGGTCCTCACAGCCCAGCACAGGAGGTGCAACTACAAAGCCCAATGGAGCAGGCAGAGGCATCACAGGAGTTTGCAAAATGGGAGAAAGCTATAGAGCAGATCTCAACTTTGGCAGAGGGGAAAAAATAACGAGCAATTAGAACTGCCCAGTGATGGACAGTGTATTTGCTGAGCGCTGTGGGCAGAGCTGGAGAGGCCCTTCAAGGAGGATCTAGCAGGAGACTTGGTGGGGTGGGGGTGAGTGCAGAGGGGGCTCAGTGGGGTGAGGGGAGGTCACCCAGCAATGCCTTGTAATCACATGACTTATTAATACCAGGCTCTGGGGCAACCATTTTTTAAAAATCACACAATGTGTCAGCATTATCTCATTTAATCTCTACAACTACCCTAGAGAAACATTCATTATTAACCTCATTGTTTAAATGAGGAAACAAAGAAATGAAGTAATTTGCAAGAGGCAGAGCTAGGATTTGAATCCAATTATGTGTATGTCAGAATGCAAAACCGGTATTATTTTTCACCAAATCAAAGCTACTGATAACTATTTAACCACATTTACTCTACAATCAGGGACATGCATGTACACACACACACAACATACACACATATACACACATAACATGCATATAACACATACATACACACACACACACATCACCTAACACATAGCAAATAAACCAGTAAATATTTGCACCTGAGGTAATGCATCAGGCCCCTTAGGAAAGTGCCTAGAAGCCAACTTGCAGTGTCCTTCGTGACAAGCCTGCCAGGGTTTGCACAGAGCACAGGCTGAAGGACAGCACAGAGGGGGCGGACGAAACGGCTGTCCTGCCTCACTCATCTTAGCTCATCATCCAGTGCTTCGGGTCACTTGCTGGGAACTATCCCACCCTGGTCTCCAGGCGCCATTTCCAGGCCGATGTCCCTGCAAAGCGTACAGTGCTGACTACCGATGCTCAGACACGAGGCTCCTCGGTATAAAACAGGATTCCACGAGGAGTCCTGGCCTTGCAGTCCCAGCAGATACTAATCATCTTGAAGATCCAGAAAATGCCTCGTCTGAATGTTCCGGCTGAGAATGAACCCCTCCAGGTAAGAGTGGGGCGTAAACGGCCCTGGATAAAAGACAACCCAGACCTGGGTACTGAGGCGAGTCCTGGCTCCTCCAGTTTGGGGGTGGGGGTGCCAAGGGGGTTGGCCTGGCTTGGGGGCACCTATCACTAATCTCCCAGTCAGAAGGAAGTTCTTGTTCTTGTTGCTCTACTGACAGCCTCAGCCACTAGACTTCTATTTTTAGAGACTCAGAACAATGTGAGGGTAGTGGTGGGGTCTTAATATTTTTAGCATTCCCAGAATTAGGTTTCTAATAGTTACCAGATACATGAGTGAAAAACAGAATAAAGAAAATGCACATCTAAGACATTCTTCACGCGTCTACCAGAACGGTGCTCCTGACCTAGGGCTGGTGGTGTCATTCTCCACCGCTGACAATAAAGCCCCAACTCCTCAGTGTGCAGGAGGGAAGTTGTCACAACCCAGCCGGTCTGCCCTTCATCCCACTGCCCCACACTCTGCATGTTCCACATGCCTCAGACTGCATGTTACTTTCTTTCTTTTTAAAAAATGTTTCTATTGATTTGTAGAGCAAAAGAAAAGGAGAGGGAGAAAGAGACAGAAACATCAATGTGAGAAACATCAATCAGCTGCCTCCTGCATGCCCCCTACAGGGGACATGTGCCCTGACCAGGAACTGAACCTGCCACCTCCTGGTGCACAGGACGATGCTCAGCCAACTGAGCCACACCAGTCAGGGCTGTGTGCTATTTTCTGAAGCTATCAGAATTCTTTTATACCCCATCTGCGCCTTTGTATATGCTCTTCCCTCCTCCGAGGACATGTCCAGCACTCTCATGTGCTGGGTAATTTCCTTTTTTGAGACCAATGAGCCCAATGTCCCCGCCTTTCTGCAGCTCTCTCTCATCTTTGCTTTGGGCCAAGTTGGCCTGTAGATCCACAGGGCTCCGGCTCAGTCCTGGCTCTGCATCTACCCCTTGTGATCTCAGACAACTTACTCCTGCTCTCAGTCACCGTTTCCACACCTACAAATGGGAGCCTTCCTACTTCATAAAACACTTATGAATATATAGCAGGATGTGAGGGGTAATAACAGACAATTGGCATTCAATAGCTGTTAGCTCCGAGTTTACTATTTTGCAATTTTCTCTCTCTTGCTCTCTCAGAGAGAAGGGGGGTGGGGGAGAGAGAGAGAGATCAGTTACCTCTGACATGAGCCCCAAATGGGATGGGGATCAAACCCACAACCTGGGCATGTGCCCTGACTGGGAATCGAACCTGCCACCTTTTGGTGCACAGGAAGATGCTCCAACCGAGCCACACCGGCCAGGGCCTATTTTACAATTCTCATCCAGTCTTCTCTACTGTACCATGCTACCAGTTTGAAGATGTAACAGGACACACTGAAAGTACATATACAAATATGGATTCCTACAGCTTGTAGGTAAGTATCCTCCCCAAATCTTTCCAGTCAGTGCTCCCCTCAAGTTCCTGTCTGGTGAGGACCTGTGAAGATCAGCCTGATCTCGAGGGGCAGCTGCTAGAAGGTCCAGACAGACAGTGGGAGGAGCCGCCAACCTCCTCTCCAGGTACCAGAACCCCAGGAAAACGTCAGGCATGTAACAGTGTCACAAGTAAAACAACCATTCCGACACGGCTATCGTCCCTGAGAGAAAATGACCGGCCGTTGTCGTCTCTGGCCACCTACAGCAGGTTGAAGGAAGGTTCCACGTACAAACTGGTAAGGGAGACTGTCACATCCCCTCTGCTCCGGAGGCAGCAGCACCACGTGCCACGGGTGACCGTGTACCATGGCTTGCTCTGAGCCTGAGAACCAGGAGTGGAAACGAGGTTCACTGGAAAACAAGAGAGCCTTGCTCTGTGGATTCTGGGGGTCAACACTGAGCAGCTACTGGCGGGTATTACAGTTCTACTCCTGTAAGAACCACATAATATGACTTTCTTTCCCAGGGACACTTGCCTGCACAACTTACAAATATGCACTAAATAGTCATGTTTCTTGTTTTCCCCTTTAAAGGTCCCTGGGAAGGCCAACAGAAGATTACATCCCAGCTCTGAGTGGGAAATCACATGCCCCCAGCTAAGCACTGGTGGTGTCTGCCCCAGAGGGATGCAATACAGAGGCGTGCGATGGCCTCTCAGCGGTCCCGAGCGAGGCCTGGCCTCCTGAACCGTACCTTGGGGTTCCCACCACCCTCTTTGGCGGCATACAGCATCTGCAGGGCAGACTCCGCGAGCGTCTTGGTCTGGTCCAGGACCGTCATCTGCTGCTGATGGTCCAGAATCTTGGAGGCGACACCCACTGCAGCTAAGATCAGGGGCTCAAAGTAGCTCGCCAGCTGTGTCACCTTTCAAAACAAAAAAGCCACAGATGCATTGTAAATGCATGAGTCTCCTTTTAGGGGCCCCGCTGGCGGGGAGGGGGCTGAGACAGGGATGGGGTGACCCACAGGGAGAGGCAGAGCTGCTGAACTTTATTTCTGTTCATTTTTTCTAGTATACAATCCAGTATCATGAATTACAGTCACCACGTTATACGTCAGATCCTTAGACGTCCTTTATTCATTATTGCTCAACACTACTTTTTAAAGGATTTGCTGATGAACACACTCCAGCTTGGGTTTGATTTCCTCTAGGGAGCTCTTTGTCTTATCTCTCATCAAGATGAATGTGCTAAGAAATCCTTTCTGAGATCCAGAATTAGGAGTGAGAATTTTACAAATTTTAATTTTAATTTCACACACAGAAAAGCTTCGGAAAGAACCAAAGACTGAGAAGGAAGGGGGAGAGAAGAGGGGCAGGGGAGCAGGGCAAGAGGAAAGAAGACTGAGAGGAGAGGCACCCAGAAGCCTCTAGGATTCCAATCCAACTGCCCTCTGCCCTGAGCATTTAGCCAGGGGTGGGGAGTGTCCAGATATGACCTGTGAAATCAAGACCAGCTACATCACATGCCTCACCAAATTAGCCTGACCAAATGAGCAGGCTAATTTATTTAATTAATTAATTTAGTTTTATTAATTTATTTTTGTTACAGATATTTCTTCTTGACCCCCCCATTGACACCCTCCTCCCAATTCCGCCCCTCTCCCCACAGCATTGTTGTCTATGTCCATTGGTTATGCATACATGCATGTAAGTTCTGTGGTTTATCTCTTTCCTCCTCCCCAGTCCCCCACCTCCTCCAAGGTTTGTTAATCTGTACCCTACTTCCATGTCTCTGGGTCTATTTTGTTCATCAGCTTATTTTGTTCATTATATTCCACAAATAAGTGAGATCATGTGATATTTGTCTTTCTCTGATTGGCTTATTTTGCTTAGCATAATACACTCCAGGTCCCTCCATTTCGTCTCAAAGGATAAGAAATCTTTCTTACAGCTGCATAGTATTCCATTGTGTATATGTACCACTGCTTTTTTATCCACTCATCTACTGATGGACACTTGGGCTGTTTCCAGATCTTAGCAATTGTAAATAGTGCTGCTATGAACATAGGGGCGCATATATTCTTTCCAACTGGTGTTTCAGGCTTCCTAGGATATATTCCTAGAAGTGGGATCACTGGGTCAAATGGCAGTTCAAATTTTAATTCTTTGAGGAAACACCATAGTGTTTTCCATAGTGGCTGCACCAGTCTGCGTTCCCACCAGTGGTGCACTAGAGTCCCCTTTTCTCCACACCCTCGCCAACACTTGTTTGATGATGTGTTGATGGCGGCCATTCTGACAGGTGTGAGGTGATACCTCACAGTTGTTTTAATTTGCATCTCTGAGGATTAGTGATGTTGAGCATTTTTCATATGTTTCTTGGCCATCTGTATGTCCTGTTTGGAGAGGTGTCTATAAAGGTCCTCTGCCTTTTGTTGTCTTCCTTTTGTTGAGTTGTATGCATACTCTATATATTTTGGAAATTAACCCCTTATCTGATGTATCGTTGGCAACTATGCTCTCCATATAGTGGGTTCCTGTTCCATTTTGATACTTGTTCCTTTTGCTGTGCAGATGTAACTCCGTTTATTATTTTTTTCCTTTGTTTCTCTTGCCTTAGATATTGTATCAGTGAAAATTCTGCTGTGTGTGATGTCTGAAATTTTGTTGCCTACATTTTCTTCTAGGATTTTTATGGAATCACATTTAAGTCTTTTATCCATTTTGAGTTTATTCTTGTGTATGGTGTAAGTTGGTGGCCTAGTTTCATTTTTTGCATGTAGCTGTCCAATTTCCCAACACCACTCACTCCATTGTACGCTCTTGCCACCTTTGTGAAATATTGAGCATAATGTCTTGGGTCAATTTCTGGGTTCTCTGTTCTGTTCCATTGATCTATATGCCTGTTCTTGTGGCAGGCTAATTTTTAAGTTGATAATTTTGTATGGCCTGCGGATTATATTATACATATCCAAATGGCCCTTGGCAGAAAAAAGGTTCCTCTCTCCTGATTTAGACCAAACTGTGGATTTGGAATAAAAGCAAGAATGATTTCACATCAGCCTAGATGCTGTTTATGATTAGCTGAACCCAGGAGAACAAAAATGCCTGTCACGACAGCTAACCACTGTTCTAGCAGAGGCCTATCCCCAAGCGGACAGCACCAGAGACAGAAGCTACATCTCACCAAAGCCCACCAGCTGGCTGCCGCAGGGCCTGGGCCACAGCAGTCACTGGTGCATCCCAAGGCAGCCTTTCTGCTGAATGCTTACATGCATTTCTCATGTAATCTTCGTACCAGCTGTGAGAGGTCGGTATGAAGGAAGAAATGGAGGTTTAGACAGGTGAAGTGACCTGCTCAGCCTCGTGCAGCCGAGAGGTGGAGCTGAGAAGGGAACCAGGTGTCCCACTCCCAGCCCAGTTCTCAGTCACGCTGTACTGTCTGCTACTTTTCATTTCATACAGCAATGTCCCTAGCATCCAGAACACAGTATTTTAACATTTTGCTGTATTTGCTTCAGGTCTCATAATCTATCCCCACTCAGGTAAAACACAATGACACTGATAACAGTGTTCCATTCAACTCCCCATTCTGTGCGACAATTGCTAATGGCTAAATTATTCCGATCGAGCTATTCAAGCTCGGACCCTTAGGCAGCTATCCCTCTTCCCAGCACAGGGAGGAAGGGGATGAGAGGGGCACGTGGGCAGGAAGCCCACTTCGCAGGCACCGCGGCAGTCCCTGGGTTAGGAACGAAGCAGAGGGTGGGGGCTTGTGAAGATGGTGGTGGCTGGGGCAAGGTGGGGGTTTAAAAATAGTAAAGCCCATTAAAACTAACAGTGAGACCAGACTTTCAGACAGCAATGAAGACACTTTACTTAAACAAACAAACCTGTGATTCCAGTTATTTTACAGATGGGTCCCAAAGCGCTGGAGCAGGCCTGCTGCTGGCCCCTCTGGACCGATTCTAAAGGCTCCTCCTCCTCTGGGCAGACACGGCGGAGGCCAGGGCACACGGCCTGGCTGGATGTCGGCCCCCACTCCCTGCTCCAGCCAAACATTTGTGTGTGGGCCCAGCCTGCGCAGCCCCAGGTGGCGGGCCTACACATTTGGATTTAATTCTCTTCCCAGGAGGGGACTGGGTCTCCACCTAAGGGAACAGGTGCTGACAGGTCCCCGGGCTCAGGGCTCAGGATGTGCCTGTATATGCTAAAGGAGGCCAAGTGCTCGATGAATTAGACCCTGACATGTTTTCTAGATTAGTCTTATGATTTTAAACATACATCTCATCCATGCAACGGTAACACGCCAAGCGTTGCTTTGGACTGAGCGTAATGAGCCACACGAGCTGGTGCCCAGCTTCCTCGCAGGGGTGTGTGGCTGGGAGATGGACAGGAGGCCCTAGTTTCAGAGCTACTGCCTCGGAATCCTTCCTGCAAGTCCTCATTAGGAAACCCCAGGCAAACGGCCTCCTATGAGACACTTCGGTCTCCTCCTCTGTTTTGTTTTTGTTTTTTATCCTCACCCGAGAACACTTTTGCATTTATCTTCAGACAGAGCGGGAGGGAGAGAGAGAGGAATAGAGAGAGACAAACATCGATGAGAGAGAGACACATCAAATGGTCGCTACACACACAACCCCAACCGGGGCCGGGGACAATCTGCAACCGAGATACATGCCCTTAACGGGAACTGAACCCAGGACTCTCTGGTCACGGGCCAATGCTCTAACCGCTGAGCCAAACCGGCCACGGCTAGTCTCCTCCTCTGTAAAACTGGGACGAATAACAGCACTAAACTCAAGAAGACTGTTAGGAGGATTAAAATAAGGTACTTAAAAACACTTAGCATAATGCCTGCCACGTAGCAGGCACTCAATAAATGTCGTGTGGATATTCCGCACATACTGTGGGCAAAGGCTTTTGAAGGGATGTGTCTTTCCTGTATTCAGGGAGCTAACACCTGCTCTTGAGACACAGCAGGACAGGAAACATCCTCACCAGGGCCAGCACAGAAGTCAACATTTTCACAACAGGATTGAGTGTTCAGTGCATGATGTTGATTCCCTCGGCCTAGGAGGGCAGAGAGGGTTGGATGGTGGCCCCCACAGCATGTATGTCCACGTCCAAAGCCCTGGAGACCGTAAATGTGATCTTACTGGGAAAAGGGTCTTTGCAGATATATTTAAGGACCTTAAGATGAGATCCTCCTGGGTTACTTGAGTGGGCCCTAAATCTGGCAACAACCATCCTTCTGAGAGACAGAATAAGGAGAGACAAACAGAAGAGCAGGAAACAGCATGATCGCAGAGGCAGAAGTTGGCCTGACACCGTCAGGGAATGCCAAGGGCCACCAGGAGCAGAAGAGGCAAAGAACAGCTCTCCCTCAGAGCCCCCAGAAAGAGCTGGCCCTGCCGACACCTTGGTTTTGGACACCTGGCCTCAGAGTATAGCACTCAACCTCCTTCTAGCATCTTCTTCAAAAACAACCCCTCCAGGATCATTAAGAGATTCCATTTCTGCTGTTCTAAGCCACCCAGTTCACAGTGATCTGTTACAGCAGCGGTTGGGAACTAATGCCGGGGTCTGAGAATTTGCACGGAGCATTCCCAGGTGATGCTGACTCTGACCTGGGACCCCACCGAGCGCTGTAACGAAGCACTGGAGCCACGTGGGCATCAACTCTCGGTCCCCGACTCCTCTGGATAGAGGGCCTCTAGGCTGCCACTGTCCACACTTCCTTTTAGAGAGTCAGACTGGTTTAGCCAAAGGGCCAAGAGTAAATTCATAACTAAAGTGATGCAAGTATATTATTTTTTTGATGCTACCCACTGACAAGGAAACTAATCTTCCTCACTGACAGCATATCTGCACAGACAAGGATGTTGCCCTAGAAGTGTAAAAACATTTTCTTATGAAATTCCTGCTGGAAAGAAAAGTAACTGCTGAAACCAGGTGCGGCGTCTCTGCCGAGCTGTTCCCCGCAGCACGCACACAGGCAGCGGTCCCCGCCTCCAGCCAGTCCCCCTGCCCTGCTCCTGTCTCCCCCTGCAACCCTCTTCACACAGGTGGACAAGCTCCTCTCTTATTATAAAGGAACTCAGCTGAGAAAATTTGCCACACTTGAAAAGGCAGAGGTACTGAGCACTTTAAATCTCCGAAACCTCTCCTTACAACACCAGCAACAAGCTTAGTAGGCCCTTAAGCTGTTCTGTAATTTAAAAGAGCAAGAATATCGATTTTCTAAAAGCAATACCTGTGGAGAACTCTGCTCCTGGACTTCTTGACGTGCAGAGCGATGCTGAGGGCTGCACTGGTAAATGCTAGGGAACCCGAGGGCGGGTACGAACCCCGTTTCTGCCCTGTCTGCCGAGGCATGGGCTGCTTGACAAGCCAGAGATCCCGAAGGGCTTGCAAAACAAACTCCGAACAGGCCAAACGTTACTCGGCACTTACAACAATGCAGGTGGAAGGGCCCCTCTGAGGTGGCCACAAAGGGAGGCTCTAGTTGTCCAGAGTGAAATGTGAAAGTTTGCTTTGCTTTATCGTGTGTGAAAACAGACACTATATGAGAGGCCATGAGAATGAGGCCAGCCAGCCGGGGACAAAAGGTGGCAGACATCAGGCTGGGAATGTCAACTTCAGTCTCTGGTTTATCTCAGCCAAGGTCAAGAGCAACAGATAACTATAAATGCCTCATGAGCTGAAAAGTCTGACCACAACCAGAAAAAGTTCCCCGCAGGTTTTGTCTCAACACCAGGTGACACAGATCCCGAAGGGGTCATTTTGGGAGAAGATGCTAGAGGGAGGCTGAGTGCCCCGTTCCATCGCTGAAGCCAGCGGGACCCGGGCACAATAGCGGGCTCCAGGATGTGGGGAATGATAACACAACCATTCCCTCCCCCAGCTCCCTCGTGCACACTCTCAGCAGGTTCCCGGGTGCGTGTTACCTTATGTCCCAGCTGAGCTGCTTCCCCCCGAGCCGCCGTGGCGATGGGATCAATGAGGTGCCCGATTTCCTGGACCACTGAAGTCAGCTGCTCCTGAAGGGCCTGAGGAGGAGAGAGCCGTCAGTTCATTCCACAGTGGCTCCCCACGTGGGCACGTGGATTGAGAAAGGTCCGTGTGGAAGACAAGGCGGGCCACAGGAATGGGCATTGGAACGCCCGGGCACGCCATCAAGCCTCTGCTCTCCCTGCCCTTCCCAGGTGCCCTCCGCTGCCCGGGGCGAGAACCCCCAGCTGCAGCCCGGAGTGACTAAGGCAGCCCGGAGGAGCGCTGTTCCTGCTGCCACTCACTCCCACCAGCCGCAGTGACGCCCGACGCTACTGCTGCCCGTGCACTGGTGCTCAGCGTGACTCCTGGACACGTGGCTCAGCCAGGCTTTCCAGGGGACAACCTTGTCCCAAGGGAGAGCGCTAACAGTGGGGCGAGGGACCGTCCAGGCAGTTGTATTCTCAGAAGTACAAACTCCTTAAGGGGGCAGGGGAGAGGAAGGTGACGCAGACATGAGATCACTTCTCGGGAAGCAGGGCTATTTCTCAGACACCACCCCGTGCGGATGCCAGGGAAGGTGCCCACTGAGCTCATCAGTTCGGGCTCTCAGTGCTCCGGGTTTGGTGATGTGGACACAGTTACTGAAACAGTATCCTCAAGGCATTTCTGCTCAGGTCTGAGAGCCGGTTTAACCTCCCCATCCTAACGCACTGAACTCGTGCTGGAGAGACAGGGCACACTATCTAGGTGAGGCTGGAGTGTGAGGGGCGGGGGATTCAAAGATGGAGTAGGGAGCTAGTAGCAGGAAAGATCAGGCCCTTTTGCAGGAATCGCACAGGAGTTTCGCGATAGAGCCAGGATGAAACACATTACAACATTGGGCATTTTAGGCTTGCACACATCAGCATGGAGTGGGTGCAGCTCCGGACAGAGGGACGATGTCCTGCTCGTCAGAAATGAGGCTCAGTTCCTTCCCCCTCAACAATGCCGCACGCAGGCTGGGGAGCTCTGGGCAAAGTGCAGTCAACGAGAGGAGCAGCCTAACATGCAAACTTGACAACAAAATCTCGGGGGGAAAAGAAAACGTGATGGAGGAGGGTAGAGAGAAACCTCCAAATGTCCCAGGGTCTTATGTAGCTACTTACTTATCTTCTCACTTGTGATGCGACTCTAGTCAAGAGTGCAAGCCTACTCCAGCAATGTTGTCTTATTACAGACGGCTTGTTAAAGAAAACAGAGTATACGTAGGGAGCACATGCAGTTGAGGGGAGGGTTTTCTTCCTAGGGAGGGAGACAGGGGATATGCATGGGGAGGGAAGGCAGAAAAATGGGGGCCTGGGGGGGCTTCTGCAGGACTGGTCACCTTTGTAAGTTGATCAGGATACTGGTTAAAGGGTGTGCTGAGTTGGGGATGGTTCGCCAAGCTGCACACTTATGACATGCACACTTTTCTGTGATCATATTCTACCTGGGTAACACATTAACAGTAATTCTAACGTTCTGCACAGGATGAGAATGCTTATTCCTTCTTTCTTTTCTTGGAAATGGGGGTTGTTGCACGAAGCTGAGATGAAACAGCTCTATTAATAAAAATGAGCAATACCAACTCCGGGCCCACTCCTGAGAGACAGGGCCAAAGCCCACTGCTGATGAATTCAGCGGCAGTAAGAAAGACATCGCTAAAGAGACCATCCATATTTACTAAGCATCAGGCACAACCAACAAAGAGAAAGAAGCATGACTCAGAGGCCTTGGACAAGTAACAGAAAAAACTCAAAGGGTCAAAGTAGGAAAATTCAATTCTCAACTTTGGAAAAACTGGCAAGAAAAGGCAAAGTGGCTCCAAATTAATAATAGAATGCAAAAAGACCCCCAATACCAGGTCTTGAGTAACCTAGGGAAGAGTCCATTACCTGAATGGACCGAATGCACAGGGTTTAAAGTGCGTTGACGAAATATGACGACAGAGAAATGCTCAGTGTACTGCTAAGGTCTGCTCTGCTGAATACGGTAACTCCATCTGGTTGACATCGTCTTACCTGACATTAGTTTTCCTTCCAACACTGGCCACATTTGAAGCCCCAGTGATATATGTGTTCCTTCACCAAACCACCGTTCTCCACTCAGCATTTGCCCTACCCCACTCAAAGCCTCCCAGGTGGTTCCCCAGGGAAGGTGGTTCATGATGAAACTGGACCATCAGAAACACGTCAGTCCCATTCTCCCGCCCCTAAAGCCTGACACAGATCCTTTAGCTCTTCCAGAGGCCTCCACGCGGGCCAGAGCCCCAGTGTACCTCCACAGAGATGTCGTCCCTCGTGGCCAGGCTCTGGCTGACAGCTGCCAGGGAGGCCTGCTCGATGTCCCGGATGCACCGGTTGATGCCATCGATGGAGTAGTCACACTCCCTCTGTCCAGGGGCCTTGTCCCTGGAAGCGACAGGGGGCGTTAAACACAGGCTCCTTGGGGTGCAAGTCCCACAACCCACTCCTGCACAGAGCCAGGCGCCGCTCTCGACTCTGCCCCACACGACTGCCTCATTGAAGCAGCCAGTCCCTGACACTCGTTTGGCAATGCTTCCTCATAGCCGTGCGCTTCTTAATTTACCGCGGGTGCTAACGAACTCTTCCTATTTCTGGTGAGAAGGCTATGGTGCTGCCCTCTGTCTCAGGCTGGCGCCAGGCAACTGCAAATGAAACAACTTGGACTGGATTCTGGCTGAGGCACAGAATCCCTACTTAAAAGGAAAACGAAAGCCTGTGCTATTTCCAGCGCAGCCGTATCGTGCTTTCTGTATCGCGTACTATTCACACCGTCCTGGGTTTGGCAAAAATGAATATATTTAGTGGATTTTTCTTTGCAAGGCATTAATAAAGTTAACTGTAGTCCTAAGTTTTACAAGTGATTGAAAAACAAAATATAACTAAGACAAGGGATGCATTCCATGATGTGGGGTATTAACTTTGGTCAACTTCAGAAATGTTCTATCTACTTGGGGGATATTTTTTTAGGCTCCTACTATCACCAAGGAGGTCAGAGATGCCCAGAGTTACTGTGGGACCTAGAATATTCTTCTTGTCTTATTAGCAAAATGAAGTAACCCCCAAATCCTGCTAAACAAACAGAGGTGTTCTCTGCTTAAGCTAGACATAGACAATATGGTACAATGGTTAGAGCCTTTGAACCTGGGGATGACCTTGGGAATGTTACCTAAATCCTTTCTGCCTCAATTCCCTCATCAGTAAAATGGAGACAATGGCATTATCTACTTCACAAGGTTGTGATAATCAAATGAGATAATGTAGGTAAAATGCTTAGAACAGAATCTGACATAAATTAGCTATTATTATTGTGACCAGTGCTACCACTGATCCCGAAGAGAAAAAGGAAAAGATGGTGATCATGATCAACCACATTGCTATTAAACACAAGTGCTGATAGGCTATCTGTCTCCTGTCCTGTTCAGATGCAGGTTCCTAGCAATTTCTGGAGGCAAAACTAACCTGATAGATGTGATGAGACTCTTGATGGAGTCAGACACAGTGTGGGAATGTCCGGCCAGCACAGACCAGGTGGGTGGGTCTTTGGGGTTGATGGCCAGTGAGCGTGCAGTGCGGATGAGGTATGATGAGCTCTCCAGCATGGTCTTGGCTGAGACCAGGATCGGTTCCTGTGCCTGGGAACCCTGGGACCAAACAGCAGAAGGGTCAAGAACAGGGTGCAGAGAGTAAATGACGTGGGCCCTGGGAGGTCCTGTTCTTTACCAAGCCGCTATCTTTGCCCTTTGGAAGGAGACACAGAGGGTAGGGATCCAGGGAGGCTGGCGCACACAGGGCTCTGAGGGTGAGAACTTAGGTCCGCATTCACTCCTTAAATATAATTTCTGAGTGACACAAACCTATGCGTAGAGACTGTTCTCAGCATATAAAGCGAAGGCATCACCTCTGAAGAGATGTACAGTCTCACTCACTCTGTGCATGCACCATCATCGACAGAAACACCGCCCTACGCAGTGACAGGGCATTTGGAGTTCTTAACTGTCTGAGCTCATTGAGTGCCCACAAAACCAGCCAAAGACGCCAACATTACCTCTGTGCACAGATTCCTACCTCGGAGCTGATCTGGGCAGGAACACTGACAAACTCGGGGTTGGATGCGAACGCTGTCAGGTTCTCCACGGCTTCGATCAAGGGCGCCGTGGCGACGCGGCACTTATTGCGGTTGTCTTCAGAGAAGTCCCCGTCCAGGGCCTGACGAGAGACAACACGAGACTGACCCCACCGAGAAGTACAGATCACCCCCGGGCCACAGTAATCACCTCCCAGTGAAAGAAAGCGGTTTAGTGGGGATACAACAGGTGTGGTGACTTCACAAATAAGAACTGACTGGAGGGACTTGCCATCAAGCAGAGGAGCTCAGTGAGCAGAGGAGCTCAGTGAGCAGAGGAGCTCAGTGAGCAGTGATAAGACATAGTGCGGCTCCCGGGACAGCCGACCTCGCAGACCACCAGCTTCCCACTCACAAAAGGCAGACACGAACTCAAACACCACCCTGTGAGCCACGTGGCCAGACCTCGGAGCCCTCTCCCCTCTTTCGACACTATAACCCCCTGGGTTCTTCCCCTCTGTTCTCACTCCAATTAAGCCTATTCCCCCCCAAACGATAAAATACTTCTACATTGTGTACCAGTTTCAATTTTTCTAAGCTTTACCTCAGTGTCCCCGACTGGCTGATGAAGGTAGAAATCGCGCATCTGCCATTCTGAAATGAGCAAAACGGAACCCAGTGGGAAGGAAAAGACTAGAACTACCCCCAACAATATGGACATCTCCTAAACACAACAGTAGTTAGAGGCTAGATACAATGGGTACCTACAGTATGAGTCCACTTGTGCAAAGTACAGTAACAGGTGATGCTAACTTAGGGTGTTGGCTGACAGAGCACCAAGGGGACTTCTGGGGGCTGGCCACATTCTGTGTCTTGCCCTGGCTATAGTCACCGAGGTGTGCTCAGCGTGAGAAAACTCACTGAGCTCGACACATATGATTTGTGGTTTTTGTCTATGTATCTTATGCTTCAGTCTCCTTTTCTTTTTCAAATTAGTAGCAGGTAACATGGTGGCATTGATGGTCAGTCACATTGCTGATCAATGGCCCGGATGGGTGGGAACCCAGGAACTCGGCCTGTGACCCACGCCGGCTGCCTCACAACAGGTTAACACTTGGATTTGAGGTTTCGCATCCCAATGCCACCTGCGTAAGAACAAGACTTGGAAGCAACAGCCTGTGACCCAGCGGCAGCCCTGCTGCCTCCCAGCAAAGGCTGCGCTGAGAAGGCAGTTACGTTTGTAGAAGCACGTGAGTTTCCTCATTAAACAACCAATTAAACTTTTAATTTAACCGTTATGAGCAATATATAAACGCCAATTTAGACAATTAGCGAACAAAACACCAGAGGCACCGGTGTTACGAAACAACCCTGACCTGAGATAGGTGCGTTTCTATTCTCCGCTAAGGCAAGAGCGGGCAGGCACGATCCGTTTAAAGGCTAGTCCTGAATAACAACTACATTCCAATCAAGCCTTGGCAGCTTGGGACCACAATTACTATCTCCACGCTGACATTTCCAGAGGAATTCCCATGAACCTGGCTGATTTACCAACTTGGCCAATGCTGGCGGCCCTCCCCACCAGGCAGGCACTGACTTCTCCCGGAACCTCTCTGCCGCGGCCGTTCTTCGCGCCCAGTGGAAATCCTTCACGCCTGCTGCTTCTTGCTCGTGGGTGTGGCCTCAGTTCTGACTGCCGCTTCTGTGCCCAGTAAACACTGATTTGGCACCTGTTACCTCCACTGGGCTGGGCATTGGCAACGTAGAAGTAAACCTGACTCTCTAATCTGGTTGCATTGTTAACACCGACTCCTTGAGTCAGGCCACATCGGGCTTTAGGACGACCTGGGGACACAGTGGGAGGCAGGGGGGTGCCACACAGCAGGAGCCTGGTGGGAGCGGCCCCGGCGCAGGTAAACAGCGAAGCAGGCAGATGGCAGGAGTGGACTTTGGCATCAGTGGAATTCGAATCCCAGCACTACCAGTGGCCAGTCACACCCCCTCCAGGTGTGCCGCCCTGGCTTCCAGCCAAACAGAAGATGCCAAGCCTCCCCTCAGTGCTGCTCACTCCCCCTGCTTCTTACCTCTCCACATGCACCAGCTCGACCTCCCACAACCCTCTCCGCTCATCTGGAATCCAAGGCAGGCAGCTCATCAAGCCACCAACCCTTAGTGGAACTTACTCAAAATGAAACGATGATTACCCAAGGAAAATCCCAAGGAATGGTTTTATAAACTGCACCAATAAGATGAAAAGTGAATTTTATCTTTGAGCATGGGCCCTAACATCCCATATAATGTAGTGCATTACTACTCACAGGACAAGACTTGGATAACGTGGACTACAACACCAGCTACGTCCCCTGCTTTTTTCACTTTCAAATGGAAAAGCTATTTTCTCCAAAGGAAGCTTTAAGTATCAGAAAGGATGGTTTACACAGATTCTATTTCACTTGTAAATGCTGCTTCCACCTGGGGGTGGCTGAGCCACCTAAGGAAACTGAACACGCAAGTCTGCCCAGTGGAGAAACCTGAAGCAGGCATGGCGGTTTGCACGCAGACAGCCCATGTCACAGAACATCAGTTTACCAGCCTAACAATGGAAAGTGACTCCACTTAGCCAAATGTGTGGGAGCTGGGCCAGCTCCTCTGGATGTTCTCGCGTGGCACCATCTCACCAGGAGCTGGGAGAAACCATTTCTGCACGTGCACCAGAATCACATATTCAAGGCTATGGGAGTCAGGAAAAATCTTAAAGCTCATTTAATCCCAAATCTCCAATATTCCAGAGGATAAAAGCAACACCTAGAAAGTGACATACCATGCCAAGGTCATGCCTCCAACCAGAAGCCAAGACCCCTGGCTCCCTTCTCTCCTGACCTTAGACAAGGGCAACAAGAATAAGGAATAAGAGAAGCCCAAGAGGATTTTCTCTTCCTTTTTTCTTTCTTTCTGAAGACACCTACTTTACCAATCCAAACAGAAGGACGACCAAAAAACCATCCTTACAGCCAAGTCAAACGGATTAATGGCAACTGGATCTCGGTGGTGTCTGTGGTACCCAGACACCTGAGTCACGAATCCCTGAGCTTCAACCCCACCTCGAGACACAAGGCCATGCTCCAACTTCTCAGGAAAACAAAAGCTGTCGTTGCACAATTTCTGCTTGGCACCCAAACCCAAGTGACTGCACATTTAAAAGAATATTCCATTCCACACATCTGTTTGAGACTAGGTAACGAGCTGACTGAAGAGAGAAAAGCAGGCACCATTATATGTAGTGACCAGTAGAAAGACAGCAACCATGGTTAGGGGTCTGTGTGCTCCTACTTGACCTGGCAGGAAGGAGGGTGAAGAGATTTATACCTGCTAAGCCATGCTTTCTCGTTTCAAAGAATGCCATCAGTGGGGGTTTAAGATTCCTGGAGGCACACATTCTACACGGCTGCTGATAATCCACTTCGAGGTCATCTGCTCCCTGCTCCCCAATGCTCTTCCCCCTGCTTCCTTCCCTTCTTCCTGACTGCAAGGGTGTGGCAGCTGGGACTTAAGCGTGGGTACCATCCTTGTGGTTAAAAGGAAAAAAAAAGCACTACAAAGTATAAAACTTAGAGCGAAAGGCAGCTATGAGGGCAGCTGTGTCAAGCACTTAGGGAATTAAATATTCCTTTGTTTTACTCTTTGACATGATTCTTAACACCATTCCTGCAAAGAGCACCTCTATTCAGTATACGGTCAGGTGTGCTACAGTGAAATGATCTTTCACCATTTTCCTATTAGTACATTAAAAGCAAAGCTTATTGTACCCAGCAAACCCTGCCACCTGATGGGAACTGAAAAACAAGCACGTTTGGGCAGGTTGAGGGGCAAAGGTTATTTCTGCTCCTCATGCACTGCTGCTGATTCCCAGGGTGCTCTGGGGAGAGGCCTTCATCTTCTCACATGACAACCACCCTGCACCCCTTCGCTGGTGCTCTGCACAGGCCTATCTCTTCAGCCATCACACGAGCTCGCTCGCTGTGGGGAATTGCAGAGGGTGTAGCACTGTGAGAAGAATCTGAAAAGAAGATGAGATCTTAATAGCAATGGGTAGGATTTGAAAGCCAAGGAGGAGGCAGAGAAGAAAGGTTTCCAGGATCTTCTAAAGAATGGTTCCCCACCTCCTTTTTTTTTTTACTCCCTTGGTCCATCTAAATATAGTCTGCTTTTCAACGATCAGAAAATGGCCAAGTTTAACTGAAATAATAATACAAGCAACTAAAAATGATGTCACTACTTTAAGTTCTCTTGCTGTCTTTCCACTCCCCTGTCCCCAAACTGGTGCGTGCACACACACACACACACACACACACGCACACACAGTAGACACATCGAGGTGTCTCTTCCCGGGGCGGTGAGACGAGTTAGCTTCTCCCAGCAGAGGGTGTGACGACCATCCCCGGGGCTGAGGGCAGAGAGAGGGAAGAGCAGGGATGTGGGTTTGCCTGCTGGCTGGGTCCCCTTGGGGAAGTTACGTAACCTCCTTGTGGCCAGTGTCCTGTCTGTAAAACAGGAATGGCAAGCACAGGGGTTGTGTGGACTGAATGAGTGATATACACAAGACATGAGAACAGGCTTCTCACAAGTTAAACATTTAGAAACGTGACTTTATTCATTTCTAATACCATGAACTATGATGGTGATTAAGGTGGGCTGCCATCAGGATTCTAGGGCCACTGGCTTTACTTTTTTCATTTTCAACCTAAATTATTGTCTTCAAATAGGCAGATTTCTTTCTTTTCTTTTTTAAGACTCCGTTTAAACAGCTAAGAAACTGCTGACGGGGCACTTGCCCTGGGCCCGGCCCATGAGCGGCCAGCCGCTGGGCTGGGTTCTCTCCGGGGCTTCTGCCTGGCTCGCCTGCTGACTCAGGTCTCCGTGTGATTACACTGGCTTGTGCGGTGAAGGGAAAGGGGGGGTCCAGAGCCCTGGACTCTGGAGTGAGTGGGGAAAGTCTCATTGTTCTAGGGCTTGTCCAGCAACAAAGCAGACTGTCCTATCTCCATGAATAAATAAATAAAGGGCTAACCATCCAATGCCTTTCCCTCCTGCACATCCTGGTTTACCCAGAATTGGTAGCTGGTCTTCCACACAATCTCCTTCAGAGGGTTGGGTTGCTGGGATCTCTGCCTGTGGTCTACTGTGCAGGCTGTGGCTGCTTTCCCCAGGGTCAGCCGCGTCCTGACTGCTTGGTCCCCGCTTGGTCCCCGCTTGGGGCAGACTGGGTCTGTGGTCTCATTACCTACCTACAAATGCTCCATTCCAGCCACTGCAATTCCCTCCCCACCATGCCCTGCCTCCCCCAACCTGCCCATGCCTTTCACACAAATATGAACTTATCAACATGGAAGATCAGCTTCAAAAACTGGATGCTCCATTTCAAACATTTAACCAACTATAAACAGAGTGCATGTCATAGGATAGATTAAGTTGATTTTTTTAGATAAAAGTGTTTCTTCCACAATGTCCCACTCCTGTCTCCCTCCACCTTCTCTCTTGATCCAGATCTACTGACAATGATAGGACCCTCTAGCGTCCCCCGCAGAATCAACCCACAGGTGCACACAGTTTAAGTACACACAGGGTGCTTGCTACCTAAACATAGTGCCAAGAGATGCCCCATGGCCAACCCCTTCCAGATTTCTGCCCCTAAACTTCTCATGTACAGAATTTGGGGAGCTCCCCTCACTACCTGGAAGGTTAGTAGAGACCAAGGCTGGTGGTTTTCCATGATGAGTATGTATCTCCACTAGTAAGGGATGTGTCCTCAATGACTTAAATCATGCAACCAAATTGGAAGTTCAACTTCACTGGATGTAAGTCTTAGGAGAGCAGAGCTCAAACCCCGTGCTTGCCCTCTGCAACAGGTGCTATGGGGTCCCCGCGGCCTCGGTCCGGCCACCCACCTTGATGGTCTTCACCAGGCTGGCGGTGCTGTTGGCGACCTCCTTGGCGGACTGCACGAAGTGCCTCTTGGCCACGGGGTTGGCCGTCTTGGACGAGGCGACGCGGCAGGCGTTGCACAAGGCCGAGGTGTGCTTGGCGACGATTGTGGCAGCTGACAGGACCTACAAAGCATGGAGCTGGGTTGGGGGCACCCCCATGTTTCCGGGCAGAGGGGTCAGTTCCGAGGAGGCCACCCTGGTCCCAAGCCCTGGATTCCTCCTCAGCTCACATGTCCAGAGCCCGCGTCAGTACAACACACGTGTCTAGCTCTGCTACTCCCCAAGTCACCCCGAGAAAGGAGAGGGCAAGAATTATTCGGCAAGAGAAAATGAACAAAGGAAAGGAAAGCAGGTGCTGCTGTCGGGTGGGCGTGGCTGGGTCAGGGAGTCGCAGCCAGCTGTCCTTGGGCACCCAGGGAGGACGCCTTCGGTCCAGGGTCCCGGCCAGCACCGCCCAACATAAATACAGTGTGAACTCCATATGTCCTTTTTTGAGCAGCCACGTTAAAATAAGTAGAGAAACAAGAGAAATGAATTTAAATAATATATTTTATTAAACTTGAAATATCAAAAATATTTCATTTCACCGTGTAACCAATTTGATGTTATTGAGATTTTAGTCTTTTCTTATCATACCAGTCTTCAAAGTCCAGTGTGTATTTTATACCCAGAGCCCATCAAAATCTAGATGAGCTACATTTTGTCTAGCTGGTGGCTGCCACATTGGCGAGTGCAGGTCCAGAGAAGTAAAACACACATCACGGTGTGGTCGCTCCTGCCTCGTGTAGGCACCTTATTGAGTGGTCTGGCTCAGAAATCTTCCAGAGATTCCTCTCCCCACTCCCAACACACACCCCACAAAACCAAAGTGCTCCCCCGAATCTACCTGATCTACTTTGCTGAGGCTGATAACACCTCTTTGGACTGAACTGAACAGGTAAAGAGTCTCGGGTGCACTGACGCCTTATAAGCCAGCCCTGGGGCCTGCTTCAGGTCTACATCTCCCTGAACTGCCTCCTTCACTTGGGTCCTTCTCCTGCCTCAAGAATAGTCCCAGAGTTCACAACGAACGTGCTGTCACAGGCTGCCGGATACCCCACAGGCCAGTTCCCGCCCCTGTTAGCACGTGCTGCCTTAATAAGCGAACGGGAACCCATGACGCTAGAGTCTCAGAAGTGCCATGGGATGTCACGTACTGTCTAGCCCTAAAATGTCTGTGGCTCCTCTGTATGCTGTGGATTACGACCCAGCTTTGAGACCTGGCTCAGCACCACCATCTCTGTGATGTGACTGACAGCCCCCCAGAAAATTCATCTCGCCTTCCTCTGTGCATCCCTGGCACTGTCATCATAGCCCAACCACTGCGTTTCCCAAATGTCATCTAACAGACTAAGAGCCAAGGGCGCTGGGGATCGGGTCGCACTCACGTCGGCCAGTAGTGCCGAGCACAGAACGAGCCCTCAGCACGTGTCCTTGGACTGAATGGGATCGTGAGACTCCTGATGGATCTCATGGTGATTGCTTTCCTCCCAGAGCCTTAGCCTCCCATTTCAAAGCACCTACACGTTTCCACACATTTGGCCACATGCCTCCGAGTCACTATCGACTGTGCTGCATTTCACTGGCTTTGCAAGCTCTGTAAGAACAGCCTTCTTTACTAATCTCTCCAACTCTCCCACAACCCACCTACAAGAGCTTGAGGACTCCCAGATATCACGTCCTCGCCCCGTGGTTACCTGTGACGGGCTGCTGCCAGGGTCCACCAGGTTCTGGCATGCCATCTGGATAGCCTGGTTAGCCCTGGCAAACTGGATGGGGTCCACAAGGCCCTGGTGGCCTGCCTGGCTGTTCGGATCAGAGATGCCGACAAGGTACGCGGCCTGGAAAGGGAGGAAGAAACCACAGCTCAGGCTCTGTGCTCCTGGATGAGCCCGTGGGGGACAAAGGTCCCACAGTGTGCATGCAGCAGCCATGCTTAGGAGCTCCCAGGCGCAGGTTGGGCAGGGTCATCTCGTCAATGAGGCACAGGGACGGACAGGTGAATGCCAGCGCAGGCCCGCAGAAGTCAGCTGCAGGCGTCCGGCAACAAAGTCTCCTTGCTCTGAAGAGAGCCCCAGGAAGCTCTTTCATGGGGCATGAACGAGGATGGACGCAGCCCTGACGGTATCTGGCAGCCACCTGTGACCACGAGGGCACCCAGCCTCAGCATGAAGCCGACCCTCAGGCTGGCAGATGGGAGAGAGAACAAAGTGGGTGCAGACGGATGGCATGGAGCTGTGGGCCAGCCAACCCTGGAGCTCGCCCCTCGCCAGGGTTTCTTATCTCACCGCCTGATGCAGCCTCGGCTCCTCGGCCAGTACTTCCAACAGCAAATAGGGAGAATGAGTACGATGGCTCGGGGGAAAAGGTAATAGTGGTCTCTAAATGGACAAGAGGCTACAAGAGAAGGTCTGTCCTCTACACCCTCTGGGTGTGTCAGACTAATAACAGGGAGAAAATGAATCTGTCGGGAGGAATTTTAACCTTAATTCATTTCCCCTGAGATTTGAGGGGCAGGTAAGGGCAAATCATTTTATCCCCAAACTAGAGATGTTTTTCCTTGGTTTATTAAAACCTTCTAGACTCAAACAATTTGACAATGATAAATCCTTTAAGGCGAACGCTGACATTCTGAAGCTTCAGTCACACGAGCCTGATAATTATTGGAAATGCACAGGACAGTCGAAGAGCAAGGATCATGCCCGATGGCATCTCTGCATGAAGATATCTGATTTTTTTCTCCCTCTGATGCTGAAAGGGTCATGACTAAGATTGCTGCAATTCTAAAACCTCAGAGAGAATTTGGATTATGCAGTGACGATTCCCTCCCCACAAAACGACACATCTGTAACAATGACCTTAAAAAAAAAAAAAGGAAAAAGTAAGCAGGGCTCCGAACACTTCTGCTGGGTCTGCAGTGCTCAGAGCATCTCGGTGTCCTTCCCAGGATGCTCTGCTCCGAGGGGCAACTGGCTGATATTTTGTCTAAAGGTCCAGGCCTTTCCCAGAGACTCCGAGGTAGGAGCTGAACAGGAGCTGAGGCCTCCCACACGGATCTGGTATTTCCACAGTCTGGCACAGGACACAGCCACCCTACAGGGCGAGGGGACCACCCAGACCCTTACCTGAGCCGCTGCCTCTGTCAGCCCGCAGAGAGCCTTGGATGCAATCCCTACACACTCCCCAAAGGCAGGAAGGTCCCCGGTCTTGGCATTCTGTGAAATCCCTGCCATCGACTCGCCCAGAACCTGCAAAACAAACAACCAGCAATGTTCTCTGGCTAGCATTTTTTCAAACCACGGGGTAAAGGGAACCACACTTCCAACATGAACATTCAAGGACACTTAATCTACAATATTGGCCATTACTTTCCTTTATTTGCATTAAGAAGAGATTCAAGAGAATTATACTGTTTCTGTTCCATAAAGAGAAAAGAATAATAGAAGTATAAACCTTTCACCCAAAAGTTATCTATATCTCAAGGAGAAACAGTAAATATACTCAGATCAATAAAGTAAAATCTATCCAGGGCATCCCATGGGAGAAGGGTCTGAACCGAGAACTCGGAGTTCCCAGAATACAAAGATCAGTCACATCCATGATGCTGCAGATGAAGTCCTTCATACCCAGAAAGCGGGAGACACACTCCTCCTGATATTTATTATTCATGTACTGATTTACAGTAAGATTTAAATGTCTTGATAAAGTATAGATAGTTAATCTGAACACTAATAAGAGGGTTTCCTAAATATTAAAAGCATTTTCCCATATTTTGAAACTCACTGAGAGGTCAAGCACCGTGCACTAGGTCACAGAGACGGTCACGGGTAGAGGCAGGGCGCCTGCCCCTTATCTGGTGTTCTGTCTTCTGTGGGCCTCATAAGGCCCAGGAGGGCTGGCTGTACTTTCCCGGAAAACAGGCGGTGGAACGGAAGGCTGCTCAACACAACCCTTTGGAGAGACCGCGGGACTGCTAAGCTAGAACCCAACGCAGAACTCGTCCTTTGTCAGCAAGCCATCTTGGCTGGGTGAGAAAGAAAGAATCTCCCCAATATAAAATTTTGTATTTTACAAAATAATCCAGTTTACTTAAGGACTTGCAAAGCAAGGAACTTAGAGGGTATTTTCGTGTACAGTATTTTCCTCTCCCTAACTCTGCACCCCTCCTTGGCTCTAAGCACGTGAAACATGTGTCCTCCCCCAGACAGGCCATAATTCCACAGAGAACGCTGGACAGAACGCACTCTCGTCACCACCCAATGCAAAGCGGGCTCTCCTGACTCACCACCCCGGGTGTCGCTCCGAGGCTCACGGAAGTGAGGCAAACGAGCACACGCGCGCTCCAAGTGCAGAGCCGGATGCAGCTGCTCGGTACCCACTCGCCTCACTCGCATTTCATTGTAACCCGAGCTCAGCCTTCTCAGACCCATCGATACTATTATCAGGGTCCGTGTTTCTCAACCTTTTAAAAATTATTAGTCCACGAATATGTCTTTTTATAGCTGTTCGCCCATAACCATCACCCATATCAAATTAAAAATTAAGAAATGAGATTTTGTTGAATAAGGTTAAGATTGGGGCGGGAGCACAAACCACTGTATTATCTTAGATTTTTCTCCCCACACCCCACCCTACCCCACACACAATTTTTCACTCGCGTTGAGAATGCATGCCACGGACGGATGGCAGGGAGAACACAGAAGAGAGGCTCATATAAGCCAAGGTCACTGAAGGGCGTTCCCTGAGAGTTCAATGCAGGTGAAGGAAACACATGACTCGATTCACAGGGAGACCCGTATGTGGTACGGTACAAGCAGTGGCTCTCACAATGCGGCTCCTGGACCACATGGGCAGCACCTGGAAACATGTCAGTCCCACCCCAGAGCTACGGAATCAGAAATCCAGGTGTGGGGCCCTGCAATCTATGTCTGACAAGGAAGATTCTGGTGTGTGGTCCATTCTGGGCAGCACCCGAGCACAGGGCTCCACAACACGGTATCGTGGTGCGTGCAGCGATACGGAGCAGCCCCGGCGGACGCACACGGAGCTCGGCTGCACCTCCCCACACCGCGGAGGAACGCTAGGGGCACAGGCAGGCTTACCTTGGAGTTTTCCATCACACTCTCAATGCAGTCAAAGTAAGAGAGGTCACTAACAGGTTCATTAGGGTTGTCCAACATCCCTTTGACAGTCTACGGAGGGAGAACACAGCTAAGAATGCAAGCAAGTGTTATAGAACAAGAAAAACTCAACACCACACACCAACAATCAGCTTCTCTCCGTGTACAGGATTCTGGTCACAATCACTCCTTTACTATTGAAAGGAAGTTAGATCAAAGCATTCATGACATCACATTTCCTGCTAAGAACACAACACTGAATGGGGGCAGATGTCTCGGGTTATTTCTGATGGAGAGGAGGATCTCTTGTTTTCAATTTTGAAGGAGAAGTGAGGTATCTATGGAATAGGGAATTTTTTTTTTCCTTAAAGAAGTCTGAAAGTTAATGTAAGGCAACATATTCATGGTAAATTAGTATAATTTTTTTTTTTGCTGAATAAGTCCAAGGAGTTTAAAATTTTAAGGACACATGAATTAATTTCTTCATGAGTAGTAGAGCCTGTAGTTTTCCATTTGGAAACTTTTAATGGGAGGCATGAAAGAAGGTAACTCCCCCAAACTGCTCATGGGGATGGTTTCCTTCTTTCTGTTTACATTTAGACACTAGAGCAAATGTTCACTCTTGCCCAGGTCCACCAAGGAGCTGCGCCCGGGGCCTGCCTCTTCTGTCTTTGTTCCCCTTGCACTGAAAATGCTCACTCGCTCTCATGTAACGACCTTCGAGGGTGGAAAGTCTGGGGATGTAGCCATTCAACCTCCTCCCTGTTGAGAGATAATGTACGCAAGGACCCAGCAGCCTTTGGGGCACAGCCGACAGAAAGGGTCATTTGAGTTGCAAAAGGTTGGGTGGAAGTAATGGTGGAAATTGCTGAGTTACTCAGATCTGAGGGAGAGGAGGCATAAAGGAGTTCATTTCATTGAAGAACCTCTTCCAAGTCCTTGCATAATCAAAATTGTTTTAGTAACAGCAATTCTGAAATAGTCATAATTTTGGCAACCAAGGATACCATTAAAGAATGGAATATTTACACCTAGGCCAAAAGAGCTCATTTAGATCAACAGCCTACACAGTTAATGTGAACAGACCAGAACAGAACAGGGCAGTAATTCACCCACTGCAGGAAACATTCTCCACTGTTTTCACAACATTTCAGTCCTGTGTGAACAAGCCACTTCCCACTTCTAGCTGCATACAATGTCCTATTGCCATCAATCAAATCCCCCAACCGGCATGGTAGGCATTCCCACCATGCCGGACCCACGTTAATCATCCAGAAAACTCGTGGTGCACTGGGTACAACAAACCCTTATCTATTAAGACACCAATTTGGCTGTTTCAATATAAACTTGTATTGGTTAAGATTGTTCTACATACAAGTAGACACATTGGTTTTATGTTTACCCACATACATCCTATGGGCATAAATGAATTTGAAATTATAAATAAACCATAAATATGAATATGAATGGAAAAGCATCCATACTGTGTTCTGGGCCACTAGGGATCCATGGACACCTTGACCGTATGGTAGTGAGTGACACTTTTGGGTTCCCTCTTATGTGCTCCCTCCATGTCACAGAAGAAAATATATGGGGTAATCACTTTTACTCAGAAAGCACATCTATCCCAGCTTCTCCCAAACGCCTCAGAATAATCTCTCCAAACTTTTCAGGTAGAGATTCTCATCTTCAGTCTACCCCCAGGACCAGAGGCCTCTTCCTGTTTGAAACAAAAAGTCCTTTAACAAAGTAACTCTCATCCTAGTGGACAAAGGGGAAGCAGGGATGACAACCCTGCCAAATCTAATCTTTCTTCATTTCCTTCCCACTTGGATGGAACTTTGGCCCTGACAGCCTCCCAGGAGGATAAAAGACAAGGACAGAAGAGAAGGAACTGACCCCATGGCACAGGACAGACAGACACACTCTTGGATGCTCAGCACCTGCCCAGGACCCACCTCAAGCTCCCGCAAGGCATTGTCGCACTCCTTCTGGCCGGGAGCTTGCTGGGTGCACAGAGTGATGAGTTGATTGATGCTCTCTGTCACAGCTCTGTGCCAGAACAGAAAGAGTGGGGTGTTTTTGTTTTTAAATATCAACAGTAATTTCCCCAACAATGCTTTGCAGTTTCACTAAAGCTCTTGTACAAGGTTTTAAACTACCAAAAATAAACCACTCCCAAGGAAGACAGAATGAGACTCCTTACCTTGTTCTGATTAGTATTCATTTGATTTACTCTTAAAGGGTACTTAAAGTTCTCTTAAGGAAGTATGACTATCTTATAACATATTCATAAGAAAGAATTCACAACAATGTTGCAAATAGCAGAGAGATTATATTAACACTATTTTCAAAATCCTTCATTAGCAGCCCATAAAAAGTAAGATTGTCAGAACAAGGACATTTTGGGTAGCCTTTGTATAGTTTGGAATATCTTGTATGTTTTTAGATACAGTGACATACAATAAACTGTGTCTATAATTTTAAAATCCCTACTGTCCATTAAATTATACACGATTGACTAGTTCTTAGAAGCTATCTCAAAATTATTCTTTAAAATAGCTATTTTCTTTGTTAATACTAATAGGAATTCATTACAGACCCTTGTATGATTGATTTAACATGTGTTCTGTTCTTCTTAGAACTTAAAAGGGAGCCCAGATTTTTCTTTTTTCAAGGATTGGAAGTCAAATTATTCCAGCACCATTTGTTTAAAAGGCTATCCTTTCTCTGTTGAATTGCTTTTGCAATTTTGTTGACAATCAACTGGCTATATTGCATAGGTCTACTTCTGGATTTTATTCTGTCCCATGGATTTAGGTGTCTAACTCTTTGCCAATACCACACCACTTTGATTACTATAGCTTTTATACTAAGTCTTAACATTGAACAGCTTTGCAGACACAGACTTAAATCCATGTCTATCTGACTCGTAAACACACTTCTGATAGGGCCCTGAAATCTATTTACAGTTACTAACCACTACAGCTTGCAGACAACTTAAAATTAAAACAAACTAGGGCACGTATTGCTGTTAATTATAAACAATGCCTAATATAAAAGATACCTCATTTTATTAGTTCAATTGACTTTGCAGCTTCCCACAGAATATACAATTAGATGGAAATGATGTCGGAATGTACAAAGGTAATCAGCTTAATTGTTTGATGAGGAGATACTGCTTTGAATTTTAAAATTTAGCTAGGGTGACGGGAAGAAGAAAATCATTCTTGAAGTCAAGGAAGAATCCCCAAACAGGTTTTGCAACATTGACTCTAGTGATTCATTTATTTGGGGACGAGTGCTTAATAATTAAGGCGTTGTTGGGAAGCTGTGCCCTCCAAGGCACAAAGCTAAACAGGAACCCCAGAGACGGCAGGGCAGTCCCTAGTTCCGACCTGGGAGTGTGCATCCACGAGGTGACCACTGAAAGTGTCCCTCAGAGGCCAACACCGCGTTCTGTGTGGTCGCCTTCAAGATGCACTTGTGAGTGGACAGGCTAGCGATGTCAACACATCCTGCACTGTGATGACATGATCAATGGGAGAATATCACACAAGCTTTTCCTTTCAGTGTTTCCTGTTTATCCATCTTTTTAAAAAAACTAGTTTTTATATGAAAACTTTTCCATTAAAAACTAAGGGTTTACAACTGGTGAATCCAGAGAATATATCATTATTCATCATCCTACTGTTTTTAACTATTTTGTAGATGTAAAAAAATTTTCAAATAAAAATTTGGAGTAAAAACAAACACCAACAGGCTAAGAGTTTATAGTTAGATAATCCACAAAGGTGCCCACACAGCACTGCAGTCTGAACGAGCCACTTGGTAACAGTGATCCAACTAAGGAGCACTATTTAGATATCATTCATCCCCATCACTCATTTCACACTCTGGATTACATAGCCAAATCATAAACTAAGTGGCCCAAAGGCAAATGGTTATATAGATTTGACAATCAAAAATACTATTTTTATGTTTCAAACTGTAACAGTTGGAGGCAACACAAATATACCATGATAAAGGATTGACTAAATAAATGTGTTGTTCAAAACAGAATCCTGGGTATCCATTAAAAGTCATAATATACAGGGTAGGACACAAGTAGGTTTACAATATGAGTATATGAAACACAAAGTTTACTCTTGTATTATTATTTATTACTGTATTATTTTCCATATGAGCAACTGTAAACCTACTTTTGCCCACCCTGTAGAACAGCATATTCCTAATGTTATAAAAGACTATCCATGATACGCAAGTAAAATTTATAATACAGTATAAACAGTATGTGCCCATGACTATAAAGTACATAAAAATGTTAACAGTGATGTAATATTTTTACAAAAAATTTTAGTAAATCTACTAAAAATTAGGAATCAACCAATTTATATTATTAATAAACATTTGACCAAAATTAGCAGCATCTGTTCTATATAAATCCCAATAGGCCTGAACCGTAGTTGTTTTTAAAATAATCAAAGCTTACAACTTTATTTTTAAAAATACAAAAAAGTGCCCTGGCCGGTTTGGCTCCGCGGTTGGAGCATCCGCCTGCGGCCCGGAGAGACCCGGGTTCGGTTCCTGCTAAGGGCATGTACCTCGGTTGCAGTTTGTCCCCGGCCCTGGTTGGTCGTGCGGGTGGTGGCCACTCAATGTGTCCCTTTCACATCGATGTTTCTCTCTCTCTCTCTCTCTCTTCCTCTCTCTCCCTCCCACTCTATCTGTGCAAAAAATGGAAAAATGTCCTCGGGTGAGGATAAAAAATAAAAATAAATAAAAAAAATAAAAATAAAAATACAAAAAAGTAAAATGACCATAATTCCACCATATAGAGACAGTATTTTTTGTATTTTATTCTTTATCTAGGCATATCTAGCCAGTCTCAGTTTTTAAAAATTTGGGGTCTACAACCTACAAATCATTTAGTATTTAGGGATATTGAATCAATTTAACTGAAATTTGAGAGCTCTGGTAGGAAAGTTTAGCTAGATAGGGAAGGAGAAAATCAACCAATTTGTGCTTTTGATTATGTATTAAGCACAAATTATCCAGTAAGAAGCTTGGAGGCAAAAAAGCAACATCAGACATTTCCCTCTTCAAGGGAGGAGGTGCTCAGGGAGGGAATAAACAACAAACCAAGATCAACCTGCAGTATTTCCTGGGTCCTGCTATGCACAAGGCTCAAGGTTTAAAAACAATACAGCTGAAGTCTCTCTAGGACAATCTAGGTGAAGAGGCAAGACAATGACCAGACAAGACACACAGACAGTGATAGAGGTATGACACCAGACAGGCCCCGATGGATCCTGAACCTCTGGTAGGCCAGACACATGCAGGACTCACAGGGAGCATGAAAGAAAATTAAATAAGGCCTGGAGCATGGGCATGGGTTCTGCATGGCAGGAAAGGCTCGTAGTGGACTGGAGCTAGGCCTCAATGTGATCCTGATTTGGATAAATGGAAGAGAGCATCCTAGAGGAGACCAACAGAAAGGCCCAGGTTACATTTTTCTTTCATAGTTTGAAAGTGATGCTTGCTGGGCCATCCTTTCTCACAAGTCTCTGGACACAGGAGGAAGCCTAGTCAGCAGGAACTTTCAACCAGATGATCGACAGGGAAGAGGAGCCCCCTAAGGTGCTAGGGAGTGCCCTCAGGGACCAGAAAGCAGCTGCAAGAAAACCTGGCCTGGGATGGGCACCATGTTGGAGCTGTCCTGAGAAGTGTTTCAGGCACAGGAGTCCTGGCTAGGGTCACTGTGGTGTGAACAGCAGCTCCAGGGAGGTGCTCAGAGGAAGGACAAGTCCTCCTTTTTGAAACTGGAAACTGGTTTTCCATTCCCTTGACTAAGTCCTGGGAGCATCGGCGCAGCCCCTGGTCAGGGAACACACTGATGAACGTTGACAAAGTGTCTCCAGCTCCACTCAACTCGTCAGAAAAGAGCCACAGCCCACCATTACACAGGAAGATGATGAACAAGCCAGACACTCAACAGAGAATGACTTCCTCCCTGCTAGGTGTCAGAGATACCGGGGACCGGGTTCCTTCAAGGTACCTGGGTTCAGAGGCAGAATAAAAAGCAGGGAAAAAGACATTCTATCTACTATGTTTCCAGAAGCACACCCCTTTTCCCAAAGCAGGGAGGATCATGGAGACTACCAGGAACAAGGGGTTCAAGTCTGCTGACACAGGAGCAGGGCAGGGCCAGTTGATCCAGGCCTGGGTCCCCAGAGCGGTGTCTCCTGCTCCCTGTATATGCCACCTGCCCAAACTCCACCAGGGCCACCCTGACTGGTTCGGCGTGTGCCCAGCGCCCAGCGCCCAGCACTGGCCCTATCCCACATCAGGCATGTGGGAAGAATTTGTGTAATGAACAAATAAAATAAGAGAATGAATACATCCCAACCTGGGAGAGCTTCACCTCCCAAGAGGTGGCTGCCTGACTCACTCGACCTGCCAGGAGCTTCGCTGGGAAACCACCCCAGGGAGCAGGGCTTGCCAACATGTGCCAAGAAGCCAGGAGGAACGTGCCAGCATCTTCTTGCAACAGTTCCATCTGAGACAATCATTTCACATAATGATTTTTAAGTGCTTACCTGGCTATAAAACCATCAGGCAGGGAACTCCCTGTCAACTGCTGAAAGCCAGGACAGAGGCAAAGAAAGCTTTTTCACCTAAAAATCTCCCGGTCCTTTCCTCATGTCACCACCAGGGGGCCTTCAGAGCCCCACGGAGCTGTGTAACAGGCAACATTCCTTCCAGGGTCTGTTTCCCTCCTTACCTGGCTTTCAAAAGGCCAGTTCTTAGTCTCCCTTTCTTCCCACAATTTAAGAGAGTGAATAACACATTCTTAGTTGGAAACCGTAATTCTGAAATGATGCAAAAAATTGACAATAATGAAAAACATCTGAGTTCAGATACCTGAAAATGTCAGTTACCTTATCCAAAGGCTATTTTGTAGGAAAAAAGAGCAACCAAGGGAGGGTTTTATATCAGAAACAGCTGCTCAACACAGCACACATCACCCCCAACCCTACCCCACCCCCACGCAGGGAGGGCACCCACGACTAGAATAGTCACAAAGCACAGCACAAATGGAAGTGGGGTGATGTCAGGCGATTTTCCCACTCCCCTAATGGTTCTAGCTACTGTTTGTAGCTAAAGCATATATTTGAGAATAAATGAAAAAACTGAAGGGTTTTCAGAGGAACTGCCCTGATATGTCTAATCTACCCCTCCAAAAATTACCACTACCAGCCATGAGGGGACCGGAGACAGGTTGTCACCATTAGCACCACAGTATCTTACGTACTGAGAACTGAGAAGAGCTTCAGAATGATGTGTGCACACCCTCATTCTGCAGACGGAAATGCTTAGGCGGACTGAGGGACCCAACCAGTGTAACTGAGTTAGTTAAGCATCAAAGTCTGGACTAGAATCCAGGTCTCCTGACTCTGACAACTTAAAAAACAGCCAGTGAGCTCCCAGGAGAAAAAAGCATAGAAAAGTAAATGAGTAAACTAACAAAACCAAGTTTTAAAATGCAGAACGTAAACTATGCTTTAAAAAAATCAGTAATCTGTCCATCTTGAGAAGTTTCTAATTATACTTTATATCCGAATTGTTTTGCATTTAATCTCTTATTGCAGTCAGCTTTCCTGTCCATCTAGGGAGGCCAAGCGAGGTGAAGAAAACATGCCCCCACCACTGCAGAAACAGAACACATCCCACCCATTTGGGTCAGGAAAGGGAATGTGAGGATTTTCCTGGGTTGTCGTTATAGTTTCTCTGCATAGTAGCATTCACTCACTAGTCATTGAGCTCAACAGCCACAGTGGCCTGGGGTAGAAATTGTATTGTATTCCCCACTTCCTCGGGTGGAAATAACAGGAACAAAGAACAGTGACATCATCCAAAACTCAGATTCATGTTTTAATTATTTCTGAGAACAATGTACTCCCACCACCACCCTGATCATTCCGCATGGGATAAACTGAACCTGTGTCCATCCATCTAATTAACGTTGACGCCAGGCAGACAGTCCCGTGCTCAAGAAGTGAGGAACGGCTAGCTGAGTATCATTTTGTTATTTATACTTTCCAGTATTTTCTGATTTGTTTTTCAACAAGCCTATAATACTTTCATAATCTGAAAGATATAACACTATTTTTAAAAAGTCGACTCAAGCTATAGTAGTTATAAATCACGGAGGGTCTGAAGTCTAAGCAAGTCTATCTGAAAAGGCGGGAGGAGAAGACAGATGTCTGTAGTGGGGCAAGCCCATGAAAATGAGCCAGTTTAATAAACTAGCAGAGCCCCCGTCACGCGTGACTCCCCTCTGACAACACAGGAACAGCGCCAATGCTTTGCTCAGCAAAAGCAGCAGGATGTCAGCTGCTCTCAAACACCCACACACTGACCAACCCACGAAAGCCCATTTGTCCCACTTGTACCTTGCAGCTGCAGCGAGGAGATTTTTCGCATTGGGGGCTCCTGGATCCACAGAGAGGGACTTGGCAGCCAACAACAGCTTACTGGATGCCATGGAGATATTCTTGAGGTTCCCGATCACCTGGATCTGGTCTTCTTTGGTCTGGAAGGTCAAAAGGGGCCAGAGTAATTAGGGACTCTCCATGTCTCCTAGGAAGCCGTCAGAGAGCTAGGAGCAGCATTCTGCAAAAGAAGCAAGTTATCTATATAGAATGAATTAAGCCCAATTAGTTTGCAGATGCCTAACTTGTTGGGGCACTGACAGGTGTGTAGCCTTCCCAGGACGGATACCCAGACCAATGCACGAAACAGGACAGAAATGCATCCCCAGTGGGTCAGCGAGAGCTGTGCTCTCTCACAAGTGGAGGCGCTGACGGGGGAGGGAGAAGAGCCAGAGCCCAGCCGGCAGTGCGCAGGCCAGGCCGCAGCCCAGCATCTTGCCCAACAATGCTGGGGTTGTCAGGAGCCGTAGTCTCAGCCTGGCACAGACGCCGGCACTGCCTCGGTATTCAGAGCTGACTGCATCTCGGGAGTTGCCGACTCAGGAGAGGACGCATTTCTCACCCTCTGTAGATAACAGAGCAAGAAATATGCTGGGTTTCTCTTTCGGGGAGTTCATAGGAGCTCAGGAAAAAACAGCTCTGCAAGCTGACACCAGACCGGTCATGCTCCCTTGTTCCTAACAAGGAGTTTATCTGTTCATCTGAAGGAGGTAATTTTCAATCCTTTGATTCAGTATTAGATACAGTCCATTTAGATGGGCCGGTGGAACCTCAAAGGCGTGATTTTTTTTATTATTATTATATTATACCACATTTGAGAACTATCCTAATCTGAACTAAACATTTTCCCTCCTCTTACCACCCTCCCTCCAAAAACTGTTAGTAAAATGATGGAATTTGCTGGAGGACCATGGGAAAAGCTCTCCATCCCCCAAAATCACTTCATGAGAAGCTGATAGCATCTTGGGGAATGCCTTTCCTGTGAGCTCACGGAGCTTCCTAAGCGGCAAAGAGAATGCAACAGGCGTCCTGGCTGGTTTGGCTCAGCGGTTAGAGTGTCAGCCTGCAGACCAGAGAGTCCCGGGTTTGGTTCCCACTAAGGACACCTACCTCGGGTGCAGTTTGTCCCTGGCCCCTGTTGGGGTCGTATGGGTGGCAGCCAGTTGATGTGTCTTTCTCACATCCATGCTTCTCTCTCTCTCTTCCTCCCTCTCTCCCTCTTGTTCTATCTGAAGATAAATGCAAAAATGTCCTCAGGTGAGGATAAAAAAAAAACCAACGAAGAGAATGCTACAGGGTAGCCTGGGGACAGGTTCCCCACTCCGATTTGCCCAACCGGCCTCCAGGGTGGACTGTTGATCAGAGTAGAGGGGCGAGGGTCAGTTCCAGACAGCCACCCCACACCCACCTGAGCCTGGCCCGCCATCTCAATGCCAGCGTCGAGGAATTCATCGAAATCGTCACTGAACTTCCCGGAGGCTGCAGCCAGCTCTCCGCTCTGGCCGCGGGTGGCATGGACCACTTCCCCAGCAGACTGGTTCAGGTCAGCCGCCGCCTGGTTCAGCTCGCTCTGGGCTTCCTGGAACGGCTTCGTGCTTGCGGGCAACTGTGGGAGCAAAAGGCACAGCCCAGAAGTTTACTCCTCCTGAGAGGCACGGAGGGAGGTGCTGTGGAGAGACAGGTTCTCGAGGGAGCCTTTCTAAGTCACCAAGACCAAAGGCTCAGTGTGTCAGAGCTCATGTTAGGTTTGACCTTCAACATATATACATTCATTCACGCCCTTAAATCTATTGAACACCTATTCAGTGCTGGATTCCTGTGTTTGTAAACATGGTAAGGACAGCTGTCCTCAGGGGCCACGGTCTGCAGAGCAGATTGTTACCAGCATAACTAGAACCGTCTACGGAAATTCCAGAGAGGTAGGCTAGCCTCCAGTAGTCACACCATAGTCACTGCTTGTCCATCGGGCATGTGCGGGGCACCAGACAGAAAAGAAGCAAAGATAAACAGGCACGAGCCTCCCTGAAGGGGGCTCACAGAACAGGGAAGGGAAAATCCCTCAGGCTGTGCTCTCCTTGAACGAGTGTTGGACACGTGTCCCTCCAGGGCCTGATCGTCACGTCCGGGATGCCCTGATAAGAAGTCAGATGATCACACATTCCCTCGTTCCTGTGCCGCTGGGATGACCCAAGAGCAAACGAAGGCTCAAAGAAAAAGTGAACTTTAAAAAGCTCCCGCTGGAAACTTGTCTGATCAGAAACCAAAGCAGGAAAAGGCAGATTGGCAGGAAGGGACTGGAAGGAAAGGGTGGTGCTCAGAGATCCCACGGAGGTGAGAAGACTCTGCCCAACCTGAGATGAGTCCACTCCCCAAGCCCCCTTCCCAATCCCGGATCTCCTACCGAGTCCACGAGCAGCTTCTTGCTGGACTCCCCGATGCTCTTCAAGGCAACGTCCACATCCTTCTGGCCGGGGAGGCAGTTCACGCAGTTATTCAGCGAGTGCGAGACGGCCTTGGCCACCTGCATACGTGGAGGGAGAAAAGCGCCATAAGGAAATGGCTTTCTGTGCAAACATTTCTGCACACATGACAGTATGCAGAGCTGAGAAAAGATGGGGAAATATCCGCCAGTATCTACCTGACACTGTTTACCATCAAACCTCCTCTGGGCCTCTCGGTGCTGTTAACATCCTGTCTTGGCAGAGGGGCTGACACACGGAGACAGCACACCCTACCTTTCCCCAAAGCCAGCTGATGCGTGACCCTGTGATTCAAACTCAGAGCTCGCCAACATTGTGTCAGGTTCTAAAACAAAGATATCTGATACCGAGAGAAACAGAAATAGCTCCCTTGCTGGGAATCACCAAGGTGGAGGCAAGCCTTGAGTTCTTTGGATCACAGTCAGCTGGGCCTGCGGCTGATCTCTGCTCAGCGACCCTCTGGGCCACCCCCTCAAGCCTCACTGCCCCAGGGCAGGCAGAACGCTCTGAGCACTTCTGGACCATTCTGGGGGTGCCCGCAGGATGCCTTTAAGCATGTGTGAAGGCTCCCTGTTTGGACTCTTTAGCATCCTCAGTTCAAGGGTAAGGTCTTAAGAAGTGGGTTGTCATTCCCTGTCATTTAAAGCATCTCCGTCCTAGCTCCTGGTCTAGAACTCTGCCCAGATGGTCTCTAGCCAACTTGTTTCATTAGGTAGTTGAAGACCCCTCCCTAAGAGGCAATAGAGTCAGAGGGAAAAACTCTGAGTGGCCACACCAAGTATATCTACCTTATTTCCCAGGCGAGGAAGAGGAATATACTTGAGCATAGCCCCCCCGTCCCCAAAAATAACCAGGTTGTGTCCTGGTTCCTAAAGTTCCAAGGACAGATTTCAACAAACTCCCGCATACTCTCCGTTGACATGTTAGGTGGGCTACTAGGCAAGGCTCACAAAAGTAGGTAGTACATGTGTACGGCCATTGTTCTGGCACTTTGGAAGGTCCCGAAAACACGCACTAAGCACAAGTGTTCACACCAGAGGAAAAGCACCCCGGAGGGAGCCCGCCAGCACGTCCACTTTCATGCCGAGCACGCTGCCGGCGCCGGCCTCACCTGGGCCAGCCTCTGCTGGCTCTCGGCGTCTCCAGGGGCGACCAGGGCCTGCTTGGCCTCCTGGATGAGCACGGCGGAGCCCTCCATCACGTCGCGCGCAGAATCCAACATGGCGTGCGCAGCGGCGGGGTCGCTGGCCGAGGCGGCCACTCCTCGGGCGGCCTGGGCCAGTGTCTTCAGAGCCTGGGCCGTCTCTCTAGCAGCCACCCCTGTGGATAAAAGCCACCAGACTATGAGAAGCCATCTAGCGTCATACTTGGGAGTAAACCTGTAGATCAGAGCCCCCCAGAAAGAAGAGAATCCGCTGACAGTGTCTGGTGCAGCTGAGCTCCAAATGACTTACTACCGAATTTGAGTTGCTGTGCTTTTCGAAGAAGTTGCCCACCCCGCTGGCTCTGGGCCCGTCCAGGAGGGTGTTCTAACAAATACCATGCTGAAGACGACCTCCCTCTGGTGCCTCGCTCCCACTGCCCCACTCTCCCTAAGCCTGAAACACCATGTGCGTGGCTTCATACACAGATCAGTCCTTCCAACTCACTTTCCTTCCAACTGTTCGCATTGGGTGCAAACTTCTACAGGATAAGTGAACGAGTCCCTGTGGGCAGCTCAGGGGACTTCCACGTGCGTGCACACCCACAGGTGTCTGTCGCCCAGATGGAGACACAGAACAGTCATCACGGTGCCCTTTCCCTGCCTGTGTCCTCTCACACGGGACGTCACCACTGTTCTAGCTTCTACCACCTTCGGCTAGTGTTACCTGATCTTAACCTCCATGTGGATGGATTGACAGCGTATGTATTCCTGTGAGCAAAATGCTGTGAGATTCACCCATGCTGTTACCCATAGCAGTTCATTCCTTTTTCTTGATGTGTAGTATTCCATTCTATGAATACACCAACATGTGTTTATCCACTCTTCTGTTGATGGACCTTAGAATTGTTTCCTTGGGCTATTACAAACAAAGCTACCAAGAAAGGTCTTGTACATGCAGTTAGAGGGACAGATGGAATCATTTAGAGAATATGAACGTAGGCGTACACTTGCTGGGTCACAGAGCAAGTGTATTGTTAGCATTAGAGGTACCACAAAGCCTTTTCAGAATGGCGTTACCGCGACGCACGCCCCAGCAACACCGAGAGGTGCAGGTGCTCAGCATCCCAGCCGAAACCTGCTGGCGTCAGGTGTTTTATTTTAGCCTTTCTGGTGGGTGTGCGGGCACATCCCGCCGAGGTTTACCTTTCATATCCCCGGTAAGGCTGGTGAGCACTTTTCCACGGAATGGCCATTGGAATACCCTCTTCTGTGAAGTGCCTGTTCATCTTCAAATTCACTTGCAAAGATGATGAGATTTGGAGATAAACTACGAGTAAAACTGGTACCGGCACAGCCAAGCAGAGGATGCAGACTGGAAACGCCTGAGTGTGCAACTAAGGATCCCGAGACCCGCAGAGCAGCCCGAGCAGCCAACCTCAGAGCCCACTGCACTGAGCCGCTTTCACGGACGAGGCCCAGCGAGTGTCCACGGACACACTTTTAAGGCAGCACCAGGGCCAGACCTGAGGCTTTTGAACTTCTGGGTCAGACTCTCTGAACCGTGCTCTTTGGGACTGCGTACTATGAGGGATCTTGTTGAAACATAACACATCTGCATGAAAAACACACAGATCAGTTTCTCTCTGAGGGGACTATTTGCTAAAGACTTCGTTCAGCTGGGTGGTCTCTGGGGGCCACGCAGTGTGGCCTCGACCAGCCATTGCTTCAGCTGAGTCGACAGAGGCGGCAGGTGGTCCTCTTCTTACTGAGGTCGAGGCAACATGATACAATAAAGAGGCCAGAGGGCCCCAGGATCCATAAAACAAGACAACTCTGCAGCGTTGCAGACCTGTTAATCCATAAATATTTAGTACGCCACACAGCTGGGACATAACTCTACAACCTAATCAGGGAAAATTACAAACCCGCCAGTCTACCACTCCGCACGCGGCACTGCGAGCACAGCATGCGGAACCAGAGATTTCAAGCCAAGTGCTTTTGGTGGCAGAGGAGAAGTCCAGGAGAGCACACACAAAGACAGCAAAGCTAAGGCGAAGGAGAGGAACAAGCTGAATAAAAAACAGTCATTCTATTTTACGTTTAAGTTTCTGGCACAGGGCTGAAGGATGTCCTCGCGCAGAAGAGCGGCAGATGTGGTTTGGGTAAGACCTCATCCAGCTCTGGCTCTGCTGCTCATCAGCTGGGTGGCCTAGACTATTGCCTTTCTCTCTCTGGGCCTCAGTTTCCCACAAGTTTTAGGGGAGGCTGAGATCACAGCTCTAACCACTGAAAATAGTAGCCTGTGATTTTTAGATTTCTCCTCTTGCGTTTCTATTTATCATATGAACTCTTGAATTCATTTGTATTTGAGTTGTGCATGACTTTGGAAGATTAAACATTTATCATATGCAGTAAGAAAAGTCATGTTTATGCAAAAGTCATTTACTGAAACAGACAATTTTTTTTAAAAGGCAGAAACCAGAACTGAGTTCCAAAAGCTGACGTTTCTCCCTCCACGTGTTTTCTGCCAAGGACTAACTGTGAAATCTCAGGGCACATCAAGGGTCCTCTTTGGAGGGATCAGGTCTCCCAGAAAGAGGAAGCCACACCGTCAAGAGGAGGGAACAAGGCCATCAGAGGCCGGGGAGCCCAGTGAACATCCAAAGCTGTGTATGGTGGAACTCACAGCAGCACTCTCAATGGTAACGAAGAAAATCATCAGAGTCAGGTCCCCAAGAAAACACCACCCTCCAAACGAAACTGTTCCCAGAGTCAGGTGTGCATTACAACATCAGAGCTGCCAGTGGGAACTACCAAAGCAGACCACTGTTTTGAAACCACAATCCTCCTGCCCAGCTGGTGTGGCTCAGTGGATTGAGCTCTGTTCTATGGACCAAGAGGTCCTGGTTTGATTCCTGCTCAGGGCACATGCCTGAGTTGCAGGCTCGATCCCCAGTAGGGAGCATGCAGGAGGCAGCTGATAGATGTTTCTCCCATCGATGTTTCTAACGCTCTCCCTTCTTCTAAGGAAATCAATAAAAACATAAACAACAACAACAAAAACCCCACCATCCTTTCAAGACATAAATCACTTTCCCCGTATTCTTGCCTCCTGCATCTTAAATTATATTCAGTAACGGAGTCTTAAGCTACACCAGTGATATGAAATGCAGTAGAATTCTTCAGTTATTCTTGATCAGAATTCATGTAGATTGTGAATAGACAGCATTAGACCATGTGAATTCACAAGGTTAAAACCAAGTATGGCAGATTTTTAGTCTGTCCCAAAGGATGTGAAAAGGCTTTTCTGTCTATGTAATTGTATTCGGCTAGGCAGAAATGTATTGTGAATACTACGCTGGCCAAACAAACGTACAACTGTGTTAGAATCTGGCCCCGTGGCAGCTAGTGTAACTTGTGAATACGCCACGTGCCTTAATCGTGGACAAGGGAACTGAGACCCAGGGAGAAGCTGTCCTCACTTGCACTCTCTCTCTGCTTCCCATCCACTCTTCGACTTTCCTGAAACTGCCTTCAACAGGGGGAACAGTGCCTTTATTTGTCCTAAAGTCAATGGATGCTCCTTAAATCCCTCTTAGGTGACTCTGTGGGCAGCAAGTACCTCTAGCTCTAGAGCAGTCTTCTCTCCCGGCATGTTCTCATTTCTTATGAAGACTTCGAATGCTCTCAGCCTTCTTAAATATGTCCGTGTTCCTCAGTGACCTCTGATAAACGTCTCCTCACTCTACCACCCCCCCAGGCAAACCTATCTATCTCCATGGTTTCAATCACTACCATTTTATCAAACACTTAGAAATCTTTACCCCTCGCCCAGACTTCTCTACGGAGTTCCGGAGGCAAATATCTAGCTGCCTAATGGGCGCTTCTACTCGGATACGCTGCAGGCACTTCAAATCGAAAGCACTTAAAGCTTATCCTGGTTTCCAATGCCCACCAGTGGTCCTGAATTTCCATCCCTGGGGTTCAGACATCTCTTCATTCAACCATCAGGAAACACAGGATGGCGTGGCCCATGCTACTTCCCTTACTCCCGCCCTGCCCTTCCCCATCGTCGCCGACTCTCGGGTCTCTCTCTGACCAGTCTCTTTGTCTCCACTACCATCTCTTACACGGATGAGCTCAGCAGCCTTCTCACTGGTCTCCCTGCCTTCAGCTCGGTTCCCTCCAATCTATCCGCACAGGAGAGGAAGGGCAACTGATACAAAAGGCCATACAAACTCTATCCATAGGGAAAAACTCTTCAACATTTTCACATGTACTTAGGTTATATCTCAAATTATTTAAATTGGCTTAGGAGGCCTGTTAGGATCTGACCCCAGCCTACCTTTCTGGCCTCATCTTCTTACTCCTTACCTCCTTGCCTTTTGCTTGAACCTCACTCCGTTCATTAGGTCAGCCCACCTTTCTCTCCCCTTTGGGACTTCACTATGCTGTCTTCACTCCCACCTCTGCCTAGTCCACCTCTGCCAACACGAATGGCACTCCTTTTGGGTAGGGTTTCAGACACCAGCCAGACAGTCTGTCATCCTGGGTGTTATCAGTATCGGATGATGTAACGTGTAAAGCGGTCCTCGCTCCATTAAAGATGCATTTCATCATTACATAAAATCTGGCTAGATTTCAGGAATGTTTAGAAATTCTTGAAACTTAAACCTCTCATAAGCCCTCTGCTTTGAAGAATTTATATATACTTTCCTTCTCCTTGAATGCTAAATGAGTCCTAAACAATTTTTAAAACCTTGATCAAGTGTCACTTCCACTCTGAAAATTTTCCTTACCCTTCCACTGACAGAACTGTACATTCTCATTATTGCAGGTACTATATCATCCTATACCATACCTCTTGTTGCGCTCCTATTTTCAGACAAGATCAGGCATGTGCAGGGTGGTATGGCCGTATACTGTGCTCTTATTTTCAAAGAAATGAATACACAGTTTTTCTTTTTTTAATTAAAAAAGATTTTGCTTATAGTAATGGCAGAGTAACTTATTGCAGATGAACCCTCCCTCAGAGAAACCACTAGAAACGCTGGAAAAAAATATACAAAAACATCTGTTCAAAGGCATTGTAGAGATACCAAGGCATCAAACTTTACCTTGATGGGTAAAAAAAAGCACAGGGAAGTAAATACAATGCTGTATTTACCCTCAAGGCACATTTTAATTTGTAAACTGTTGTCTAGAAGCTGAGAAGCTGAGCAGAACTTCCTGAAACCTCAGTGGTCTGGGAAGATAAAAGCATAGTTCTGAGCCCAAAAAAACAGAATGGCCCTAGCAAACATCACAGATGTTAGGATGGGAGGCACAAAAGACTACACCCCAGAAAGTAAACTGGAAATAGATGACACAATTTTCAATCAGTTCAGTCCCGGCTCTTATTATGGTGATTTACCCCCTATCTTAACCACCTGCTGGAAGCAAAGAATAATCCTTTGTAGGGAAGGAAACACAAGCTGGAGCCTTGAATTATCTCTACAATGTAAATACCAATGATTAGCACTAAATATATATATATATATGAAACAGCAGGAGTAAGACCAATAGTTGAAAACAAAGAGGAGGAGGGAGAAAATAAAACAGACAATACAAACAGGCCCATAAATGATTCTGATATTATAGTTATTAGACCTGTACATTTAATAAATGTGATAAATATGTTGAAGAAATTAGATGATAAGAAAGAGAATTCCGGCAGAGAAATGGAAATGATAAGAAAACAATTAGCCCAGCTAGTGTGGCTCAGAGGGTAGAGCATTGTCCCATGGACTGAGAGATCCTGGTTTGATTCCCAGTCAGGACACATGCCTGGGTGGTGGGCTCAATCCCCAGTAGGGGGCGTGCAGCAGGCAGCTGATAGATGTTTCTCTCTCACATCAGTGTTTCTAGCTCTCTCCCCCTTCCCCTTTCTCTCTAAAAAAATCAAATCAAATCAATAAAAATATACTAAAAGAGCAATTAAATGGCTATTATTATACTGAAAAATATGACATTTAAAAATTAAAAACTCCATAGACGAAAATCAAAGCAGAATAGACACAACTACAGAGAAGAATCATGAGCTGCAGATAAATAAAAAGAAAAAATTGAGACTGAAGCATAAAGAAAAAGAAGTATGGCCTGGCCAGGTGGCTCAGTTGGTTGGAGCATTATCCTGTACACAAAAAATTTGCAGGTTCAATTCCTGGACATGGTACATGCACAGGTTGCGGATTTGATCCCCAGTTGGCGCATGTATGGGAGGCAACTGATGGATGTTTCTCTCTCACATAAATGTTCTTCTCTCTCTTTCTCTAAAGTCAATAAGCCCTGGCCAGTTTTTCTCAGTGGTTAGAGCACTGGCCCATGGACCAGAGAGAGACCCAGGTTTGGTTCCCACTAAGGGCACGTACCTCAGTTGCAATTTGTCCCCAACCCCAGTTGGTGTTGTGTGGGTGGCACAATGTTTCTCTCCTCTCTATCTCTTCTTTCCTTTCACCCTCCCACTCTATCTAATGATAAATGCAAAAATGTCCTTGGGTGAGGATAAAAAAGTAAAAATAAAGTCAATAAAAACATTTCCTGGGGGCGAGGATTAAAAAAAGAAGAAGAAGAAGAAGAAAAATTGTGGCAAACATAGAAAAGAGCATAAGAGACACAAACAGTAAAAATGTCTACATATGTGGTGACTGAAGACTACAAAGAGGAAGGAAAAAATGTGGCAGAAAGCAATGTTTGAAGATACAATAGTTGAAGTTTAAAAAAAACTTTGGTAAGACAACCAATCATATTTTAAAGGAGTAGTACAACTCAAAGCAGGATAAATTTGCAAGAAAACTCTAGGCACATTGCTTGAAAATCAAAGGTTGATTTTCAAGTAGAGTGGAAAAATAAAATCACATTAGCTTTGGAAGAGCAAACTGACAGCTGACTTCACAACAGAAATAAAGGAAGCCAGAAGACAATGGAATAACATCTTCAAAGCCTGGAAGAAAATAACTGCCAACCTAAAATTTTATAATAAGTGAAATTATCCACCAAAAATAAAGGGTAAACAGAAGCATTTTTAGAAAAACCAAAACTGAAAGAATTGGTCACAGTAGACTCACGCTAAAGGAAACAATGAAGGGAGGTCTTCAGAAAGAACGGGAACAATCCCAGGTAAAAGCACACGGAAACGCAGGAAGGCATGAGGAGCAACGGAGGGTAAACACGGGAGCGAGTCAATCAATACCTCCTGTATGAAGCAACACTGAGACTGTGTTCAGGAGACTGAAATATATGTGGAATTAAAACACATGGCAATGATGAGTTGGAAAAAATGTAAATTTAGTTTAAGTATCCCAAGATTCTTGCACTGTCAAGAAAGAGGTAAACATAGTAACTTATATTACACTTTAAAAAATTGTAAAAGAATAGAAAATGAATGTATAACTAAAAAGCTAATCAAAGGGAGAGAAATAGAATTTAACAAATACACATAAATTTGAAAGAAGGCAAGAAAGAAGAGAAAAAGGGAACCTAAAACAGGAAGGACATTAAAAAAAAGAAATATTAAGGCGATGGAATTGAACTCCATTATTATTAGTAATTACATTATGCAAAAAGACCAAATATTCCATTTGAGAGAAAAGACTGTCACACGAATAACTCCTCCCTCCACAAAAGCACGACTACCTGACACTCACAGGATACACATTAAACACAGGCATACAGAAGAGGTGAAAGTCAAGTAATGGGAAAAGATGTACCATGCACACTATCATGAAAACAAAAGCTTCTGTGCAGAAAGCAATATAACGGTATTGACAGAAAAGAAAAATCTAAATAAATGGAGGGACATAACCTATTCAAAAATTAAAAGACTGATAAAGAGTCAATAATGTAAAGATGTCAATTATCCCAAAATTGATTCATGTAACTTCAAGTAAAAAAAACAACAGGGTATATTTGGGGGGTGGTACGTAGAAAATGACAGGCTGATTCTAGAATTTATGTGGAACCACGAAGGGCCAAGAGTAGTCAAGACTAACTTGAGGAAGAACAATAGTGTTTGAGGACTTACATTATTAGATGTTAACACTTAGTATATATAAAACTGCAGCAGTTAGGAAAGTGTGGTACTAAGAACAGACAACAAAAGCACTGGAAAAGAATCAAAAGATCAGAAACCGACTCACACATATGTGCTTATTTAATTTATGATAAAGTGGCACTAAGAACTACTGGGAAAAAAATGTTTATTTCAAAAAGTGGTGCCAGGTTGCATGCATAACCACGTGGAAAAAAACGTAAGTAGGATCCTTTTTGCACATACACAAAACTCAGTTCCAGATTGACTACAGTTCTAAATGTGGAAAATAAAACAAAACTTCTAGAATGCAGCAGAGGAGAATCTCTTCATGATCTAAGAGAAGCAAAATTTTAAAATAGGACACAAAAAATACTAGCCAAAGAGGAAAAGAAATGTAAATTGGACTATATTAAAATTTATATTTTGTTCATCAACAGACACCTTTAAGAGAGCAAAAAGGTAAGCCACAAGATACAATATATATAAACCACAAGAAGTTCATACCAATAAATAGGAAATGCACAGAAAACTCATATTTTAAAAAATGGGCAAAAGACATGAACAGCACTTCACAAAAGAAGACATGAACAGCACTTCACAAAAGATCTCCAAATGGCTAATGGACGTATGAAAAGGTCCTCAATGGTGCTCTTCATCACGGAAGTGCAAATTCAAACCACAACGCAATACTACTCCACACACGACAGAATGGCTAGTGCTGACAATACAAAGTGGTGACAAGGGAACAGAACAACTGGACCTTTGATTACTGCTGGAAGGAGTTTAGCTGAATAGCTGCACAGCCCATGACCCAGCAACTCCACTGAGATGCTGAAAATGTTCCACTACTTGATCTTGGTGGTGGTTTTGGGGTGCATTTGTGATAACTCATGAACGTATACATTTAGGACATATGCTCTCTTCTGGATGTATACTTAACTTCAATAGTAATGCATATTTCAAACAAACAAACGCAGTCGAGCAGTACCACTGCACAGCCAAAGCAACAATCCATACCCACTCTTCCCCACCTGACTCCTGCTCCTAGAGCCACTCAGTTCTTTATGCTACTGATTAATGTCACATTTCCAAGCAATGGGTTTATACTGAAACTTCTCAATGCTTCCATTTCAGATAGCTCTAGATGTCCTTCTGGGTCTACTTCCGACTGTGGTAACATTTCCTTTCTTACATAACCTGCCGTTTTTTCCTAGAGTTGAAAATTACACAATCTGTTCCTTTTTTTTTATTTTTTTATCCTCACCCGAGGACATTTTTTGATATTTTGTTCAGATAGAGTGAGAGGGGGAGAGAGAGAGAAACATCGACGTGAAAGCGACACATCGAGTGGTTGCCACCCACACGACCCAACCAGGGCTGAGGACAAACTGCAACCAAGGTACATGCCCTTAGTGGGAACCGAACCCGGGTCTCTCCGGACCGCAGGCCGATGCTCTAACCACTGAGCCAAACCAGCCAGGGCCACAATCTGTTCCTTATAGTGTATACTTGTTCAGGGTTACCTGGTGTCACCAGAATGCAATCCATCCCTCTCCCTGCAGAGCTTTAGGTTTTTATTTGGCTCTTTCAGTTAAAATTCATGTGTCTCCTTTCATCTTTGAAAATTTCATTGATATCTTATTTGTTGTCATCTTTCTTACCCTCTATGACCTTTTTGCCCCCCCCTTACTTTGGTGACATTTCAAGAGTCATACCCAGATAGTCCTAGAAGTTTACAATTACTGTTTGCTTATAGTCTAATAGGGGTGTGACCCACTAATAGTTTTGGGGAGTCATATTTTATTAGGTCTTTGTATGCAGAGCATCAAGCCCAGTAACAAGCATGTGGAAAGTGCTTGAAATTGTGTTGAACTGCTAAAACAAAACAAACAGTCAGATTCATTGTCAAGCCAGTGAGCACCCACCCCGTGGTTGGCACCTGGCACACGCGTCACGGAGGGCGGAGTCTCACCTGTGTAGTGCTCGTTGCCTTGAGCAGCACAGGTCAGGAGCTGCGCCATGGAGGAGCCCACTGCCTTAGAGGTACTTCCCAGGTCTTGGGCACATTTTTCCAGCTATAAGAATATTCAACGGAGAAGAGAATTTAGAAGAAACATCCCCTGAGATCTTAGCATAAAAACAATGCAGATCAAACCTTGGGCCTTAAGTTTTTTTCCCAACTAAACACCAGAGACGCTAAGAAGTGGGGTGATAGAAGGGAAAGAGCCCTTGGTTCCATTCCCCCAAATGCTAGCTATGAGGGACTGAGGAAGTTACTAACCCTCTCCGAGCCTCGGCTTTTTGAGATTATAATATCTAGCTCAGAAGGTTTTCAAAGAATTAATGTATATACTCAACAAATGGTAGCTATTAGTATTATGCCTTTAGAGCTAATTTACAAAGTCTGCAACAAATCCTTAGTGAGGATTAATTATCCCTTGGCAGGAAGTGGGCAGACATCCAGCGGTACCACCTTCCTGGCCTTAGGGACCATTAACATTGTTCAATTTGATCATTATACTTTGAGGAGCTCTAACCAGAAGGAAATGCAATAGAAATAGAGGGTTGGAGTGGTAAATGAGATTATGAAAATGGGCAAAGTGCTTGCTTCCCATGAACAGCACGTCATCTTGCTTTGTAAACTGAATAAATAATTCATAAAACAAAGTCAGTAAAGGCCTAGGGTATGGATAATTACTTGATTACTAGACAAGGACCACATTTTGGAAGAGAACTTGCAGGCGTACCGCGAGAGCGCTGCAGAAAGGCATCAGAGTTCTGTGCGGTTTTTTTGTTTTGTTTTGTTTTTTATCCTCACCCGAGGACACTTTTTCATTTTTTGTTCAGATAGAGTAGGAGGAAGAGAGAGAGAGAGAGAAACATCGATGTGAAAGGGACACACTGAGTGGCTGCCACCCACACGACCAATCAGGGCCAGAGACAAACTGCAACTGAGGTACATGCCCTTAGTGGGAACCCAACTCAGGTCTCTCTGGACCGCAGGCCAACGCTCTAACTGCTGAGCCAAACCGGCCAGGGTGATCTGTGCATTTTTAATGCCACGTTATGTTTCGCCTTCAGATAAAAAATAGAGCCTGGTCCCTCACAGTCAACGTCATGTTATAACCCAGAACACGCATTCTCTAAGGGCAAACGATTTCTTTAAAACTTACATGGTGTTTCTTGCATTCTAACTGACCAGTTGTTTCATGTAAAGGCAGAATTCATGTCACACAAGCCTGTTCTGCTCTTTCTGGAGAACAGAAATCTGCCAAGGGATAGACCTGAGCCACACTGCGGAACTGCTGGCTCCGGAGCCGAGCCAGAATTTATCATTAGCTGGGTGACTTTAGTTAAATGACTTAACCTCTCTGAGCCAGAGAGGTTACAATTAAGGTTACAATCAAGGTTAGCCTGATTTAACAAATATTTTCTGAGTGCTTCTTACGTACCAGACATTGTTCTGTGGTAAATTAGGTGTTCCTGAAGTTCCATATATTCTAAAAGTCTGTAGTTCACCCAAAGAGCAGTAGTTTTAAAAGATCACTCTAAATACGAATGATCAAAAGCTTGTGTTTGGAGTCCTGTGGGTTTGGATTTAAATCTTCATTCTGCCACTAACTGGCAGGTAAACACTGGACAAAACAGTGAAAACATCTACACCTGTTTTCTCAGCTGTTAAAATGGGGTTAATAAAACTTGCTCATTAAGGTTACTGTCAGGACACATTTTATGTCTCTGTATATACAGTGCTTAATGAAGGGTGGCATTTTATTATCGATGTTCAGTAGGGTATAAAGGAGATACATATAAATGAGGAGGCCTGGTGAAACCTTAGACAAGAAAACCATGACATGAGCATCAGGAGGTATCATAACATGAAAACCATGCAAAGTAAATGTTTTCTTTAAAAAAAAAAAAAAAAGTTTTCTTTATTGATTTTGGAGAGCGAGGAAGAGAGAGGGAGAGAGAGAGATAGAAACATCAATGAGAGAGAGCACTGACTGGCCGCCTCCTGCGTGCCCCCCACTGGGGATTTGGCCCACAACCTGGGCATGTGCCCTGACCAGGAATCGAACCGGCGACCTCTTGGTGCATGGGCCAACGCTCCCCCACTGAGCCACACCGGCAGGGCAGTAAATGTTTTCTTTGAAAAGAACATGACTGTTGGAAATACCTCCTGTACTCATCTTTACAACCTCATTGCCATCTATTTCCTGGAAAAAAATACCTGGGAAGAGAGACAGAACTTGTCCATAGCTAGTTGATGATACAAGCTGCATCTATTTTTTGAAATTATATTTTAATTGTTGACATTATTATAGGTGTCCCAACTCCTGTTCCAAACCTAGCTTGTCCTCTGGCCGCCTTCTCAGAAGAAGGCCGCGGGGCTGGAACTCTGGCCTCGCCGGCACGTGCCCGGTGTTCGAAGAGGGGCGGACTGAGCAGACGCCGCCCTCCGCAGCCCAACCCGGGAAAGCACCCCAGGCCCGGCCCGGTCCTACCGTGATGCGGTGCCAGCGGCTCTTCCGAGCTTCGCATTCACGATGTTGGCCGCTCGGGCCAGCAACCCACTTCCAGAAACTGAACGCGGGCGGGGCGCTCACGGAGGGAGGCCCCCCCCCCCCCGCTCCCCGTCTCCCCGGCGCCCCGCTCACCGTCTCCCCGGGCAGCGGCTTCAGCTGGCTCTCGGCCGCGGCCATCTTGGCGTCCGTCAGCTCGCTCTTGAGTGTCTGCACGGTGCTCAGAGCCGAGTCGATCTCCATGGGGCCGCAGGCTTCGTGGGCCTGCCGGCAGAGTGGGGGACATGTGCACAGGCCCTGGGAGAGCGCGGCCCGGGCGCTGCCACGTGCAGGCCCTTTCTGGAAGCACCTGGGGCTATTGGGCTCCAGCCGAGGGGGGCAGGGTAGTAAGCATCTCCCCAGGGCAGAGCTCATCCTCCGTCAGAACCGCAGCCCTCACTCCCTTAAATAGTAAGTTATGTATACCTCTAACTGGATACACTTACAGTCTCCTTGAAGCTGTTGTTTGTTTGTTAACCCTCACCTAAGGATATTTTGCACTGACTTTTAGAGAGAGTTGGAGAGAGGGAGGGAGAGGGAGAAACATTGATGTGAGAGAGAGACGCATCGATTGGCGATATTAGCTGCATGGGCCCTGACTGGGGCCAGGGATCAATCCTGCAACCCAGGTACATGCCCTGGACCAGGAATTGAATCCACAATCCTTCTGGGCAAGGGCCAATGCTCTAACCACTGAGCACTCCGGCCAGGGCTTGAAGCTGTTTTTATCTGAAATGCATTTGCCTCTCAGACTAAGAGGAGCCTTATTCACTGTGTCTGGTTCTAGAGACAGGGCACTTAGCATGAGGCCTGCACAGGGAGGGAGGGAGGCAGGCAGGCAGGCAGGCAGGCAGGCAGGCAGGCAGGAAGGAAGGAAGGAAGGAACCCTGGGGCTAAGGCTTTATCAGCCTCATTGGTTCTCTACACATTTCTAGATTATAAACCATCATCCCTTTTATACTGAAGACCATGAAAGATTCTTTTCCTTAGTAATTTGTTTTAAGAAAATTATATTCTCTTTAACTATATATATGTTTTTATTGATATTTGTAGAGATGAAGGAAAAGAGAGGGAGAGAGAGAGAAAAACATCGATGATAAAGAAATATCAATGATAAAGAAATATTGATTGGCTGCCTCCTGCACATCCCCCACTGGGGATTGAGCCCATAACCTGGGCATGTGCCCTGACTGGGAATCAAACCTGGTGACCTCTTGGTGCAAGGGATGACACTCAATCCACTCAGCCACACCAGCCGGGCAGAAAACTTTATTCTCTTTATCATTTAAAATACTGGTCTCCATATATGTTGATCACCCCCTCCATACACATATGTTAATAAATTATACACATGTATAATTATAGAGCAGAGTATTAAATACTAGTAAATCTTAATTTCTTTCCTTTCCTTTTTTAGGTAATACTAACAACAGCAGCAACAAATACTAACTGCTTGATTTCTAAGTGCCGGTGTTACACAGTGAGGAAACTGGGCAAAGAGGAATTAACTAGCTTGCTTAGGTACGATATTAGTCAACGGCAAGGCCAGAGTTTGAAGGCAGGTAGTCTGATTCCAGAGCTGACATTCTTCACCTTTACACTACACGAAACACATTGGCCAGCTCTCAGTGTCCTCCTGGACGAGGGGCCACCTGGCGTGAATCGCACTCTGAGGATCACTGCTCCAGAGCAGTCGTTTGAGGCGGATGTGTTTCTGAGACTCACTGGAGAAACCTGCTAAAATTCAGATGTTCAGGCTCTACGTCCGGAGATTCTGATTTGGCTGTGCAGAGAGAGGCGAGGCCCAGGACCCTGCTTTGTAAGTGCCCCCCGCTGGCCCTAGCACAAATGGCCTTTTGACCTCTCCTAGAGAAACACAGCCCAAAGTACTTTTTATGAGATATAATCAAAAGCTCTGGATATTTCTCTTTGGTGATGTAGTGCACTGTTTATATTAAGAATTCAAACCAGCTTCTATCCTTCTTCCTTTGCTCCTGGACGAGGCTGTCTGTTTCTATAAAGGGATTGTTACAGTGGGAAAAATGAATTCCTGCCAGAATGTCTTGCTAATGCGACATCAAACAGTATAGTAATGAGGCCTTCTGGTAATAAATAAGTTCCAGAGACAGAAACTCATTAATCCCTAATTCTGTTTGATTGAGGACCTTGTTAAGGTGAATGCTCCCATTTAAGATATGAAAGGCTTTCAGGGCAAAAAAGATAATATAAATGTCCCACCCCCTAATAGGTTTGCTTCCTAAACACTTTGTTATCAAGTTCACAAGATGATAGCTGGAAGATATGATCACTTTGGCCCACAATTTACCTGGCACCAAGAAACTGACGGCTACCAGTCTCCTCTAAGTCTCTGAACAACAGACCACAGCTTGTCCAGGGAGTGGGGGAGGGGGAAGTGTGCAATGTAAAGTAGTTTAACAAAAGTCATCCGTAACCAGAAGGTGATAAATAAGTTTGGAGATTTTGGCTAAAAGTGGTAAAAGCCAATGAACATGTAGGGCATCTTGAATGATCGTGCAAATAGAACAGACAAGAAACACGCCCAGTAGTGCTCAGGCTCGGGGTACCACTCAGGTTACACGAGCAGAATGAATTGAAAGCTCCATCCCCAACAAGCTAACTGCCGTGACAAGGAGTCGCTTGCCTTCTGCGAGGCGGTACGCAGCTCCGCCAAGCTGGTGGCGAGGTTCTTGGCACACTGGCTCAGCTGCATGGCTGCAGCCTGGTCGCTCACTGTGGGCACTGCGGCTTTGGCAGAGGACACCATCTTGCTTCCAGGCTGTAGAGAGACCAGCAGAAAGTAAGACAGCTCCTGGGCAGATGAGTAACAGTTGACCCAAACGGCAAGGCCACCATATCAGCCGGAACTTCCTTTCCCTAAAACAAGGCATATTAAAACCATTTACACTCTCCCTGAAAATTCCCACCCCAAATCAGATATTCACTCTAGGATGGTACATTCGAGGAATGTTAAAAAAAAATAAATAAATAAAAGGATGTGTCATTGGGGAAGGGGCAAAATTGAGAATAGTGGCTTGAAATTCTCATTTAAAACAGATTTCAAAGAGAGTTTCTTATTCAATATGATTCTTTGCATTCCTTAGAATAGCTCTTTAATTATGCCTGAAGTATATCCAAAAGACTGTTTTTTAAAAATATAGGCAGACAAAAATAAAACAAATAAAATGAGCTATTTTATTTCTCACTACCCAGGAGAAATTCATCATGCATAAAATGTCTGTGTTCATGTACATATATTTTCAAAAATAAGGTCATACTATGTATTCTATTTTCAAACTCCTTGTTTTACACATTCTATCTTTTAAATAGCTATATAGTATTACATTGTATATATCTATTAATATTTTTCAATCTTGTATAGTTGGGCATGTTTTCATTTTTCCAATATAATAAACAATGGTATGATAAACACCTTTGTAGCTAAAATGTGGTATATGTACATAATTTTTAAAACATATTTTGAAAAGTACAATTTCTAGAACAAAGAGAATACATACTTTTCGGGGTTTCAATATGCAGGCTATACAACTGTTCTTAGTACAGTTGTAACAAATCTAAGTGTCAGTTCATAAATATTAATGATAAAAGTTAATGTTTTTAGTATTTAAAGAATTCATGAGAATTTAAGAAAAACCAGCATGAGTGTTCAAAAAGCATGAATAAACAAATTCATGTAATAAAACAAATAACTGAAATAAGAAAAATGTGTAACATTGTGAAAAACAAAGAAATGCAAAATCAAACAATAAGAACTTTACGAAGCAAACTGGTAAACATATATTTTTTAAAAATCAACTGAAGTTATTGGGATGACATTGGTTAATAAAATTATATAGTTTTCAGGTGTACAATTCTGGGTGTACATCATCTGTACATTGTATTGTGTGTGTATTTACCTCAAGTAAAATAAAAACATATTTTTTAAATGCTTAATTCCCCAACTTGGAAAACATGTATTATAAAGTGTGCTCCATATACGGTTAGGTGTAAATTTAGATTCACTCAGCCTTCTGGAAGGGCGTTTATAAGAATGTTTAAGATGTAAAAAAATAAAAAAATTTTTTGTTAATCCTCACCAGAGAATATTTTTCCATTGATGTTTTTAGATAGAGTGGAAGGGAGAGCCAGAGAGAGGGAGGGAGGGAGGAAAGGGGGGAAGAAAGAGAGGGAGAGAAAGAGAGGGAGACAGATATCAATTTTTTTTTTTTTTATCCTCACCCGAGGACATTTTTCCATTTTTTACTCAGATAGAGCGGGAAGGAGAGAGAGGAAGAGAGAGAAACATCGACGTGAAAGGGACACATCGAGTGGCCGCCACCCACACGAACCAACCAGGGCCGGGGACAAACCGCAGCCAAGGTACATGCCCCTAGCGGGAACCGAACCCGGGTCTCTGCGGACCGCAGGCTGACGCTCTAACCGCTGAGCCAAACCGGCCAGGGCGGGAGACAGATATCAATGTGAAAAGACACATCATTTGATTGCCTCCCACAAAACCCTGACCAGGGCTGGGATCAAACCTGCAACCCAGGTACATGCCCTTGACTAGAATCGAACCCAAGACCCTTCAGTCCAAGAGCTGATGCTCTAACCTCTGAGCCAAACTGGCCAGGGCTAAAAAGTAACAACTGTTTGATCTGCCAATTCCATTTGTATTAATTTCTAACTCTGCCTTATTCTTGTAAAGACCTAATGGGTTGACAATAGCAAAATTAAAAAAACAACAACAAAAGAAAAAGGAAGACAAGGGCAGGGACAGAGTAGACCCTGGAACACGTCTACACTGCTTTGTCACTGTCCCCTGCAGTCCTGCCAGCAGTGGGGACGACACAACCAGCCCCAGGCCCTCCGACCACCTACAGGAAAAGAGAAACACTATGTCTGCGCCACAGTTCTCCATGTCCCGAAGATACAAAGAAGCTGCTTGCAATCCTATTTCTAGAAATTTACTCTAAGGAAATGATTCAAGAGGGGTAAAGGATTTGAGCACACATAAAGACTTTCATCCTATCACAGGTTTATGATGGCAAATAACTGAAAACAATCTATATGTTCAATGTTAAACACTGTGTATAGCCAGATGATAGAATAGTATTCAAAATCATAAATGCTAATATAATTATTAACATGAAAAACACAGTCTATATACGACGAATTTCAATTAAACATATATACATACATATGCATGTGTATGTGTAATTAAAATAAGAGGAAACACCACACTTTTCATCTTCGGTCTTTGCATGTGGGATCTAAAACCCTTGAAAAATTAACCAAATGGATGTAACAACGGGTCCTGTAACTATAGGTTCAACTAGACAGGGCCAAGGAGAGAACTGCCCAATCACATGGGCTGTTGATGAGGCACAAGGAGACAGAAAGTGCTGAGAGATTTGAATACAAGAAGTATGTAAAAAGGGAGTTTTCCCACAACTTAATATTTTCATTTTATTTAATTGTCCTTAAAATAAATACGCCTTCCACCCACAAAGATGACAATACTTATTCATTCCACAGCTGCCATAAGGAACCGTCCTACCTTTGAAGAACATGTGCTCACGGTTTCTTGTCTCCCAGGCCAAGAATAACAGCATTACACACTCTGGAAACTAGAAAACCCGAAGCAACACCCAGGACTAGGCTGTTCATCAAACGTGCAACTTATTACATGTTTTATCTCACAGAAGAGAAATAAAGGGATACTCCCAAGAGCCATGGAGTCTGTGCCATCTCCCAGGGCAACCTCCCAACACATGAGCATTTGGCTTTGCCAAACTGAATCTACCTCTCCTGAAACTGCAGCTGTAGAGAGGAGGTCTTTGAGGTCTGCTTACTGCAGACTTTGCTATGCCTGTGAATTCCTTATTTCCTCTCCTTAAGGACAGAGGCATCCCCTGCCCAGTGGGGGGTGGGTTTAGGTACAATCAAGGTGAATGATTCTCTGTTACCTGGAGGAAGTTCTGGCTGGAGATGATGAGAGCCAGCTGGGCACTGAGGTCATCTGCTTGGGCTTGGCTCCCTCTCACCCCCTGGACCAGCTGAGGGATGTGATCAGCCACAGCCTACAGGAAGCAGGAAAATTAAAACTGAGCACACCTCACATGGTGAATTACCAAAGCCGGGTGGAAAACAGGCCAAGTGATAAGTGTTTTTTGGAAGTGTCATCGCTCCTAGAAGATGCCTGTCCCAAACCTTGGGTTGACACAGCACCTTCAGCCAGCTGGATCCGCACCAACACTGGATCCTAACACAGAACCTCTGGGTACCCTTTCCCACACATGCTCTGTCTACCCTGCCATCCCAAGGTCCCAATACATTCAGCACGAGATGATTCTACACAATGAGGCCTTAAAAGAATGTCCCCGGTTCCGATCGACACTTCCCTGGCTCATTAGAGTTGAAAACTAAGACTCAAACACTATACAGTTTGCTAGTGGATAAACTCAGGTCCCGCAGTCACATGATCAGAAGAAAGTGCGAAGCACCGAGCCTCCAGCATCCCTCAGAGCCTCTATTTCTTACTTTGCAGGTATACATTCTGTCCATCAGCTTCCATATTGCCACGGCTCCTCTTCCCCTGTTCTTTCTCATTTCTCAAACTGCCCAGGGTAGAGGAGGGAGACACAGCAGCTGAGGTGAGATTGCTTTAACGTGACCAGCTCCCACAGTGACCTGGGCCACTGCCTTGTCCTCCCACATTTCCCCTCTGTGCCCGCGCCCCTTCTGACTGACCAGGCCCTCAGGGGTCAGCACAGTGGCTGTCACTCCTGATGAGGATTCCAAGTGACATGCCTTCTTCGGGAACCCACTCCAGCGAGTATTAAAAAATATCTCCATGAGACTTTTCTCAGGCCCTCTCCAGGAGTGCTGGCTCCCTGGCTCCAGTCACTCGGTCCCCTCTCCCCCTCCCCGATAAACAGTTACGCTCTCATTTCCTGACGGTGACACCCAGAGGCCGTGTACGTTCAGCCTCTTCAAAAGAGTGGAGGGGGGGGAGGGTTCATACTGGAGTATTTCCCTGGACGCCAGCAGCATGTGCTCCCTGAGAAGGGGATGTACTATTTCCCACCCCTGCTGGTCGCTGTATCGAGTCCCTAACAGTAAATAAATTCCCTTCCCACAGGGACCTGGCTCAGGAAAACCCCTTCTTTGTGCATACAGTCTGGAGGACAGGGCCCGTTGCACCCCGAGACTTTTCCACTAGAGCACATGCGATCCTCGACAGGGGGACTGGCCTCGGAGAGCCCCGGATCAGGACTGGGAGGGCCAGGGTGGTTCCCCTCAGAAGAGCCATTTGGAGGCAGGCGGGGCAGAATCTTTCCGTGTGAATGGTTTCACAGAGGAGACTCTTTAAAGGGGAGAGGGCAGTTAGCTCTCAGCGCCCCAGCTCGGTCCAGGGTGCCCCTCAGCCAGCGCCCACGCTCACTGCGGGTTTCGGGAGATCCAGTCAGACGCATCGCCGGCCCGGGGGCATGGCTACGCAATTAGATTTTGTGTCTGGCACGGTTCAGGGGTCTCCTTGGCAAGTCGACACCCTGGGTCCTCAGAGAAGGCAACAAAGGTGTGTACTGGGCCCTTTGTGGAACATGGGCAAAACGTGCCCGCAAGGCCCAGCTGCCGGGACAAACAGAACAGCAGCGCCGACGCACACTGTGGCAGAGGCCAGGGGTGAAACGGCCCTCGGGGTGCGCTCAGTGCCGAGCACTGCAGGCTAACGCGGGGGCCGCCTCTCCAAGGCACTCTGGACATTCCATGCTTCCTCACTATTTCAGGGCCCAAAATGGCCTCGTCGTTGATCCTCCTTGCTTCAGGCTCTCGAAAAGAAAGTCTAGACAAACAAAAGACGATGCTGGAAAAAACATCCTCTCCCTTCACACAGGCCACCCACTTAACAGACAAAAAACAGACATGTGTGTGTGTGAACACCTGGAACATGGGAGCCGGAACAAACTGGATTAGGGGCCTGGATGATCAGACCTAACCGAATTACCAGGCACTCGGCGTTCTAATGCTATCAGGGATTTTCCCTGCAGCAGACCGGGCCCGCCGGCAGCCCAAACCTCACCTTGCAGCTCTGCACCAGCTGCTGCTGGGCCGCCGGGTTCTTGTTGGACACGGCCGCATTCTGCGAGGCCGCGATGGTCTGCGTGGCCGCGGCTGCCGCCTGCTTTGCCGCAACCTGGGGAGCAGAGGGAGAGGAGGCAGGCCAGGGTTTGAGAGTGCCACCACGCACACGCACACTAACGTATGCCCCTTCACTGGGCAGTTGCACATGCAAGAACGGGAACTCCAGGCACAGACTCTGCTTTTAAATAGCACCAACGATCCTGACCTAACAGTGCTGTTAACTTCTTTCGGTTTATGCTCCCTGGGACAGTAAGAAAGACAAGCACGCTTGAAAGCTCAAGGTCCATTGCTCACTTGTCTTCCTCAAAATGACCAGGGACAATTCCAAGACCATGATGACAATGATCAGCAGCATCAAGTCTACATGTTTGGGGAGGGGGGGGTTTTCCCACAACAGCGCAAGCTGCTCTTTGGGTTCAGCACAAACCTGGTGCTCATGACTCCTGGCCACCCCTGGGGAGCCTCGGCCCAGAACGACCCAGGCTTTCCTGGTGAAGGCCCGTTTTATTCCAGAACCCAGGACTACACACAGAGGGATTACATACTAGAAGGCAGGTGTTTGGCCTCCATCCTCCCAAATTTTAGTGTAAGAGCCTTCCTCATACAATTGTGAGAGAGATTTATTTTCTTACAAAGCTTGTGCCTATTACTATTTTATATTTTTAGAATAAGTAAATGTTCTGGGAAACGACAGAATATTTCTTATTACTCCCTCCCAGACCTCTCTAACCAAGCTTAATCCCCATGTCTGGTCTTCCAAACTTCGTATTTTCTGTTGGGAGCCTTGAAAGAATCACTGCCGCTAACAAAATATATACATTTTTTAGCTAAAAATTCTTCCTGAGTGTGGACATCCTTTAACACCAGGGGAAAAAAACAAACAAACCCTGGACCCTCTTGAAAAAAATTTTTTTTGAATTCCATTCAGGAATGCTAATCTCAGAAAAGATTTTGGCTTTCCGAAACCATGAAGCAACTTTTCAAATGGTGTCAATGTGCCTGAACCATTGCACTTAAATGCACAATGTACCTAAACTAATATTTCAAATTGTTCTCAGCACCTAAACCATTAAACTACATCACTAATGTTGATTTAGCTTCTGGTCTATGGGCTTTGCCTTATCAATCTGATTATTCCTTCAAATCACTCTTTGCCATGTAAAATGAACATGCAGAAAATCGGCCTCTGTACTGACCTCCAATCGGTTGACAATTTTTTTCTTAATAGCATTCTGGGCAGCGGCGTTGGTGGCCACCCGGAGGCCTTCTGCAGCTTCCCTCAGTCTTTGCTGCTGGTCCTCGTTCTCAGGGTTGGCTGCAGCCCCCTGCGCAAGTGAAAACAGAGATTCTTATGCCACAGACAGTAAATGTACGCCTCCAATTTTGCTTTTTCCAAATAATACAAAGTATCTGGAAGAGAGAGACAAATGCTTCAAGCAATGTCTTTATCATAAACATGTTTCCTGTCAACAACAAAAAAGTACCCCCCAGGGGATGTTTCAAAACTGCACTGCCAAGCAGTAGAAATCCAATGGTGACAATTAAACATGTGAGGTCATAGCCTTGGTTGTCCATAGTGCGTTCCGAAATCCATGATTTGAAAGATGTTAAGATACATCTCCCCTACTGTGCCATATTTTGTTTATCCATTCATCAGTCGACAGGAATTTGTGTTGTTTCCATTTTTGGCTATAATAAATAATGCTGTTATAAACAAAAAAAAAAAAAAAAAGATACATCTCCCCTGCCCATCTCTCTCAGAGAGAACATTATTTTAATGGGCGTGTCAGACACGTCACTGCTGGAAGACGCGCTGGTCCGGTAGCACTGGGACGTGAACGGGCTGAGATTACAGTGTAACACAAGCAGACGGTGGGGTGGGGGTGGGGGGCAGGAATGTCATCCAAAAGACGGTAAGGAAATATTGTTCTTCAAGGACCATGTCTAGAGATTGCATTCCTAGAGAGCCTGCGTTGGAAAGCAGAACGGGTACCCGACTGTACTGAACTAACGGTCACTGAATTAAAGGAAGAAATCCAACGCCCCCTCCCTGCAGGGAGAGAGGAAGTGTCCCGCACAGCATGCACACCTCCTGGGTGTAACTCCATGGCCCTTTACTGCACTGCTGCAGGTTAAAGTGTCCACTGGGACCCCAAGTGGATTTTAATTAGATTGGTGGGAAAGGCTAAAGGTGGTGCAGGGAGAGGCTATAACTTTACTGGACAGTAATTCGGCAAAGGCTCTGAGCACATCCAGGCTTCCACTCCCACCTGCAGTAGAAGCAGCACTCAAGAACTGTCTCACAGGCCTGCATGTTCTGTGATCAGTGCATGATGTATACAGATGAACACGTTTCTTTCCACTGACACTTTAGGGTAGTAATATTTGCTCACAAGTCAGAGGAGAGAAATATGCCAGTTATAAAAAAAATCAATGATCTGAACATCTACACTTTTCAAATGGCTAAGTTTTCCAAATTTACCAATTTATCAGAATTGGTTTCCTTGAACTCTTTATAAAAGTTATAGAAATTCATACTGGGTGGAATTGTTTTAAAAACTGTGACAAATGTTTTGGCAATCCTCATGAATAGAATCAGACTCTTCTATTCTTTTTTCTTTAATCCTCACCTGAGGACATGTTCACTGATTTTTAGAAGTGGGGGGAGACAGAGAGAGAGGGAGGGAAAGACGGAGGGAGAGAGAGAAAGAGAGGGAGAGAAAGAAAGGGAGAGGAAGGGAGGAAGAGGAAGGGAGGGAGAGGAAGGAAGGGAGGGGGGGGGGAGAGAGAGAGAAAGAAATTGATTGGCTGTTTCCCCATATGCTGCCTGACCAGGTATTGAACCCACAACCTAGGTATGTGCCCTGACCAGGAACCAAACCTGCGACCTCTTGGTACATAGGGCGATCCTCCACCTGGCCAGGGCTACAATCTTCTATTCTTTAAAACCTTATACTTTTAGTAGTCTTGATTTTGTGTTTCTAGCAACTAAAAAAACATGTGTTTGCATTTCATATGTGAAAGGATTATCTGGGCTACTTTTCGTCTTCTTCCTCAAGCGTATGAAAGTCATTTTATTTTTCTGGTCATCAGGCATTTTTAAGCTGCTACTTCATCAATGCCCGGAGGGGCACACAAGCTTTAATTTTATATTTTGAGCAGCAGGAAACCACATTTCTGCACTTTACACTGATGTGGGTGATCGGATCCTTCCTTAGCAGTCTTTTTTTTTTTTTTTATTAAATTAGGACTTCTGTGTTCAACAGACAGGATGAACTATTCCAAACAATGCACGTAATGACGTACTACTGCGGAACAGAACAACACCAAGGTTACCCAGAGCCACGTAACTCAGAGGTGGCGTGGAGGATGAGCCAAGCTAAGGCGGCTTTGCTGCGGGGACAGCCGCTCAGCGCTTCCTGCGCTTCCTTAGCAGACTTTATCTGATGACGGTGTATCAGACATGGGATACTAATCTTGGCCTGACATCTTAGTTACTAATGATAAAATATATATTTTTCTGCATGTTAAATTCATTCTTTGTTAGTATAAACCATTGTGTGTACTTTAGCTTGCAACAAAATTCAGGAAATTAAAATATTGCCATAAAGACAAAGTAACTTTTAACTAAAAGTTAAAATAATTTACAAAAGCACTCAGTGGTGTCTCATATAATAAATATAATCAGAAATAACATAAAAGAGATAAGGGTTTAACAACCCGTATGTTCACTGATGGTCTGGGAGCACTGCACATCTAGAACCATGTGTCCACTGGGCCTGGCGGGGCCCGGTCATGTGATGGTAGGCTTACTCTTTTTGAGTTTTAATTTTCTCATTTGTAAAGTAGGGGATTGATTAGTTTTTCCACTAAGGTTCTTTCCAGTCTAGCAAGTAATTTTTGTGTGAACACGAGTGTTTGCTTGAAATAGCTTTGTTGAGACTTGGGGTGGGGGGTGGGGTGGGGAGGTAAAGAAAAAGAAAACTAGTAAAAACCATAAAGAAATTCACTATAACACAAAATACAATGTGCATTTTTGCTGAAAGGGGTGGTCAAAAGCAGAGCTTCTCAGCTGAAACAGCTGTCAGAGGACGGGGTTAGGAGCTCGGACCCAGCTCCTCCCTGGGCTTCTCTTCAACCCTACCCATGATGTATCTCAAAGAACTCAGGCCCTCGGGTGATACAGCAGTGCGTCTACAAGGCTCACTTCATGTCACAGTACTTTTTTTTTTTAATATATTTTTTCTTTATTGATTTTAGAGAGAGAGGAAAGGAGAGGGAGAGCTAGAAACATCAATGAGAGAACACTGACTGGACGCCTCCTGCACGCCCCCCACTGGGGATCGGGCCCACAGCCTGGGCATGTGTTCCGACCAGGAATTGAACCTGCGACCTCCTGATGCACGGGTTGGCGCTCAACCACTGAGCTACACGGGCCGGACTCACAACACATTTTAAGTGAAGTCATTCACATGCTTGGTTGAGATATACTCCTATTGTGTTGGAGGCCAGGGAGACAGGGTAAGATGTGGGGATGTTTAATGAATTTTAAACTCACAGAAATACATTAAACATGTTATTTTGGGGGTGCAAAGTAGAAAGTGATTTTTATTTTCTTATTTATACTTATCTGCATTTTCTACAAATTCCCCAAGAAACTATGTGCTAGTTGCATAATAAAAACAAAATAGAAAAATATAGCCTATCCGCTTCAGACAGTTCTCACCTCGAGGTGGGCAACAGACTCTCCCGTGGAACTTACACAGGGTATTTGGGGTGGGACTGAGGCAGGTGCAGTTTGGTCTACTTCATAGGGAAACAGACCCCCTGGGTTAAGAACTACGGGCTCCTAGAAGCATCATATTGCTTTGCTATCAAACAGCACAAAGCTGGCTCTGAATTCTTCATTCAAACTCTTCTCTAGTATATTAAATTGCTACTTCAATTTGAAGAACAGCGAGGCAGGCAGCACTCCACTATGCAAATCTTGGTCAGAGTCTAGCTGAGAAGTCAAAAGGAGGGCAAAGTAACCAAGGCTGCAGGGACAAAACAGATGTGAGTTTACTGTTGAAAATCTCGATTTTCAATGAATCACCCTTTTCAATAAAGCCAACGGAAAAAGAGCGCTCGCTAAGCAGGGACTTTCCTGCCCACGGCCATCAGCACACTCCCTGGAGAGCTGCGTTTACATGGCCCATGACCTTCTCCTGTCCCACTTGAACAAGGTTAAGCATTACAAAGCCATTCTAGGTTTTATTTTATTTATTTTTTTATCTTCACTCAAGGACATTTTTCCATTTTTTTGTTCAGACAGAGTGGGAGGGAGAGAAAGGAGAGACAGAGAGAAACATCGACGTGAAAGGGACACACTGAGTGGCTGCCTCCCGCATGACCCAACCAGGGCCGGGGACAAACTGCAACCGAGGTACGTGCCCTTAGCAGGAACCGAACCCGGGCCTCTCTGGACCGCAGGCTCACGCTCTAACCACTGAGCCAAACCGGCCAGGGCCATTCTAGGTTTTAGACAAACAAAAATGCACACTCCGCTGACCATTCTCTATCTTGAAGATGCCTTCTAACCCTACTGTTAGTAAGGGTTTCTTGCCAGCTGAACAAACCCAGGGCAATGATACCTTCGCCGCTTCCACCATGCGAGCGGTGGAGTCCGCCAAGAGTTTTGCAGCTGCCAGGAGCTTCTTTGAATTCTCCATGTCGATTTCAGCCTCTGCATCTGACCGCATGGCGTTGACGAGGTCTGACGTGGCCTGGGCCAGGACCCGGGCCTGGCGCACCATTTCACCTAGAGGGTGGGATTGAGGATGCGGTCAGTTTGTCTGCTTTCTAGAGCTCAGTGAAACCTCAGGAGTCAGTCTTGCCTCTACTCCACCAGCGAGAGGGACAGAGAGAAGTTAGTCCTCTGGCCCGCTCCTTAAGGACTGCAGACAAATTAGACCCAGAATCAAAAATAGTCCCTGTGGTTACAGGGCTGTATGGCCCAAGCACAGCCAAGTTCAATCTTTAACTATGAGAAATAAAAATGACATAAGAAACCAAAAATAACTCTTTATAAAGAGAAGGCAGGGAAAGAAATTATGTGGATTTATTGTGTACATTTAAATTTAGTAAATACTTATATAGAAAATATTACTTACCTCAGGTCAAGAACTGCTTACACAAAAGCCCCTTTAATAAATTCTTGGAGTAATGTGCACAAAAAACATTTTCATATTTTGAATTACTACCTAACACAGATGAGGACTCTCACGTAATCTGTCTGTCATTTGGTGCTACTAACAGGAAGCACAGGTGCCCAGTTTCATGCCCAGATGCTACGATTTGTCTGGGCCCCGTTTTTCCTGCCCATGTCCCTTTGCTTACCTCTTTCTTCCCAATACTTGTTTTGACTTCATTATTAGTAATTGTTTGATTTTATTGTACCTATGATTTTATTGACATCCATTTCAACTTCCTTTTAGAAGTGGAGGGGTACAGAGTCAACATTAAAAATAAAACTATTGAAATGTAAGGGATTTCTTCCTCTCCCAAAGGTCATTTGAGAAGAATGCTGAAGTACCGTAACATTAAGGGTGAAATTAAGCTTTCAGGAAAATCAAAATGTGCTAAACTCCAGGTATCCTAGATCGGACCCTGGGAGAAGCGAGCCGGGACATCGCCAGAGGAAAAACTGGTGAATCTGGGGTTTAGTCAGCAGTGATGTACCAAAGCAGAACTGCAGCCCCGTCAGATGTGTCCTGGCTGAGGGAGATGCTGCAGGTGTGGGGAGGTGGGGATGCAGATGAGAACACTGCACTACCTCTGCAACTTTTCTGTAACCTAACGGTATTCCAAAATAAAAGTGCTGTTAACAAAACAAAGAAAGAAAGAATAACAGAAAAGTCCACATGTGTGAAGCACTGGTATCTTCTTCAATCGTTTAAAAAAGATACAAAAAAGACAAGGTAATTTTCTTTAAAAAATACTTGTTACAAAGTATTGCTCCGCTTTGGTGAAGAAGAAGAAGGATAACAGACCCCATACAAACCACTGGTAGGATTAAACATGATGGGACCTTTCTGGAAAGACATTTCATAGACACAATAAAATAAAAAGAAATGTACATAGCTATTGGCCCAGCATTCCACTGATGGGAATTTACCCTACATATACTCTCCCTGCAAAAAGGATGGAAATAGACACAATTATAGGAAAATTGAAAATTTCTGGACAGAGAAAAGCAGAAATTGGTAAGTTCTGGAAATTTAGATGGCAGGGTAATGGGCTGGGGCTGGGGAAACATACTTTTGAACTAACAAACTGAAAAGGTGCATTGTACGATATATTTTTTAATTTTCTATATAAATGATGATGTTTGACATCTTGATAAAAACACCTTTCTGGATGAAGAGAGACTGCCCCTCCTGGGCTAGCCAGTTCTTAGTGACAGGGAAGAGTCCAGCCAGGAGCTGCCTCTGCTATGCAAACTAACCAGTCCCAGCCACACCTGTAAAAGGCCAGGAGGCAAGACTCCTCCGCCTTAATCATCCCAGGGCCAAGCACCAGGCAACCAGGGACAAAGCCTGTAGCGTCCAGCCTGCTGCAGTCACTCACACAGCCCATCTGAAACCGTTCACCTGTCTTGTACTGCCCTCCCCATGGAAACCCCAATAAAGGCCTTTACCTAAACTCTCCCTCCAACCCTGCCTTCTGCTGCCTGCCCAACACCTGACACTTCCCCTGTGACCTTTGTGGCATGTGGTGACTTCCTGAGACCAGTGCGTATGGTAAACTTCTAGCAAGACTCCTTGTTGCCTCCTCCACGGCCAACATGGACATTTGTAGAACAAAGGGATTTGCTGTGAATGTAAATAATTTTTTTAAAGCCTAGTTAATTCTAGTTAAATCTTGAGGTGTTGCTGGGGCACATCAGAAGTCTTCTGCCTCCTTCCCAGGCTCCGAGAGGAAGTCTATGAGAGCAGAGAACTTGCCCTACCAGGTCCCCAGGAAGCCATCACCTTCCGTACTCCCCATCATCACCATCAGGGAACCCCAACTCTGCCCTCACCCCCAGCCCAGCCCCTCACCAGCATCGCCCATGGAGCTGAAGATGCTCTCGGTGACACACATGATGGTGTCAGTGGCCTGGTCGTAGCGGCCGATGGGCTCTCCTCGGCTGGCAAACTGCCGCACGTGCTGCAGGAGGTCGTGCAGGGCCTGGCTGACCACACTGGCCGCCGCGCTGACCTGCTTCAGGAGCTCGCTGTCATCAGTGGCCGCCTGGCAGGCGCGGACGCAGTTCTCCACCGAGCGGTCCACAAGCTTCCCCGCTTCGATCAGCTGCTCCTGGCACACGGGGGAGCTGATGGTGGGGCTCACCACCTGCAGGGAGATGAGGGCGGGGCTGGGCAATGCGGGTCACCTCTCGGTCCCTCGTGTGCACTAGCATTTGCACAAGTCCCTCCCTGCTCTGGGCCTCAGTCCCTTAATTACAGGACCGGGTGTTAAACTAAACCATCACTGTGGTGTCTCACGTTTCTCTACCTCACTTTATCTTTGTGGTTTTAGATGCCTGCTAATTTTTATCTTCATTGGTGACATATAACAATCTATACTACTGACTACTTCTAGAGAAGTTTCCACTATTTACCAATTATACCCTCCTTTAAGGAACTTCTGAATTGAGTCTTCTTAGCTAGGATAACAGGACAACTTCAAGGATTATATTTCTTTTTCCAGAGATACCTGGAACTCTGCTTCATGGTACTCTAAAGAACGGGGGACCCTGTCAGTACCTATGGAACCAAGGGGGGTACACACGGGAAGCAGGAGGCAGACCAGCGAGGACCCCTCCGACGGATGCTGCACCCTCCCACAGGACAGGTCGGCTGAGCCAGGGCAGGGACCTGCCCTCTGTTAGGTCACCGACCTGCGAACACACACCTCCCATGCTAACGTGCAGGAGTGGACAGGGCACGCGAAGCCAGGCCTGCGCTGAAAGCTCAGTTCTGCCGCTCTCCACCCCTGTGCAATAACATCTAAGGCCTCGACTTCCTCTTCGGTACCCTGGACTGACGGTGGTTAACACGGTTACATACAGAGTGTACACATCCAGATGACAGAGACCCATGTCCGCACTGCCCTCACTGCAACACTGGCAGAGTGGAAGGGGCCCCACGAACTCTGTGGCTCCTTCTGAACCCCTTTATGGTGCCGGAACCCTTTGTGTGCGGGTGTCGCTAAGACTCACTGCCAAGTCCAAACGGGAAACATGGCAACTCGCACGTAGAAATGGCAACGAGACACGGAAAGTACCCCTGCCAGGGGACTTGAGCAAAGAACCAATGATAAAAGCAGGATTGGGCAGTTTGCGTAAAAACCCTACCACATGAACTAAAAAAAGACACCTGAAGCAAGCTCTTAGTCTCAGACAATTTTATTTATTTTTTTGTTAATCCTCACTCGAGGACATATGTTTTTTTCCCCATTGATTTTTTTTTTTTTTAGAGAGAGTGGAAGGGAGGGAGAGAGGAGAGGGAGAGAGGGAGGGAGAGAGAGAGGGGGGAGGGAGAGAGAGGGGGAGGGAGAGAGAGAGGGAGGGAGAGAGAGAGGGAGGGAGAGACATTGATGTGAAAGAGACACATCAGTTGGTTGCCTCCTACACGAACCTGCAACACAGGTACGTATCCTTAATTGGGAATCGAACCTGAGATCCTTGGGTTCCAGGGCCAATACTCTAACCTCTGAACCAAACCAGCCAGGGCAATCTCAGCCAATTTTAACAAATTCTGTCCCTTGTCTTCCCAATGACTGGAGGCAGACAAGAGCATGTGACACTTCGTAGAAAGGGCCGAGGTGTCCGCTGGCTTACCTTGGCACAGGCCACGAGCTGGGAGGTGGAGAGGGCACACTGGGTGGCAGCAGCAATCACCCTGTTCTGTAGGACAGTGTCTTCGGCCACTTGGGCAACATTCTTTGCCTTTAGTACCAACATGGCAGCGGCATTGGCAACAGCTTTGGCCAAACTCATTAAGACGTCCTAAGAAAAAGAAATAAAAGAACCAGTCATTCATATTTTTTCTAATGAGCCTTCAGTAAAATAAAAGACGGTGACCACTTAACCATTTTTTAGAATTCCATTTGACCTTTTCCGTCAGTACTTCAGAATAATATTTTTTCTACTTATTCTTCTGAAATGTCAACTTATCTTTAGAGCTGATTAAGGAAGGAGACTCACATCTTAATAACACATTCTCCTACATATTCATTAAATCGCATAGGTTTAAATCTAAAATTGGTTAATCTGAGGACACGGTTTATTTTAACCACTGATGAACGGTCACGCACTTTTCCAACACTGAGAGTCACGTCGCTTGCATGTGGTCAGTACGGTGGATCAGAAGACTCTGAAAATGTATTCAGATGCCACAAATACTATGTGCTGTAGGAGAAATATAATTCATGGCCTCTAAGCCACCATGCCCCACTGTTACTTGAAATTTTGTTGTTTTGATTTCTACTTTGCACAAAGATCCAAATGATCACCACAAATCCAGTGACGTCTTGCCTCCAGAGGGCAATGCTGGACATGCACAGGGGACACCTACCTCTCCAGAGCTAAGGAACGCCTGAACGGAAGTTACTCTCAGAGCTCCCTAGCCTTCTGCAGAGGGATTAAATTATTATGAAAAGTGGGCAGGGAGCCTCCATAAATAAACTAGCTACAAGCTGCGTAGCGACAGCTAAGACCTCAAAGAAGATGCAAGGAGCTGAGCCTTTCAAGATCAGTGTATGCTTCAACTCAACAAAAAGGCCTTCTGCCTGCAGGATGAAGAATCCTTTGATTGCGCCCACCAGCTTTGTTACCCATCTGTGTGACCTGAAGAGCCACCACCATTACATTTAACTTACTTCTCTGCTTTTAATATTGAAGGTAGTTTATTTGGTTTGGAAATGCCTTCCCGAACATATGAGCTATTTTTATTTTGAGCCAACATGTGAAGACCTTCTCCCGAAGGAGATGTGGTCAGAAGTCTTTATTAATTCATCAGATGATAATGAAAAGCACTTTTGATTCCGAATGCAAAGGGCACTCACAGAGTCTTTACAACAAGATTTCTTACCAGAAGATACATTGGAAGTCTGTCCAACCCGAACAATTTTACCCAGAGCAACGGCCATATGTTATCCAGGCAAATTAGAAGCCACAAAGTGAGTGGACTTTAAATTAGACAAAATCAAGCAGTCTTAAAGGAATAGTTCAGTGTCACCTTTTTGGGTCTCAGACGTTTACTGGAAACCCAGGGAAAACCCAAGGCCTGTGGTGCCAAAGGCTGAAGATGCCTCTGGGACCCGACTGGCATGTGTCTGCCACACAACACTTAGAAATTGCTCCCAGCACAGCCCACGAAGTCACAGTTCTTGGACACCTATATCTCAATGCTCAGTGAGAACACAACTTGAACGTCACAAAATTATTAACAAGATTTAGGATAATAATTTCTGAAGGGTCACAGTATCCCTCCACTTGATACAGATCCATCTTTGCACACAGGGACCCAGATTTGGCCACAACTGTTCTAAAGGGCATTGTTAGATGCATTTACAGAAACCCTGCTCCTCCTATTAATTTTGTCCAAGAAAAATATTCCAGTTAGAGAAAGAACTTGATACTACAGCTATCGTTGCCGACAAGGCCTCTGTCAAACTTTTCAACAAGACCACTATTATGTAGCCCGTGTAAAATAAATCTTTGTGAAGTCTGAGAACATGCAATATATTGAAGGCCCAAAGAAAAGCTCTGAGACAGGATCTCAAGAATCTGAAAAAGAGAGAGTAAGAAAGCCAAGGTCAGTAAGCCAAAGGCTACTCCTAACTGGAGAGGCTGCAGGATCACCTTACTGTTTACCTGGAGTCCCAGCAGTGGTTCTCAACCTTCTTAATGCCGCGGCCCTTTAACACAGTTCCCTATGTTGTGGTCACCCCCAACCATAAAATTATTTTCGTTGCTACTTCATAACTGTGATTTTGCTACAGTTATGCCTTAGGCGACCCTTGTGAAAGGGTTGTTCGACCCCCCCCCCCAAGGGGTTGCGACCCACAGGTTGAGAACCACTGCCTTACAGAAACAGAAAACGTTCAAGTCAGGCCTTCCTGGAAAGACAGCCTCGCCAGGACCAGCCCTGGACCCGCTGCCCAGCCACAAGCACTAGGAAGCAGCCCGCACGTATGCGTGACGAGAACAATCTCGGGAAGGGGAAAGGCAGTCTTCAAAGAGGGTGCGAGAGATGTCTTCAGGAAGAAGTGAGTTTCCCCTCAAGCTCCCCAAACATTCCGGAGAAACACTATTTTTGAGGAAAGTAAGTTGATCACTTCAAGATAATGAAGCCGAGTAGACCAACTGCTGAATCTCATATTCACACAGTTCCTGAGTAAGTACCTGCCTATGAAGAATTACCTGCTCTAACAAAGGGCTTTTGGGGCTCTAAGGAGAAGCCAGGATGGGGGCGCAATCAGCTTGCATTTGGTGGTACATATTCCAGGAATACTGGATTATGGGCCTCGCCCTCCGTCATGACATACATGTTCAACACTCGTGTGTTGGTATAGCGCAGGGTATGCATGAGTCTCGTGGCTCCAGCACCCAGGTGTGTGGCAGGAGAGGGGATACAAACACATCCGTGGATGAAGTTACGTTTAGTGTATCACAGCATACATGGCCATGCCTTAGTGTAACTTATGCATTGTGTTTGATGAAATTTGGTAGTTCTAAATAAAATGGCACGGCAACACTGCCACCCATGAAGCAAGACATTTAAATGCTGGAGCAGAGCTGAGTGATATATATATATATATATATATATATATATATATATTTTTTTTTTTTTTTTTTTTTTTTTTTTTTTGGTGGCACGTGCCCCTAGTGGGAACCAAACCTGGGACTCTCAGGTCCGCAGGCTGACGCTCAACCACTGAGCCAAACTGCCCAGGGCTGAACAATATTTTTTATTCTGAATTCTACAGAATCCCCAAACAGTGAACTTGGCGTAGAATGTGGAGAAGGGCATCTTCCAGAGGGCCTGGGCTCAAACTGCAACAATATTTTTTTTAAATATCTTTTTATTGATTTTTTTTAGAGAGAGAGGAAAGGAGAGAAAGATAGAAACATTGATGCGAGAGAGAAACATCGATCAGCTGCTTCCTGCGAGCCCCCTACTGGGGATCGAGCCCGCAACCCTGGCATGTGCCCTGACCTCTCAGTCCACGGGATGATGCTCAATCCAATGAGCCACACTGGCCGGGTGACAAACGGCAACAATTTAATTAAAATGTATTGATAACTAACTTGCAGAATTAAGACGTGAGAGTCAGAGAAAGAGCAGTGAAGGCCATCCGCCCGCACGTATGTGAGCAGAGGCTCGTCTTGGCCCGGAGCTCCGAACAGCAGGCCTCGCGCCTCCTCTGCGGTGACTGGCGACAGGCAGAGTGCGATCTGGCCTGAGCTGGCAGGGCATCAAACCACTGCACACAGTGGCAACAGATGTTCACCAGAGGACAGACAGCTGGGTGACAACAAAACGCTTCTTCGCCTCGTTTGTGGTTTTGGATGTCACAGACAGACAACAGACCCACCTCCAAATACGAAGCAAAGCCCATGGGGTGTGGGTATAGTGTTCAGGGGCACACACTTTCCCTCTCTTTGTAGACTCTGGAGGGATACAATTAAACACTGATCCCCACCCTGGCCAGTGTGGCTCAGTTGGTTGAGCGTCGTCCCATACACCAAAAGGTGGTGGGTTGGATTCCCAGTCAGGACACATACCCAGGTTGTGGGTTCGATCCCTGTTCCCGTGCAGGAGGCAGCCGATCGATGTTTCTCTCTCACATCGATGCTTCTCTCTCTCGCTCTCTCCCTCCCCTCCTCTCTAAAATCAATAAATTTTTTTTTAAACTGCTTTTAAATAGATAAAACAAGATTGGCTATGAGTTGATAATTGGAGAGGTTGGTGATAGATAACAAGGGAGTTCATGACATTATTCCTTTCACTTTTGTGTTTAAAGAATGTCCAGCACCCTGGCCAGTGTGGCTTGGCGGTTAGAGCGTCGGCCTGCGGTCCAGAGAGACCCGGGTTTGGTTCCCGCTAAGGGCACGTACCTTGGTTGCAGTCTGTCCCCGGCTCTGGTTGGGTCGTGCGGGTGGCAGCCACTCAATGTGTCCCTTTCATGCCAATGTTTCTCTCTTTTCCTCTCTCTCCCTCCCACTCTATCTGAACAAAAAAATGAAAAAATGTCCTCGGGTGAGGATAAAAATAAATAAATAAATAAATAATGCCTAGCATAATGACTAGTGAGAACAGTTAAATAAGTGCTTTACAATGATGACTGTAAGTGAAAATAGTTTTTCAAATAATAAACATTTTAAATAAACAAAGACCTCACCCCCAAGATAATCCACCCCAATCTTACTCTCGACCGCTCGAGGAAGATTTGGATTTCCGGTACATTTTCCCAGTTTGGGTCTAGACCATCCCTTAGGCTCCTTTCCAAGATTATGGGCTGCAAATATCTTACTTGGAATCGCTCGTCAGTCTCATTCTCTCCGATCTGCCTCAGAAGATCCCCACTGGCCTGTCCAATGCTTCCAGCAGCCGTCAAGACCGTCTGCCGGGGCTGTGAACCAAGAACACACGTTGTTGGAAAGAATGTACACACACTTCCTGCGCGGCCCCAACAGACGGGCAGTGTGGGAGAGGGCTCGGCGGGGGGCTCCTCCTGCGCCTCAGTGCATCTCCGACCGCCTGCCAGTCAGGAGCCACAACTGTCCTGGTGAAACCTGTGTAAGGAGACGCCTGATGTCTCACACACCAGCAGTAGGTGGATAGATTTGAAATGTTCAACTGATGAGTCTCGTTCTGCTGGTAGGAAGGTGATTCACGCTTTATGAAATTTAGGATGCAAAACTCGCATCCCCTTTAAATGTGTATTTGTCACATCTGTTTATTTCTGAGGTGGTATCTCATCGTGTACCTTGGGGGCAGGGGAGGGAGAAGGGAATCTTCCTATTAAAGGTTCAACTAGTCCTGAATGTTGAGCCACAGATTCTGCATCCAGTTCAACAACTGCAAACCCTATCAGGATGGAAGGATCCACTCAGGAAGTAAGAGCCCATCCATGGTACTCAAAGGCTGCACCTGTCACATCGGAACCCGGGTGGCTGTTTGCCCCAAGAGCTCACCTCTCCAGAAGTAGGCTGCACAGCCTTCAGCAAGTCCGACACGGCCCCAGCAAGGGTCCTCGCAGCTCTGAGCAAGTCCTCCCCACTGCCCACCTCGTCGTCCATGAGGGCCGCCAACAGCTTCACGCCCTTGGACATCTCCGTCAGGTTGGAAGAAATGGTGGTGATTGCACATCCCACCGCCGTGTAGTCAGTGTCTGCCGGGTCACCTGGGACAGAGAAGGGCCATCGCCATGAAAGGAGGGCGATGAAGAGTGAGGAGAGCCCGGTGGGCAGGAGGTAGTGGCCACATGGCAGCAGCTCATCAGCCACCACGCTACACGGAGCACCGCATGCACATGGTGAGACGCTGGCTCCCTGCCTCCAGGTGCTGCTCCCTACAGGGCCCTGTGGCTGCCCTCATGGACACACTGAGCGCAAGCACCTTTAACATGCTGGAGGCAGGCTGAGCATCTCGCAGCCTTCCTCGTGGCCGCTGTCAGCAGCTTAGGGAGGTCAGCTCTGCTCCCGAAATGCTGTAAGGGAGCCAAGGTATTTCCTGGCCACTGGACAGGGCACATGAGAGCGATGCTGCCCCAGCAAAGACGGCCGCCAGACAGACAGGAGGAGGTACGCGTGACGATCTCGTCCCTCAGACTGTAAGCTCCCAGAAGGGAGAAACTAGCCTCAGTCTACTTTGAAGTGTGTCCAGCATATTGATGAGCAATGAGAAGAGCTACATGAGTGCTTTTTAATGATGATCCATGATACAGACACAAAGGAATGAGATGTTCCCCACATTTCTCCTGGGTCAGTGGGAGAAAATGCCTGAAACACTCAGGGTACCTAAAAATAGACGGTCGTCTCATAATATGAAAATCTGTTTCAATCAAAGAACTTTTTTTTTTTTTTTTTAAACAAAACCACAACATACCACAAACCCTCAGGGGCTTACCGGCAGTGAGGTTAACGACTGAAGCTGTTCCAGCTGTGATGGCATCGACTTGAGAGTGGATTTCGTGTTTGGATTCGTCGACTTTATTCTGAACCCATACCCTAGACGCCTGCAAAACCAGACAAGTGTATTACACAATCCCTGCACAGAATTACCCAGGAAACCAGAGGAGTCGTGCCATAAAATGAGACCAGCAGTTTGGCTCTGTTCCGACTGGGCCGGCACCAACGAGGCCCCTAAGTCATCTTAAACAATGTCTATAGCAGGCCTCCCGCTCCTTCACTGGGGATGAACGGTGTGTAGATTCTCCATGTTTCTACTGGTTTACTTTCTTTTTTTTTTTTAACCTTTAAGATCTTAGAAAAATTCTATGTGGCTTTATTTAGGTGAATTCAATAAAAATGAGAATAATTAATATCTTATGATAATACTGCACGTTAACACCAAGAATTGCTAAATTTTACCTTGCTCATCAGAGAACAGGTTTGAAATTAGGGTGTCTCAGCTCATCAGTGTTCTCTGTCAGCAAGGGGAGTGTCCTTTGTCTACAACATGAATGCCATGCACATGTGGCACCTTTCCTGGGAGGACCTGGGGGAAGGCAAGTCAAGACCTCAGTTCCAGATCTAGGCGAACCACGGACAAGTGACACGGCCAGGTCCCGTGGCTTGCATTCCTTATACTGCAGGAACTCAGTGGTCTTTAACAACCTGCACAGCTCTTACAGCTCGTGTTGACGTGAACCTATAGACAGGAAACTCTTCTGGCACTTCTGGACTCAGCCAACAAATGACCATTTACACGGATAACGGCAACCCTATGGAAATATAAGGTGCCGATCTACTGCCTAAAACATTCCAGAAATGTTAACCTAGGTTCGGGATGTATCTAGCACTAATCATATTGTTTTGTATACTACTTCTTTGAAAATTGGTGAAACAGGAGTGTCAAATCCAAGTATGTTAAAACTCTGTCTTACAATTGTGCTGAATTTGGGAGCGGCTATACATTTAATCCTGAAGTTCCTGAGTAAAATGTTCAATGACTTCAGGTACCTGGGAGACAAGGTTCGGACACAGCGGCACCCTGCGTGTGTACAAGTACACACACGAGTACACACACGGACAGCTCGCACTCAGGGAAACCCAGAGGCAGTTCATCCTGGCTGCACAAGATGAGCTCCAAATTGTACCTTGGTTCTGGCCCCTGTGATGGCCCTGCCAGTCCTGAAGCAGGGGTTTTACCACTGCCTGGGGAGGTGGACCAGCACTGCTACCCAGACCCTACCCCGTGACAAAGATTCATCTGGCTTGAGCCTTAGGCTCTGGCCTCAAAGCTCCTCCGGCAGTTCTAATGTGCAAGGAGGCAGAGAGTCCCAGAGCTAGCCAGCCCCGGGCCAGTGTTAACCTGCACACTCGCTGGAATGTAGATTCCGATTCCGAAGTTGGGGGGAAGATGGAAGATTCTGCCCTGGCACAAAGCCCCAGGTGCTGCCATGCCGCTGGCCCTCGGACCACGATCTGCCGAGCAAGGGGCTGACTTCATGCAGCAGCAGCTACAGGAAGGCAGCAGTAGCAGTGACCCAGTGGTCCTCACAGCACGGTCCCCAGAAAGGTGGCAGCAGCATCGCTAGAGAACCACTTGCTGGAAATGCAAATTCTCAGGTCCTACCCCAGTCCTACTGGGTCAGAAACAGGGGGAGAGGCCCAGCAATCTGTTGTAGAAAGCCCTCCAGGCGATTCCGACGCGTGCTCAAGCACGAAAGCAGCTCATACTCAGTGTGCTCCCACGTGTTAGGTGCGTGCTAACTGCAGGTGATGACACGCCCAGGCCTCACAGCCTCTGAGCAGCGGAGCTGGGATGTGAGTCTACAAGATGTGACTCTAGGGTCCAAGTTGTCAGACATCGCCAGGCACTGCCCACAGCCAGTAGCACCCTATGTTCTCTCCTCCTGTGGGTAAAACCTGAGACAACGACTCATCACCTTGGAAACGACACCCAGCTAAAGGCAGAGGTTCACCTGGCTGAGTGCAGACAGAATGCACGACCCTGTTTTCCGCCTGGGCAGAAACACTGGATGAAGACCATGAACACTACTCACCATATCCTGACCCAGAGGCGGCAGCGAGTCAAGCTCGCCGAGGTCGTCCTGGGCCTGCTGGACAGCGTGCATGCTCGTATTGATGGTCCCCATGAGGGCCTGCTGGGCCGAAGTCTGCAGAGACAGATGGACACGTGGTGGTCATACATGCCCTGAGCACTGACAGCCCTCTACACAAAAGGAGGTGACACTGAACTCGGGCTCGAAACAGAGTGGCCAGGGTACAGCTGCACAACTGCCCAAACCACCTCCCTTTGGAAAACTTCATTCCCTGACAAGAAGGCTTGAAAAGAGTCCTCACAAGGGAGCTAAGGGGGTCGGATCCTTGAGTACTGAGGACACAAGACCTCAGGCATGGGCAACGTGTTGCACCAGAAGCCCTCTCGGGAAACAAGTAGGGCTTGCACCTGAACCCCCAGCCGACGCGCTTCCTCAGAGCCGATTACTTCGGAGCTCAGGCTCTTCAGCCTTCAAACAGTTCTTGCCCAACAGCACAGGATCCCCGAGCAGACCCCAGAGACTGCAGCAGGTAGACCAACACAGTAGAAGGAACCAGCGATCCACTCGGGGAAGAGTGGCTCACTACAGACCTGGTCTATTCCTAAGACTCTCCAAGGGGCATCTGGGCTAATTAGCAGCTTGATGCTGCTAAGGCAGGAAGTAGGTTTCTACCTCTGAGTCGCTGGTCACATGGAGAGGCCACTGCTTCTTTTCTAGCCCCAGAGGACAACTGTGATCCTAGACAGGAAGTTACAGAGCCACCCAATTAAAAGAAAACATGCTGAGAGTTAGGTGTCAGGACTGCGCAGCTGAAGAGCCAGGGTCCGAACAGGAACCAGCAAGAGAGTGGATGACACACAACCTATCCCACGGTCGGTGCCCCTCCCTGCACACCAGGAGCAGCATACGGCTGTGCAGGGCGAGTGCCCGGGAAGCCTCACCAGCGGGGGCATGTGGCCTCGGTGCATCTGCCCAACCATGACCTGCTGCTGCGGCGAGGGCATGCTGCCAACGTTGAAGGTCTCGGGCCCGCTGGAGCCCGAGCGCATCACGGCCGGCAGCGCCACCGAGCCGTGCTCCACCTTCCCGGTCCGGTTGAACTGCTGCTGCAAGATGGTGGACCTGCAGGGGACAGGCAGTTTGGTCACTGCGAGGTGGCCACTCACCTGGAGAGGCACAGACATCCCCAGTGTCACAGATGTTTGCTGCTTTATGCTGTGGGGGCCAACTGAAAAGAAGCATGTAGACAGAACTGGGAACGAAGAGGCAGACTAAAGTGCTCCGTGGAAGGACCCTGAGGTGAATCCTTTTAAAACAGCAATATAAATAACCACTCCCAATGTATGCAGTAGGTTCACAGTATAAGAACAATCAGTTGTTCTTATCACACACACACACACACACACACACACACACACACACACACATACACACAGATAGTCCTGACAGTGATGTTCCAGGCATAAGTGAGTTTTGGATACACTGACCTATGCAGTAAATCCTACGAAATAGCATTCATTCAATATCTACTGCATGCACGATTCTATTCTAGGCACGGGGACATTTATCCTTAACTTGAAGGAAGATGTATGGAAATAAATGTAAAGAAAACCTCCCCCAGCTTCGATCCCCTCCCACAGGTCCAATGCCATTGACCATGGAGGGTGTTCAAACACCCTTGGAGCCTTGATGACAGAACAGACTGACAACTCTTTCAGATGGTTTCAACTTAATTCTGGGAAGACTCTTGGGGCATAGTAAAACACAATATATTAATTTTTCACTTCTTAATATTTTCTTCAAATGAATGGTAAGTGCAAAGGACTTGAAGCATATGAAGGTAAGAATTAATTAGTAATTAACTTACTAATTTCCATCTAATGGTCATTAATAGTTCTAAGAACTTAAGGTGTGTGGCCCAGAGGTAGTAAGTACAGTACTCGACATGCATCACCTCAAGTTTGGTTCCCACCTGTACATTAAAGGAGAAACCCCTGCAAGGTGTCTAGGAAGCAAATTGTGAGAAAGAGGTGCAGGGTGGCGATGTCAGAGAACAGTCACTGCGACTAAGCAAGTTCCAACGCTGGGGCAGCGAGGACCGTCTGGTGGTGGACCGTAGGAAATACCACAAGATCTGAACCTGAGCCCTGGCTATGCCACATGAAGGCACCTCCACTAACTTCCACGAGCCTCAGTTTCCTCATCTATGAATGCGGATGACAACGTCTGGGTCCTCTTCCATAGGGGGTTGTTGGGGCCAAATGAGATGGCCCGTTGGACACACAGTAAAGACAGAGAAGTTATCACACTGCTCTATTTATCATAAAGGGGGTGGCTGCACAGGTTTCCATCCGAGTGTTACTTATTAGATGTTACTTAATTTTAATAAGTCTGTTTCCTCATCAATAAAATGGGGCTACATTGAGACACTTCTGAATTTAAAATGATGATGATGATGATGATGACAACAGCAAACATTTATTCTGTGCCAGGCACTGTTTCACGTGCTTCATTAGTAAGTCAATAATCAAAATAAAACTTATAAGGAGGTGTTATCATTATTCCCATTTTATAGATGAGATCAAGGGGGCAGAGAAAATTCATAATGTCCGCAAGCCCACAAATTAAAAAAACAGCCCCCAGATTTGAATGAACCCAAAGTCTGGCTCCAGAGTCCACGTTCTTAACCCCTTCCCTCTGCTGCCTCACAATACATGTATCAAGTGTGGCATGTAGCAAGTGGCCCATAAACAGTAACCCTGCCCTGGCTGGATCCCTCCCCTCAGAGGGACAGAATCAGACAAAAGCTCCCTCTCTAGCCCTTTGATGGACACGATGCAGTTTATGAGATTCACATCAGAAATGCAGACTAGGACTCATGAATGTTCACTGCCTCGGAAGATGGAGTTAAACACATTTTGTTCAGAGACTCCCTGAAATCACTAACCCCTGCTCCCCAGACACCCATAATATGGACACTGATGGTCGGGAGGCACACTTCCAGAAGTAGGACTCATCGACCCTGCCCACTACCAGCTCCTGCACGGGAAGAATGTCGGAGAGCAGGCCCAGAGCTGCAGAACCCACCACGCAGGGAGAAGGCAGCTCTTTAACAAGACTTACTTTTTTGGGGAAACGGACTCTTCTAACATAGTTGACTCCTCATCACCTTCTAGTCCAAATCTATCTTTGCTTTGTTTCTGGAGGTAAAACAAGACACAAACGTAAAGCTTTTAAAAGATGCCACAAAAGCAAAAATGTTAAGGTTTACACCAAATTCCTTAGATTGGATATTTAACATGTTATAGGTGAACAAAAGCAATAATAAACATAAAAAATAAATTATTTAATATATAGAGAGATAAGTCTTCTGCATTTATTATTGCATAGACCTAATTTGATACAGTTAAAATCAAGATGCAAATATTAATATTCTAGTAGAACTTGGTTATCGGAATGGGCTGAATCTTAAAGCTTTAGAAAACTAGCCCTGGCCGGTGTGGCTCAGTTGGTTGTCATCCCATGCGCCAGAAGATCAATGGTTCGATTCCTGGTCAGGGCATATACCCAGGTTGCAGGTTCACTCCCTGGTCAGGGTGTGTGTGCCAGGGCAACCGATCAATGTTTCTCTCTCACAATGATGTTTTTCTCTCTCTTTCTCTCCCTCATCCTTCCTCTCTCTAAAAAAGGTCAATAAAAACATCTAAAAAATTAAAAGCTTTAGAAAACTTGTCTATATTCCACTAGGGCATATACCCCTATTATATTTGGGGAATAAAAAACACGTGAAAAATGCAAAGAACATTTTCAGACCCTCAATGTGGGTCTCTACAGAGGCTATGAAGTGTACATGACACCTAGCGAGGAAGATGCCCAGGGGTTAGTTAGGTTCATTTAGTAGCCAAGTGATGCACTATTGCTAATTACCCGGCTGTCAATGACACAGATGATCTGCAGCAAGATCAGACATTCTCTTAGAAGCTCGGGGTCAAAGACCACACATGCAAGCGATCTCAACATCAAAGATTAAATTAGTGAATCAAGTACTTCAAATAAGCGTCCCCCCCACTCCTCCCCCACTCCCCACTCCCGGGCCAGGTAGTTACATCATCTACACTGAGTCTTAGTAAAGAAGCCTTGCTTTCCCAATCTGCATCAGTAAGAAATACCTTTTTGAGGATGATATCAATGTAGCCTGCAATCAGCTGGGATATTTGCTCTCCCTCAGTGGTTTGTACTGAATAGTAACTTTCCTGATACTCCCCAAAATCCTGGGGGGGAAAAACAGCATTAGAAGAAATATAACGAAATCAGATATATCAGTAGTTTTAAAGGCGAGCAGGTCCAGGTTCCAAATGGCATAGACTCAGCGTGTCCCTGCTCTTCCCCTCTAAATACCACCAGCCATCCAAAAACGTATTTGACAAACAGTGGTAAAAGGGCCCTGAAAGCTAAAACAGTGAACGAGCTGGGGACCTCAGGACTTGAGAGGCTACATTTGGTGACTTCTTGGGTTGTATTTTATATCCCTTTACCCCCAGGTTTGGGTGCTAGATAGGCCTGACACTGGGGACCTCCAACAAGCAGTTTCTGAAAAGCCTGCGCTCTCTGCCCAAAGGACCAAAGAGGGGAAGCTCGACAGAGACCAAGCGGGGAGTCCTGACCGAGCTGCACGGCCGGGCTGGCGTCCGCTGCAGCTGCAGAGCAGTGCCAGCCCAGGCACCCCAGCCCCTGCTCCACAGCCCAGGCTGCAAGGTGCTGACCCTTTTGCAGCAGTGGCCACAGTGAAGCCCCGAGTCTTCCTGTCCTCCACCCAGTGGCATAACGAGATTCAGGTCCAGGGGCTTCTGCCTCCCCTCAAAAGGTCATCCAGCAACAGCAGGTGGCCCAGGGAAGTGCCTTCTTCCTTCACAGAAACCTGCAACGAGGTTCGAGCAAGAATCCCAGCAGTGTCAAGAGGACAAAGTAGCCCAGAATAGCCTTGCAAGGCTCAGAAAACGGACTGTCATGGCAAGGAAACCCCACAAAGCTAGGCTAGCACACTGCACTCTAAGTCTACCTAAGGTGACCGGTGAAACAGAACATTTATTTTTTATCCTCACCCGAGGATATTTTTCCATTTTTTGTACAGATAGAGTGGGAGGGAGAGAGAGGAAGGGGGAGAGAGAGAGAAACATCATTGTGAAGGGACACATCGAGTGGCTGCCACCCGCACGACCAACCAGGGCCGGGGACAAACTGCAACTGAAGTACGTGCCCTTAGCGGAAACCGAACCCGGGTCTCTCCGGACCGCAGGCCGACGCTTTAACCGCTGAGCCAAACTGGCCAGGGCTGAAACAGAACATTTACATAAAATCAGCAGTTCTGATGTGTGACCAAATATATAGGAATCAACTGAAAATTGCTGTTTATATCCAGAACCAGGACGACTACAAGATGAGTAAGGAAAGATAATCAATTGATGCTGATACTGAGATGAATCGGATATTGGAATGATCTGAGATGGGTTTTAAGGTAGCCATCATAAAACAAAAAAAAAACGGCCCTGGCCAGTTTGGCTCAGCGGTTAAAGCGTCGGCCTGTGGTCCGGAGAGACCCGGGTTCGGTTCTCGCTAAGGGCACGTACTTCGGTTGCAGTTTGTCCCCGGCCCTGGTTGGTCGTGCGGGTGGCAGCCACTCGATGTGTCCCTTCACGTCGATGTTTCTCTCTCTCTCTCTCTCTCTTCCTCTCTCTCCCTCCCACTCTATCTGTACAAAAAATGGAAAAATATCCTTGGGTGAGGATAAAAAAACAAAACAAAAAAAAACGTTTAAACTATCAATGAGAAATCATCCTGAAACAAGTGAGAAAATAAGTTTCAAATCCAAGTCATTAAAAAAGACCAAATAAAAATGATAGAACTGAGGGAGCGGGACGCGGCGAGCCGGGTTTAGCTGTGTTTGAACTCCCTCTCGGTCTGTGTCTCGGTCCTCACTCCGGCCCTCACTCCGCAGTGAGCCTCCTCAAAAGTTTCCGGATCAGCCAAGGGGCTCCGGCAGCAGCAGCCAGACACCGAGATGGTGCTGAACGGGAAGGGCCTCGGCACAGGCACTCTGTACATCGCTGAGATCGCCTGTCTTGGTTAGATGGCTCTGGATTGGGATTCTCACTGGAACACCCCACCAGTAGTTTGCATGCAGTATCCAGGGATCTAAATGCCTATCCACGAGAGCATTTATATGTTATGGTGAATGCCAAGTTTGGAGAAGAATCAAAAGAACCTGTTGATGAAGACGAGGAAGACAGTGATGATGATGTTGAACCTATTGCTGAGTTTAGATTTGAACCTAGTGATAAACCAGCACTGGAGGCAATGTTCACGGCAATGTGTGAATGCCGGGCTTCGCACCCAGATCCTGAGGATGAAGATGCAGATGGTTATGATGGAGAAGAATGTGATGTGGAAGCTCATGATGGGATGGAGGCAGATACTACACCCACAGTTGCTGGACAGTTTGAGGATGCAGATATTGATCCCTGAAAATGATTTTATGCTGCTTTGGGATTCTGCTCATAACTCTAGGAGAGAACCTGGTGCCTTTTATACTGTGGAGTGAGTGTTGATGAAAGTATTTTTCCTTCTCCAAAACTTACTTGAACCAGTTCTTTCTTGAGATAGCCTGTACTGAGACAACAAGTTGTCACCAGCAGAAGGAACTATGACTTTTATTAACAAAGGTGAATTAACTTAAAAAAAATTATAGGACTGAGAAATGCAATAACCGAATTAAAACCTCACAGAAGAGACTAAATAGTAGTGTGAAGATACGAGAGGATCAGTAAACTTGAACTTAGTCAATAAGAACAACAGAGAGAAAAGAGAACAAACAGAGCATCAATGATCTGTGGGACAATAACAGAAGATCTAACATCCATATCATCAGTAGAATCCCAGGAGGAGAAAAGAGCATCAGACCACACAGAAGAACCCCTAAGAAATCCACACCAAGAACTTAAAAAAAATGTATTTCAGTGAAACAAGAAAGGGCTGAGCATAGAAGAAGCGACAGAAGAGCTGAGGCAGGGCTGCTTTGGCTCACTGGGAAGTCAGAGAAAAGGGGGCCTTGGAGACAGGTTCCGGGGGTTAGCCCAGGACAAGCCACTGCTGCCCATTGCTCCCCTGGATGCAGGTCTCTTGGGGTCTCTTAGAGTTTAGAAGATGCCTGCCTGGGGGGGGGGGGGGGGGGGGAGAAAGGAGGAAGAACGTGCCCACAACAAGAACTTTTGAAAAACAGGGACAAAGAGAAATATTTAAAAAAGTGGAAGAAAAGTGACATATTATCTAGAAACAAACAATCTATAAATGAACTTGCATGACAGAAAGTTCTAATTTCAATCCTGTATCTGGCAAAATTAACCTTCATAAATAAAGGGGAAGTAACACTCTCAGATGAAAAAATAAACTAAGAGAATGTGTGTTGTTAGTTGACCTACCTTTAAAGAATGGCTAAAGGAAGCTCTCCAAACATAAAGAAAATGGTAACAGAAGAAGGCTGGAAAGTTTAAAATTAAAAAAAAAGAACAACAGGATGAATAAAAATAGAAATAAATATAATAGACTATCCTTCACCTCATAAATTTTTAAAATCATATTTTATGGTTGAAGCAAAAGATCTAACACCATCTCATGTGGTGCTCAATGCACATGGAATATTTAAACAATAACACTCAAAAAGTGGGGAGCCAGTCAGAGAAAGACAAGTATCACATGATCACACTTATTTGTGGAATACAATGAACAAAATAAGCTGATGAACAAAATCGATCCAGAGACACGGAAGGAGGGAACAGACTGACAGACCTCAGAGGGCGGGAGTTACGGGGGTGGGAAGAGAGAAACCAAAGGACTTACATGCATATTTGCACAACCAGTGGACACAGACAACAGTGTGGTGAAGGCACGGGCAGGCTGTGCAGTGAGTGTGTGTGTGTGCGTGTGTGTGTGTGTGTGTGTGTGGAGGGGGGTATCAGTAGGGGAAAGAGGGATAACTGTAATACTTTCAACAATAAAAAAAAAAAAAAGTGGAGAGTACAGAGATCTAAATGGAAGTAAGGTTCCTACACTTGAAGTGGTGAAACAATGACGCCAGGAGGCAATAATTAATTTCATATGCATATGGTAACAACTAGAAAAATTACTAAGAACACCATACAAAGAGATACACTAAAAAACATAAATAAAAAATTAAACTCCAAAAAATGTTCGTGACCCACAGGAAGGCAAGAAAAACAGAAGAAAACAAAATAGAGGTGACAAACTGAAAAAATTATAAAATGGTAGCCGTAAGCCCTAACATAAAAAATTAGGTAAAAAGCCAATGGTCTAATCATGCCAATTAAAAGACATACACGGACAGGGTGGATTTAAAAAACACACCACAACCCAACTCTATGCTCTCTCCATGAAACACATTTCAAATATAACAATATAGCCCTGGCCGGTTTGGCTCAGCGGTTAGAGCGTTGGCCTGCGGTCCTGAGAGACCTGGGTTCGGTTCCCGCTAAGGGCGCGTACCTCGGTTGAAGTTTGTCCCCGGCCCTGGTCGGTTGTGTGGGTGGCAGCTACTCGATGTGTTCCTTTCTCATCGATGTTTCTCTCTCTCTCTCTGTTCCTCTCTCTCCCTCCCACTCTACCTGAACAAAAAATGGAAAAATGTCCTCGGGTGAGGATTAAAAAAAAAAAAAAAGAAAGAAAGAAAAAAAACCAAATATAACAATATAACTAGGCTGAAAGTAAAAGGATAGAAAAAGTATGACATGCAAACACTCATTTAAAATATGAGTGGCTATATTATTAAAAGATAAAAAAAGGTTTCAGAGCAATAAATTCTCTAGGAAGAAAAAATGAAACAATAAAACAATTTCTCCATTAAGAAGATAAAGGAATCTCAGATGTACAGAAATCAAACAACGGAGCTTCAAAACACAGAAAGCAAAAACTAATAGAGATAAAAGGAGATAAAGAAAACGCCAGAGTTGCTGTTGGGAATTGAGAGAATAAGTAGACAGAAAACTAACAAGGATATTGACTACTGGAACAACACCTTTAACTAACAGGATCTAACTGATATTTATAGAACAATCCACCCAATAGAAGAATACACATTCTTTTCCATCACTCAGAGAACATTCTCCAAGCATGATCATAACCTAAGATATAAAACAAATCTTAAAATGCTAAGAAGTAAAATTATATATAATATGTTCTTTGACCGTAACACAATCAAAGTAAAAATCAGTAACAGATGACAGGAAAATCTCCAAATACTTGAAAATTAAATTAAGGCTAGGAATAGGAAGGAAACAAATATTACATATTACAAGCCTAAATCCAACTTTATATTTTAATAACATAATGATAATTCACTGATTTTTGCTTGAGGTAGTTACTGAGATTGATAACTGTTGCTTATTTTTAGGTCACATTCTGTTTTTAACAAAGCAGTAGCTGAACCTAGTTTTAAAAGACCGATATTGCTCAAAGGTGTATAATGACAGAGCCATCCCCAGCCCTACACATGTCCGCCTTCACTTTCCACCCTCCCACCCCCAACTCAGTCAACCACTTTCAACCCTTTCAAGCAGTTTCTTCTATATAAGTTCTCTCTTAACCTCATCAATGGGTTCTATGACTTTATGGGAAACAACGTAATAAAACAAGTTTTCCCAAAGGCTCACTGATATAAGTAAGAGTTAAGTTCTTGCGGCATCCCATCAATGTTACAATGAAACGACATTATTTGAAGACCTGCTGTATTTCTAACTAACATGTTCTTGATGTTTCTATTTGGGGAATGACCCACAACTTCCTACAATGGAAAAGGAGAACGTAGTCCTCTAAGCAGGAACGCTCGCTTTTAAGAGCCATGCAGGTACAGCTGTTACTGATTATAGGTATGTTTTCTGAAGATTTCTTCCAACTGGCATGAGTCTACCAATCAATGATCAACTTAGACACCTGATTACTCCCTCCAAGGCCACTTCTTGACACCTTCTTTCCCGATGCCCCATTGAGGTCTTGCCGCAACGCCAGCTGACATTGCGAGTGTTCAGTGAGCTGGAGAATAGCGCACTTCAGGAGTTGTGAAGAAAATGGCAAATTTTAATGTTTTTGGTTTTTTTATTTCTCTTATTGCTCAACTTGCCCTATTAGTTCTCACATGTAAGTGTGACTATTAGTTCAGGCTACACCATTATGCTCTGCTAAGAGTAAATGCTGAGGTTGGGAGGAGCTCGGAGGTCTGAAGGCATAGAACACACACACGGTGTGCATATTATCCATGTATTTCACTGGGCATTTTATCATTATCATGTCAGGTGATCCTAGCAATCCTAGAAAGAGGTATTACTATCCACATTTTACAGCTGAGGAAATGAATGCTCAGAGAGACAGACAACTTGAGCAAGGCCACAGGCTCGGAAATGACACGCTGGTTTTGAACACTACCCCAAAGTTTCCGCTATTTCCACTACACAGCATGCCTTCTTTCTAGGCAGGCTGGGAAGACACACCTCAGCAAGATGTCACCGTTCTTAGGAACTTCTATAACAACTAGAGATAAAGGGGAGCCTTTGTATGGGCCTCAGGGCCTTGCAGGTTCCTTTAGGATAAGCTAGGGATGGAGTCAGGGGCACAGAAGACTGAGAAGCATCTTTTGGTCAGCTCTTCCCAGTTAAGGAGCTGTGACAGTCTTACTTAAAGTACCCGAGAGAAAGGGGGGACCAAGGAGACCCAGCTTTTGTATCTCTCCCTCAGTTCTAGACCAGTCTCCACCCTGCCCCATGGACTCCCACATCTGGCCCTCTCCACACTGCTCACTAAGGCCAGGGAAACCCAGCAGCTTGTATTGTTTCTCCTGCCCCATGATATTAGCCAAGGTCGCGTGGGCCCCCACTGCCCTCTGCCAGTCCCTACCAACGTGAAGCTCTTGGGTGAGGCTGCCCAGCGCTTGACCGTGGTGAGCGGCCACTCCTGCAGCACTTCCTTGGTCTTCTCGTCCACGCGCATCACGGAGTCCTTGGTGATGCCCAGCAGGCGAGGCACCAGCTTGTTCTTGCCTTTCATCTTTTCCTGAACCAGGAGACACCAAGAGTCAGTGCTCTTCCTCCGAATACATCTGGTTTTGCCAAATAATCAGTGACTTTGCAGTGTTTTACCTGTGGTCAACTTACATACACGGTGCTTCAAAAAAGGAAGGACTGAGGACTCTCAAAACTCTTTTATGACTATCAGTTTTAATAATTTAAGAAACAGTAGTCATGCCTATTAAAATAATGGACCCCTACCTGTCACTCACACCCAAAATCAAGATAGGTTAATAATTTAGAAGAAACTTATAGGTGGATATTTTTGTGATCACTGGGTGGGAAATGACTTTTTAGCACAAACACCAAAATAAAAAAAATAAAATAAAGGAAAATATTAATAGCTTTAACTACAAAATACAGGGACTTCAATACATCTAAAAAGAGAGAGAGCGGTAAGAGAAAAAGAAACCTCACCATAAACAAAATGAAAAAGCAAATTTCAGGAATAACTATTTACAACAAATACAAGGATAAAAAACTTCATATACAGTGTATGTGAAATCAAATAACAATAATTAGCCAAGAACAGAAACTGTTTAAAATAATAAAGTAATCAGCAATTGGATACATTTTCATGCATATAAAATGGCAGATTTTTAAAAAATTGATACTCAGATTTGAAGAAAGTATAAAGGGGAACCATTATTGATGGAAAATGAAAATGGCAAAGCCTTTAAGGAAGAAAATGTGCTGATAATATTACAAATCTTTAGAAATATTTCTACTTTTGACACATCTTGCTTTTAGGAACTTATTCAAACACAGCTCATAAATGGGTGTGAAGACTGTGTGCCTCAAGAAGGCTCAACTAGAGTTTATCATAGTGAAAACCTAGAAATAATCAAATTTTCAATAACAGGGGATTTGATAAATTATGGTACATACAAATAACAGACTACTCTACAACTATTAAAACTCATGTTATAGGAAAACAATTGGAATCATGGCAATAAAGTGTTTACAATATATTACAAAATAAAAAAACAAAACAGTTTGCATAGCACAGTCCTACAGAATAAAAATTTAAGAATAAATTTTAATTGAATATATTAAAAGACAATTCAAAAATAAAATTTTATTATGCAATAAAATGGTGGCAACAGTCCTCTCAAGTGATCTGTATTATTTTCTTGTGCTTTTCCTTATTCCCCAAATTTCACTTAATGCACATCTTTTTGTTGTTAGGGGAAACAAACAAACTTTTCCAATAATATTTGCTGAAACCTAGCAATCCTACACCATCATTCTCCAAGGAATACATGTACAAATTAGCACACACAAAGTGTGTATATATAAGTGGGTGTATGTATAAGGGGACAGGCATTCAAAACAGGGCAGGGGTGTGCTACATATTAGTAAATATGTTCCATTAATTTTCCAAGCATGCCCTAAATGTTGGCATCATTATCATCACCCCTGTTTTGAAATGAAGAGACCAGCAACTCACCCAAGGCAGGTAACAATGAGTGGTAAAAACTAGAACACAAATTTGAGTAGCTCAAAAATACCTCTGATTTCAAAGGCAGACTGTCTACCACAGTGTAATTCTTCTGGTGAAAGTAATCAGAAAAAAGAAGAAAATACCCCCTCCTACCCCCATAGCAGGTCGTAAACCATCAGATGGTGAAGGGCACAGCACACCTCCAGCCTCCTCCCTGGAGGAGGAGATAACAACATCAGGAGTGTGTGGGTGTCTGGGGAGGGGCACATGGCATTTTAAGAACCTCCCAAGGTTTATGAAAAACAGAGAAGAGTTCCTCTGTGAAGAGAGCCGGTTCCACAAGAGGTGAATACGCAGGTGGAGGATGCCAGTTAGTCTAATCTCCAACCACTGGACCTCCTGGCCAGGGCCTGTTTTGTCATTTTTAAAAGAAGTTTATAGTGATAGTTCTGCCATTGTGTTGTTAATAGATTTAAATAAGGTATGCCTGGCATATAATTGTTTGCAAAACGTTGCTATTATTATTATCATCATTATCATTATTAATATTGGGAAATGGAGTCATTACTTAGAAGGCATCAGCAGCATCCAAAACCTCATGACAAGTTAAAACTCCCTCTACATATAAGAAACTCAACTTCTAAATTATGTTTCTTAGCAACAATGTGATTCACCCATGTTTTCTTCATGTGCAAGGGCCCGATATTTTCTGTGTGAAACTGAGAGTGGCTGAAGAAAAGAAGGGACTAAAGTAGAGGAGGGGGCTCAGGATGCACAAAGGAGAAATGAGAGGGTTTATCAGTCAACCTAACACCCGCCAAAGGCCTCCCTCTGAAGCTCACAGGTTGAGTTTAGAAGAACCACCTCTTCCTTCTAGTAGGAAGACAACAGTTCTGACGAGAGCAGACCTAAAGGCCACAGGAATACCAGACCCCTCTACGAGTAAACATCTCAAGTTCCTTGTTTACCACAGGAATCTGACTTGGTCTGCAGTGGTCAACAAGCTTCACCTCGTCCAGGGCACTCTTAAGTGAACCAGTCCCGGGGGAAAGTCACGAGAAAAAGTGAACACGCCCTGCAGCGACTTTAGAGCCGAGACGGTGAGCCAAGCCCAGACACAGCTGCCCGTGGGCCGCGAGGCTCACCCACCAGCCTGAGCTCATGCACTTCAAGTCTGTCCAGCAGCTAAACTCCTGTCATTATTGGCCAGATGCTACGTCTGCAAATGCTAGGGGTCTAGGGATGACAAACCAACCTTAACAGTGAACACTTTAACAAAGGAAAAAGAGGTGGGAAAAGCAGACACTTTGTCCACCACCCTGCCCAACTCACCTTCACCAGGAAAAAGGACACGCCGTATGTCCGCAGGGACCGGGCGAGTTTGACGTACTTGACCTTGGCTTCTATCTCACTCATCTCTCCACAGTTCTTGTGCTCCTGCAGAAGTGAGAGTGAGCAGGGACCAGTTACTGCAGCTCCGCCAGCAGGTGGACTTGGTGAGAGGTGTTCCTAAAGGTGGAGATGTAGTGTGGCTACGACTGATCAATAAGCATCTGTGTGGGGACCCCGCCATGACACATGTTCCTACTCACCGAGAGTCAGAGCACACGGACAGTGTGACGGCAGTGCTCCTTAACTAGGAGTTGAGCCCAAGCTCCCTACAGATAGCACAACAATATGCACCAGTTCATGCATGTGCAGCGTGGCAGGAACGGGGTCCATAATTAGTATCCACTTTTCCAAGGACTCCGTGTACCGAAAGGCTCAGAACCAACACTTTAAATGAGAGCTAGACAAATGTGTTTGTCCAGGGGAGATGTCACCCTAACATCATCCACAGCATACGGTTTCCCAAAGAGCCGGTGATACTAGTGTCGGTGCATCATACCATCTGGAAACAATACTCGGTGGAAAATATGTTTTATACACATGAAATTTACATTTTAACTTATATTTACATTTCAACATCAAAGATGACTTTGATATTTCGGATTTACTAGAGTGAGTGTTTCACGGCAAAGCTGACGATAGGGCCTTTCTTACTGGTTGCCTAGAATAAACAGCTCTCTTTTAGAATAAACCTGAATTTTAAAAAGGTACCAGTTCCCACATTCTAGCTTCAAAAACCAGTCTCTGGACAAAGAAGCAACTTGTAGCTTCTTCCTCAGTGCACAATGGCAAACCGCCTTGTTTTAATGCTACCAAGATAATGCCTTGGAAATTAAATGAATGCACATTTTTTTTTTTCAGAAGGGCTAAGTAACCTTTAGCAAGAAGGTCTGGATTAAGATAATAAATCTGCCCAAAGTAGAACTGTCAGCTTCTTTACTCTCGAGCCACTGAGCATTCAGTATATAGCTGAGTACATGCATGGGGTACAGAACTATCATGTGCAGAGGCCCCTCTCATACTAACAAATGAGGACAGGAAGTGAGGAGGAGAATAAATTTACATTCCCAATACCTGAAATATTCTCTTTTCAGCTCCTCTCTGCTTGATATATTCTTTGGGCAGGAATTCTTTTAGACTGAGAGAGAGGAAGAAAAAAAAAAGTATAGCATTTATATATGATGGAAAAAAAAAAAAAGACTTTTTGTAAAACTCACTGTTAAGTCACTAGCTTTCCCAGTATTTCTGGTTCTAATGAATAACAAACTGCCACGTCCCACAATGCACTTCAATAGGACACATACACAAAACCAGTCTGATAATAAGGGTAAAGCTAACATAGTCAAATATGAAAGAATTTCCAGGATATATTGTGGAGGGACACAGTAAAGGGCACAAGCGTGTCTAGCATGCTGTGCTTTATAAGAAAAGGGGGACATGTTCTTCATTTTATATTGTGAATATGCATTTTTAAAAGGATAGGACAATATGCCTAGTACTAATAAAAGGGATTACGGGAAGAAGAGAAAACCAAGGAGAGGACAAGGATGAAAAATAACCCTCTGTAAACAGTCCTTGGAGTATAGTTGCTTTTTCACTTTTTCACTTAGAACCACATGACAAAGAGGGGGGAAAGCAATACCAAAAAATCTCAAGCAAATAGAAACAAATGAACTAACAGTACATCAAGTTGACAGCATAACTACAGAGAGAAAAATGATTTCAGGTAACACTGAAAAACAGTCTTCTCACTATGAATCTCTAGTGAGAGACACTTAAAGATGAAATGAGCCACAGCAGACTTGTCAAATATTGATACCATTACTTTAAAACTCTCTCCCTCTTTATACACACATAACTTTATCTATATAAAATTAGGATATTACATTATATAACATGTTATATGTAATTAGGCTAAAGTGAGTAATTACGTTAGTGGTAACCAACATTTTTAGCATAAGAGATAAAAATATAAAGTCAAAAGAGTTCAATGAAAACCCTGCAATCTTTCATTTAAATTGGAAATAATGACCTGTATATCTGATTCATTTTTCTTTTTCTGAAAAACATAGTTATTTTCTAGTTGGGCCCACTTAGAAGGCTAAGGGCAAGGACCACCTGCTGGAAACAGGCACCCCAGCACCTTGGCCAGGCAGTCTTCAAATACCATTCCCACTAAAAGGAATCAGAGATCCTTGGAGAAATGACTGCTTCTAGCTCTGGAGCAGGAAATGCATAACATGTTCCTGTGCTGCTTATGTCTGAGATCATGGAAGCTGTCAAAATGATTAGAGCCAATACCAAGGGGTAACCACTGACCAAAAATGGGATGATTTAAAAAAATCTTATACTAGTCCTGTCCAGTGTGGCTCATTTGATTGAGTGTCAGCCCTTGCACCAAAAAGTCACCAGTTTGATTCCTGGTTAGGGCACATGCCTGGGTTTCAGGCCTGATCCCCAGTAGGGGGCGTGCAGGAGGCAGCCAATTAATGCTTCTCTGTCTCTGTTTCTCTCTTTCTCACTTTTCTTTCTCAAAAATCAATAAAAATGTATTTTAAAAAAATCACATACTAAAGGAGAGAAAACAGTGTAATGAACACAGCACCCAGCTCCAACAATTATAATTCATGACTCACCTACTCCCTCACCTACATCGCCTCCCCCAGGGGGCAATATGAGCTTCAGAAAGAATGATAATCATGATGGGCAAAAACACAGGTATATAAAAGTCCATAAAGATCCTTTAAAAGAATCTTTGGTCACCTTAAGAGGGTGCTAGGGCACCAAACCATAACAAAAAGTGAAAAGGGGAAAGAAATAAAGCTAATAAATGCAGAAGGAATAACAGAAGTCCAAAACCATTGTTTTACAACTCTTAAGGAAACAGGGAATTGATCTAAATAAGCATGAGTGGCTGCTAAAACCAATATGTGACATGTTAATGGGGAACTTTATAACAGACGATCAGTCTGATCCAAACCCATTGATCAATTCGTATATTAATAAAAGTGGGAGCCCTGGCTGGTTTGGCTCAGCGGTAGAGTGTTGGCCCGCGGACCAATGAGTCATGGGTTCGATTCTGGTCAAGAGCACATACCAAGGTTGTCGTTTGTCCCCGGCCCTGGTCGGGGTCGTGCAGGAGGCAACCAGTTGATGTGTCTCTCTCACATAGATGTTGCTCTCTTTCTCTCTCTCTCTCCCTCCCACTCTATCTGGAAAATAAATAAATAAATAAAAGTGGGATAACTATACAATATATGCCTTCTCTCTGATGCAACAGGAAGTATACAATACCACCAGGAAGTATTCTTGGCAATAAATTAAAAAATAACTAAATATAGCCCTGGCTGGTGTGGCTCAGTTAGTTGGAAAGCCATCCTGTGCACTGAAGAATTGTGGGTTCAATTCCTGGTCAGTGAGTGTATGGAAGGCAACCAACCAATGTTTCTCTCTCTCTCTCAAACAATAAAATATTTTTAAAAATAAGTAAATATGTTATTGAATTTGAATTTAATGAAGACTCTAGATGTAAATATTAGCTTACAAAATGAGAGAGAACACTGATGCAATCAGCCACATCTCAACATGAGAAATTTTATGAAAATAACCCAGGTTCCTCGGGTTTAAATGGCTTATTGATAGAAGTGAAAGTAACAGAGTAACAGGGCTTTAAGAAACAGATCTACTACAAAGCTACAATAACAAAGACAGTGTAGTACTGATGTAAGGGTAGAAATACAGTGATACCTCGGTTCTCGAACGCCTCGGTTTTCGACCAAATCAGGATTCGAGAAACTTTTGTCTCGGAATCCGAACAAATATTTGGAACTCGAACTTCCGAGTTGAGCTGAATGGCGTTCATTCGGCCCAGCGCGCCTTGCTTGCGTCATCAGTGTGAGTGCAGAGAGAGAGTGACGCTTTGTGGAGTCCGCTTTCCTATTGGGTTTCATTGCTTCGGTTCTCGAACAATTCGGTTCTCGACCATCCTCTTGGAACGAATTATGTTCGAGAACCGAGGTATCACTGTATATAGGTCAATGGAATAGAGCAGAGTCCAGAAATGAACCCTTACCTTTACAATCAATTGATTTTTTTCTTTTATTAAAAAACTGAAGTATAGTTGGTCTATAATATATTAGTTTCATATGTACAACATAGTGATTTGACATTTATATATCTTACATGCTTGCCATACTAAGCCTAATTACCTCTTTCACGGTAATTGATTTTCAACAAGAGTGCCAAGACACTTCAAAGGGGGGGAAATAGTTTCTTTAACAAATGGTGCTGAGACAACTGGAAAACAATAGCCACATGCAAAACAATGAAATCGGAACCCGCTTCCTCACATCATACAGAACATAGTAACTCAAAATGGATCATAGACCTATGTGTAAGAGCTAAAACTAGAAAACTCTTAGAAGAAAACGTAGGAATAAAACTTTATAACCTTGGGTTAAACAAAGACTTTTTAGATGCAATACCAAAAGTACATGTATCAAAAGAAAAGACAGATAAGTTGGACATCAAACTTAAACATTTTGAAATGCAAATACCATCCAGAAAGTGAAAAGACAACTCACAGGAGAAAATATTTGCAAATTATATAACTGATCAGGCACCTGTATCCAAAATATATAAAAACTTTTACAACAAAATAATAAAGAGACAAACCAGTTAAAGATGGACACAGGATCTGAACAGATATTTCTCCAAAGAAGATACACAAATGGCCAAAAGCACATGACAATATGGTCAACATCAGTATCCATCAGAGAAATGCAAAGAAAAATCACAATGTGATACCACTGCACACCCGCTAAGATGAATACGATAAAAAGACGGGGGACAACAGGTGTTGGTGAGGGTGTGAACTTGGAACGCCCATGCATTGCTGGCAGGAATGTGAAATAGTGCAGCTGCTACAGAAAACAACTTGGTAGTCCCTCAAAATATTAAATAGCTTTTACTCCTACGTATATACCCAAGAAACATGAAAGCATATGTCCACACAAATATTTGTGTACAAATGTTCATAGTAGTATTACAATAGCTAAAAGGTGGAAACATAGTATCTATCAACTGATGAATACATAAAATGTAGTTCGCCCATACAATGGAACATTATTCAGAAATAAGAAATTAAGTATGCTACATGGTCCAAAATGAAAAACCTGTGCTAATTAAAGAGGCTAATGAGATCACAGATTTTAAGATTACACTTCTATGAGATGTCCAGAATGAGCAAATCGGTACAGATAGAACAGATTACTGGTGGCAAGGCTGGGATGGGAGTGGGGGACCTGGGGAGTGACTGCTAACGGACTCAGAATTATTTCAGAAAGGACAAAAATGTTCTAAAATTAGATTGTGCTGAGGGTTGCACAATCTTGTGACTACACTAAAAATACTGAATTGTACACTTTAAATGGATGAATTGTATGTTATGTGAACTATATCTCAATACTACGATTGTTTAAGAAAACAATCATATCAACCAAATACAGTATGTAGGCCTTGTTTGGGTCCTGAACTAAGTATTTATTCTATGACATGTTTGAGACAGTAGGGGACATTTTCACAAAGACTGGATATTAGATGAATACTAAAGATGAGTATTAAAGAATTACTGCTAATTTTGTTGGGCGTTAGAATGGATTTTTAGTAGTATGTTTTCCAAAAATTATTAAATTTCTTTTTGTCAAACATACTGAAGTACTTACAGATAAAATGATTCGCTGTCTGGGAGGTACCTTAAAATACTCCAGCAAGCCCTGGCTGGTTTGGCTCAGTGGTTAGAGCATTGGCCTGTGGTCCCAAGAGACCTGGGTTCGGTTCCCACTAAGGGCACGTACCTTGGTTGCAGTTTGTCCCCGGCCCTGGTTGGATCATGCAGGTGGCAGGCACTTGATGTGTCCCTTTCACGTTGATGTTTCTCTCTCTCTCTCTCTCTCTCTCTCTACCTCTCTCCCTCCCACTCTACCTGAACAAAAAAAATGGGAAGGTGTCCTCGAGTAAGGATAAAAAAAAAAATATCCAGCAAAATAGCAAGAGGGAGAGGGGCAGGGCAGGTCATGGTTCTGGCTACATTAAGATTTGAATAGTGATGCCTGTTCCATTTGCAAACTACCTGTGGAC